ACATATTTCTATAGTTATTATTGGGGGATGTAGATGTTAAAAATATAGAGGGTTAGAGTAATTAACTGGAGTCATTATTTTAATAATATAGAAAATCACCGTAAACTAGTGACGATACCTAACCCTGTAAAGTTAAAAGCAATAACACAAGCGTTTTCTCTCAGAAAGATTGGGAGGCTGAGGAATGCTATGATAAGAGATTGTAACATATATACGAGTTCGGACACGACATATGTGGGTATTTAAATAATTGTCAACGCAAAATCGAATATAGTTTCAAGTTTTAAATCCACTTCAGATTTAGTTTTATACGATTAATGATATATAAATACCGTAACTCGTTTGCCAAATATAGAGACTCATATAGTTCAGCTTTGAACCTGTTATATTTCGGTATAGCTTACGATAATTTCGAATAATGAACAGATGGAAAATTTTCCTGGTACGAACAAAATATATTTGAACTAGGTAGAATGGTAGGGAAAAAGAATTCAAGAACTCAGGAAAAAATTTCGTATTTAAATAAATCAGAATCTTTATAGGACAGCTTTGTCTATATAGCAACACGTGTGACCATGAGACTTACAGTAAACATACCAATCAAATACCAGGAAAGATCAGGGGGAAAATATAAGTTACTGCAGACTCATTTTCATGTCAGAACTATCATTTATTTAAACCAAAAGATAGCTAGATAATTTTAGGCTTTCCTAGAGTTACCAGATTGTAGTTATTAGGATTACTGATACTGATCAAGCGATAGAGGTAAACTGGATGGAATTCGGACTTGTGAAATATTGGATAAAACTTGAAAGTCTTAAACATAAAACGTTCACATGAACATTTGTGTGTGGATTTCTCTCTCTCGAAAACATTGTTTGTGTAATGTATAACAATAAAGAAGGTATTGTAAAAATAATTGTTCGTTTAAATATTTTTTTGGATTAAATGTCAAACTGTTATCCTTAAATGACTTGAGGATATAGTCGTAAAACGAACTTATCCTAGCACTGAATGATATTTCGCTACTACATTTTGTTTATAGGGTTGGCATATTTCAAATTTATAGTGTAAGTTTCTATGCTCAACTTCCAACTCCTGAGTTACAACTTATAACCCGGTTTCATCTACTTTAGTTTGACGATCCGGGTAATATTATTACTCGCATACGATTTATTTGTGACCCAAGCCAAATTTTCTAAAACTATACTTGGTAAATCATTTACGTCATTTGATTTATCAGTTAAAATTCAGTGTATACTATGCTTTTAAAGGTTTTGTATCTTAATTTTACAGTTGAAATTTATATGATGATTCCTAAGTAATTGTAAGCTGTTTGTACAGGGTATCCAAATCATTAGAGTAGGCAGAGTAAATGTAGATAATAAGGATCCCGGTAAGATTAATAATAATCTATAAACTCAAGTAGAAAAAAAAACTTATGGTGGTATTACAGAAGCATTTTTATAAACACGAAAACAAAATGGGATAAATCATGGCAAAGATAGGGATCTGAAACAACTCTGTACAAATAGCTCGTTTTTTCACATTATTGATGAACATAGCTTTTATAGTAGGTGTAAGAATTGATATCTTAGAACGTCTGATTGTTTCTTATAAGTAGTATTAAAAGGAAGCGTTCGGAACTAAATGTATAGAATTTGCTCCTTTTTTCTTCAGAGCGAATGACGTAATTGGTGTATGTTCTATTTCTGTTAAATTTTGAGAAATAATCTTGAATCTGATTTGAAAAATTGTGTAGACAAATGATTTGTGTATCATCCGAAGTCAACTTATTTACCATAACGAGTATATTCTTATTGTCTCACTGGAAAAGAAGTCAATTTATATGATTTATTGATGACTAAATGTCTGTTCAATAGTGATTATCATTCTGATAAAGAGGGCGTTAATTAATTACTAATAATTGATACTTATATCCTTATCTATAATACTTGATCAAGTAGAATTAATTGTAATTAGTTGCGGTTGAGATTAAAAGACAACAAACTATACACTGATTACTTTATATACGTCCTTTGTTTCTCTCGAATCATATACAAGGATATTCATCTTAATCCCTTTTAACATGTCAATAAGAATTAAGTGTGTATATTATAAAAGATCATCACATTTAAAAAACAAAATTCATGCACGCATATATATTTTGATGAATGAATAGTCTAAAAAATGTATGAATGATTTAAAGAGAATGATTGATTATTCGCAATGGATTTCGTCCATTCAAACCAAATCTTTATGACATTTGGTATGAAAGGTAGTCTCCAGGTATTAAATTAAACAGCGTTAGTTATGATCGTTGCTTGTGAACTATCTTTTACGCTATTAATAATAATAATAATAATAATAATAATAATCGACAAACATGTCCCTGTCGTTGATATTCGTGACTGGACTAATTAATTCTAATCGGCATATGAGGCCGTCTGAATGGATATTTCGATTCTACCTGTATTTAAATGCTGATTATTTGTAGGATATTGGATAGTATTGAAATCGACGGTGTATATTTATATGCATTGTTTCGGCTTTCAACGCCAAGCCTCAGGTCAGAACCCTACTCTGGTTTCGAAAACCATGTTATAATACTAGGCTTAACAAGAAAAGTATGCATCGAAGTCGACTTTTCAAACACATATGTACTTGATAATTTAGTTAAGTATAAAATTCAAGTGATAAGATGAATCGCTTTAAAATCATTATTATTCCATTCATATTACTTACTCCTGTTATTTATTATTTATTTAAACACAAATATTGGTACAAAGGGGCACCGAATACATATGCGTCACACAAGTCAATTGATTTGTGTGCGGGCTAGGATACTGCTCGGGAGCTTAGACCGAAGCAGATGGCTTTCTTGGGGAGCCGCACCCGGAGCCTCCGACCTAAATGTCTGGTTCACAAGGGAATGGAGCAACGTAGTGAGATGCAGTCCCATGATAGCCGGTGATCAATGATTGGTTTGCACACCATTTGTTCCTTCAGGATACTGGAGCCCATATGCACCATTGATTTGGAATGAGGGACATCCACATCCACCAACCCGGTTAAAGCATTGGACATTCGCTTTTCGTCCTGTTAATTTCGTAAACAACACCCTGTTACCCATCATGGGCATAAACCACCGACCACGAGTCTCCAACTGACTTTGTTCTGAGCTCTGCTTCCCACTTGTTGCTAAGTGCTGTTCCTTTTTTGATGTCTGCCTCGAATCGCCGACGCAATGTGTACTTTGATCTTCCCCTTTTCCTTTTGCCTTGAGAATTCCAAGTTAGGACTTGCTTTGTGATGTTTGGTGATTTCTTCAATATATATCTTATCCAACTCGAACGTCTTTTCCTAATTTCTTCTCTAGCTGGAAGATGGTTTTCTCTGACATAGTAGGTTATTGCTGATGGGTATCTGGCCCATGGATCTGGAGTATCTTGTGTAGTCAGCTGTTTATAAATACATGTACTGTTTTTGTTGTGGTTGTAGTAGTTCTTCAAGTTTCAACTCCGTACGATGGAACTGTCTTGATATTCATATTTAAGATTACGACTTTGTTGTTGGATGACATTTCTTTTTAGTTCCAGGTATTCTTCACATTATAGTGCTGTAAATAATATATCTTATTTTTACACTGTGATAACTTGTTTATCTTATTCTCTTTCATTTGTAGTAAAAAGTAATAGTCAGTTATCTTATTTATCGGGTACTTGGTTATGAATAACACTCAAAGTGTGAGGTGTAGTAATACTACACGGTTGCCCGACTCAAAGTAAAGTGGGTGGGGCGGAGTTCCAATCTGGGACTTAGTGGATGAAAGTGGAACCCTGTAACCACTAAGCTACTGCCCTTCCTTTCGCCTGTACTTATTTTCTCTTTACTATTGTTTACAATTGCTTATTTCCCTCATTTCTCATTCTGTTACTGTATAACAATAAAGTGTTTTCGCATCGACAATTAGTCCACTTACTAATTTGGTTGTGAATAGTTTTACCCTCCTTTTTCTCTATTTATTGTAAAAATCCTCGTTTCAAACCAAAACTGGTGTGTTTTCAGTTGATGAGATTGTGAATCTACATCAGCTGAGATGATTGGGCCATGTATTATGCATATCCAACCACTGATTACCACGACGCGCAATGCTTACTGGTGTTGGAGACAAATTGAAGAAAGTTAGAGGTGGCCAAAGGAAAACGTGGTATCAATCCCTAAAGTCACTAACTTGTGATCTGAGCCATGTTGGTAGATGCAGACTACTTGGTTGGGGTCCACGCGACTATCATAACCAATGGTTGTAGACTTAGAATCGATCACAATGGCGTAGGTGTATACACTTTATATTCCCTCAAACCTTGAGATTGAAACTGCTTTATACTTTTATTTCTGCGAACTAATTCTTTCTTCCTGTATTATATCTTTGTACATAATATTTCTTTTATATATTGCTACCATTGAAGTAACTACTTCTGTGAATTTGGTGCTGATGTTGTTGTGCTAGTGAGGTGTAGCAACTTGGAACGATGCATATGTCTGCTTTGTCCTATGTCGTAGCTGACTGACTCATAAACTATGTTTCACGGTCATAAAGTTGATCATACTTCTGAGAACTATACATGCTATTTTGTTAGAAGACAGACATGTCCCTCCACATCACAAGTGACTCAAATTGGGCTTTCTGCATCCGTCGTAGCTGACTGTGTTCTTCAATTAACTAGTCAAACATAAGTTTTCAGTATTGTATAAGGTTTCGTTATCAGTTTAAAATGTGTGCATAGATCTCAGTGCTTAGTTTGCATGATAACCTGTAAGAATTATACTGAGTCAGTGTAAAGTAGATAGAGCTATGTGAAAAATACAAAATCTGTCTTTATTATAAATGAATTTTATGTGTTAGACTATCATTTTTTCCTGTGTGATTTAAAGTTAACGCTAAATATTGTAATAACAAGGGATATTATCAAATATATTCCATTTATTTTAATATTTAGATTCAATTTTCTCTGACCGTTATGATGCAGATAAAAATAACAGCACTAGTAATGTCACTTCCACCACTAATACTAATGCGGTTACTACTACGTCTACTTCTACTACTACTACTACAACTACTACTTCTATCATTATTAATAATAATTATTATGAATCGGATGTTAAACACTTTACAAATACATCATCAACATTGAATCAATCCACCATAGTTTCATTATCACTGACAACAACAATAACAACAACACCGACACCAATAATAAATCAAGCCGCTTTAATTGCAGCTGCCTTAGCGAAAGCATCTGCAGACAAGACAATGAATGGTCCTTTCTCACTAATTGAACGTAATACTACCATACCACTTAATAATAATTTAGGAATGATGAATAATAAATCACGTAGAAATTCATTAACAATACCAAATCATAATATACATTTATCGTCATTAGATGATCAAAGTAAATTAATTAGTCAAAAAACTTCTAGTTCTGGTATGTTTATTACTATTATTATTATTTAGCTTTCGTGATTTTTGTTATGAGAACACTACAGTTGGTTGGCTAAATGTGGTATTTTAATTGTGAAGTACTGTTTTGAGAATTGAACAAGATAATTTTATAGTGATTTATTTATTACTGTTTACACTCTTTTAGTAGTATAACCGAAATCTAATCTAACATGAATTCTAATATTAACAGAAATTATGGCTTTTAATCTGTGTTATTTGTTGTGCTAAAAGTTTCCAACTAGTGGTAGTAGTAAAGTGAAAACTAATTTGTTGTTTAATATAAAATTACAGAATATCTTCGTAAAATACGAAAACCGTACATTAAATACTTAATTTGCATATCTTCCATCAGTTGTCTTTTACATCCTTTATGATTTTTTCGATTTTGTTTTTATTCTGATTTCTTTCTGTTCTCTTCAGTGGTAGTAGTAGTAGCAGTAGTATTAGTAATAGGAAGCAGGTATAAAGAGAATATAACTCAAAGTCGAGTAGATGGACTTTCGTTTGGTAAATAAATTACAATCAGTGCTTTACAATTGACAACAGGAGATTGTGTCAAGATAATGATGTATCGTTCATAATCTACTTTTGGCTTATTCTAGTAAACGGCTATCTTATCAGTATTTTACTAAACATTCTGTTTTTTTGGGTCAGTTAAACTGCTATTGACTTTCAATAATCTATATACACATAGGTTTGGTTCACCAACATCAGCGTCTGTTTGAATTGTAGTTGCACTCTAGTGTATACTTGATTCATATAATCGTTTTTTTTCGTTGTTAGGAACCTCATAATTATGTAGAATAAAAGCACAATTTAAGTATCTGTCTCGTGAATGAAGAATTGTTCAACGAAATAAATCCGAATACTGTAAAACTTGGTTGTCATAAGCGCCACAAGTGAGATAAGCACTAGATTACCTACCTAACTACGTACCTACCATATAGCAATATTTAATGAAATTATAATTTCATTTGATTGGGACGTTTCAAAGTCGACTGATTATTTACGAATACATTTTGAAAATACCTATTTTTCTTCTTTCTTGAGTTTCATCTTATTTGTAATTCAAACATATGTATTTATGTATTCATAATTTATTTAAATAGAAAAACACTTTAATGAACAAATTAGTTCAAATAATGAACAAAGTCCTAATCGTTTTCATTCTTCAGAAGAATTTGATAATCTATTGGATTCAAATGCGCCTATATTAGATTTTACTTTCTCCGATGTACAGTATTGGTGTAGTGTCTTTTATTATGAGTTAAATACTCGTGTTGGTGATGCATTTCACGCTGGTCGGCCAACGTTAACAATTGACGGTTTTACTGAACCGTGCTATCGTTCTGATCGATTCAGTTTAGGCAGCTTAAGTCATGTTAATCGACCTTTGCAAGTTGAGATGACTAGAAGACATATTGGTAAGTGTTATCTCAAAAAACACATTTTTATTACATATTAGAGATAAATAAATTCATATGTATTCTAAGATTATATGGTACATTGATTTGTAAAGCGTTCGAATCTCATCTATCCGTTTCCGAATTATATTTACAAATCGTATACTTTGATCTCATCAACTTTGTTATCTAATCCAATAGATGATAAAACATTAACAGAGGTCACGTATTTATTAAATGTCATATATTACAGATAGTCTAGTAATGTTAGGTGATTAGAGGTAGTCTTCAGAAAACTGTGGACTCAGGTTTTGTGTATATAATCAGTAGTTATTAGCAAGGCTTACTTGGACGATTTTGGGTTGACTTACTCTCCTTGTAATAAATTTCTTGGTCATCAAAATATATCGTTATATATGGTAATGGTAGTAGTAATAATAGTGTTAGACTCTGGTGTTGGGTTAAATTAATGAGTCACTAAATAGCTTTATGAATCTATTCATAAATATAGCAGATTTTACCAATATATTATTACGTTGCATATAATTTATAATCCTTTACCTCACAGTGGCGTATCCCTTGTTGGATAATCAACCTTTGGATTGATCAAGTCACAAATGATATTCATTCAATGAACTCTTTAATAATTGATCATCGCTATATATATATATGTTTATGTAGGCTGAAGCAATTTGTTTACAGTGCCTATAAACAAAAATCAGTATACATTCCATGAACTCTTTAGTTTTCGATTGATTTGTTGAGATTCGTCTTTGATTTTGTTTATCTTCTTCCTTATTCTATTGTTTTTTTCAGTTTCTTTATATCATGAGTTTCATTATTGTCCTTTATCGCTATTTTGGTTTTCCCTTTTGTTTGATGTCAGTGTATCAGACTTAAGTGTTCGCGTAGTTGTCGTACATTGTTGCTCTTTATCTATTTATCTGAATTCATTGTTTTGCTACAAGCAATAATCGATTACTGTAGGTATTCATCTGTCAATCAATTTGGATGTGTGTGTGGGGGTGGGGTGAAAGGAGGTTAGACGTAATAAAATAAAACTAATATTGTTTTATAGTCCATTAGTTGAATAGTTCTGCGAATAGAGTACTCGTATTTGTATGAATAATTCAGAACAAAAATCATATGTAACCTTGATAATTGTATTTCCTAATTTCTGTGTCTTGCTTAATTTATGAATAAATTATTTTGACTGTAATTCAATTCATTGGGTATTTCTGTTCTTAGGTCGTGGAATACGATTACATCATATCGGTAGTGAAGTTTACCTTGAATGTTTAAGTGATGCTGCGGTTTTTGTTCAATCACCAAGTTGTAATCGTTTCTACAGTTGGCATCCAGCAACGGTTGTCAAAGTCCCACCAAGTTTGTGATCATAAATATTTTAATTTTATTAAACCTCACTATCATTGGATCTTTTGTTTGAAATGTTCTAGTTCTTGTGTTTTCAGAGCACCTGGTTTCATCAAAATTAGTGTTCACAAATTCGGTCTTATGTGCTTTAACTTCCAAACATCGTATTATTATTATTGTTATTATTAATTACTATTAGTAGTAGTAGTAGTAGTAGTAGTAGTAGTAGTAGTAGTAGTAGTAGTAGTAGTAGTAGTAGTAGTAGTAGTATCATTATTATTGTTCGAACGGTAAACCAACACAGTTTGCTGTTGACCATGAGCGAAATCACAAACGACCTTGACATTTCGTGTTTCTTACTAACCAACCAATCGGCACGAAGATGGATTAAATGCAAATTTTCTCCGCTAAAATATGAAACCTGAATATATGCAGTGTTTTTCTTTCTACATTGTTTAGAAATATTTCTTTGTTGACGATTGGCTTTTTTGAAATCAAGAAATTTTGTTGTACCGTGTACGGGTCAGTTTTTTCCTTGATTCTATATTCGGCCATAAACAATTTCAAATTCTTTTCATGAATACTCGTTAATGTTCCAAGGAATTAGTGTGATAATACAATGATCTGGATATCGTACTTTTAAATATTATGCATGTTTTACAAGGGTATAGGTAAAAATCATATAGTTTACTTAGGGATTTCACTTTGAACTAGTTAAAAAGAAAAATCAATCCTCATTGATCTACATTTTGAATCAGTCAGTCAGTCAGTCAGCTGCAACGTAGGACCAGGCACGTATATGCATCAGTCCAAGTTGCCATAACGCATTAGCACAACAAGATGAACACCGGATTCATAGAAGTAGTTAATTCAGTGGTGGTAATATATAGAAGAAAGAGTGTGTATAAGGAGATAGTACAGGAAGATAGAATTAGTTCCTAGAAAGAAAGATTTGAAGTGATTTTAATCTCTTAGTTTAAAGGAAGACAGAGAGTGTATACACCGACGCCATTGTGATCGCTTCTCAGCTATGTCACCAACAGTCTCTAACCATTGGTTACGATAGTCACGCGGACCCCAACCAGGTAGTCTGCATCTACCAACATGGCTCAGACTAGAAGTTAGTGACTTCAAGCACTGATGCCACGTTTTGGTTTGGCCGCCCCTGACATTCTTCCAACCATCCCCAACACCAGTCAGCATTGCGCGTCATGGTAATCGGTGTTCAGGCATACGTAACACGTGGCCCAACCATCTCAGTCGATGAAGATTCACAACCTCATCAACTGATTTACCATCATTCCCTAATACCGTGTGTCTAACCTCACTATTACTTACCCGATGATCCCAGCAGATGCGAGCAATATTTTTAAGACATCTGAGACCAAACACTAGTAGCTTACGAGTATCTTTTACTCTGAATGGCCACGTTTCGCAGACGTAAAGTAGAGCAGAACGAACTGACGCTTAGCATACTCGTCCTTTTATTGATAGACGGATATCTCGCCTTCGCCCTAGATGACGTAAGTTGGCAAAAGCCAAATGAGCTTTCCGAATCCGTGCTGAGATTTCGTCTGACACCAACCCAATACGGCTCATCAGACTTCCAAAATGAGTGAAGTTGTCAAAGCGTTCGACTACTTCACTCCATCCCTATCCTTAGTTCAGGTGTTGACGCAGTCCAGTCCTGAAGCATCAACTTGTATTTACAGGGGGAGAAATGCATTCCGAACATTCTGGCATTGTTGCTTAGTGCTACCAAAAGACTCTGCGTTTTATCAGCGTCTTCACCGAACAGGACTATGTCATCTGCGTATTCTAAGTCAATAAGTGGACCTCCTGGTAGGAGATCAATACTTGAGAATTCAGTCGATGAGAGCGTTATTTCCATCAAAAGATCTGTGATGAAGTTAAACAAAAATGGAGAAAGTGGACAGCCTTGACAGACACCACTTCAGGTTGCAAAAGCGGATGATAGTTCGCTATAAACTCTGACTTGACTAGTAGTGTTCGAGTAAAGAGCCTTCATAATGTTTGTGTACTTCTGAGGTACGCCTTTCAATGACAGACACTGCCACAGAACCCCTCGGTCTACAGAGTCAAACGCTGCTTTTAAGTCAAGGAAGACCACCATTGTCGGACGCCGATAAGTATGCATGTGTTCTAGAACCTGACGAATGGTGAATATATGGTCAATGCAGCCACGACCAGGTCTGAAGCTAGCATGATTCTCTCGTGTTTGCAGTTCACGAGTCTTAGTTAGGCGTCCGATAATTATCGAGGCTAGTATTTTAGATGCTATATTAGTTAAACTAATCCCTCTATGGTTGTCACAGGATGATTTTGACCGCTTCTTATATATTGGGACGATAAGTGATTGTGACCAGTCAGATGGGATTACGTCCAACTCCCAGGGTTTAGCCAAAATATTAGTCAACCTAATCTCTAAAACTGGACCACCAGACTTAAGACATTATTATTATTATTATTATTATTACTATTATTATTTGAACATATAAATATTGGTACAAGGGAGCACGAAATATATATGCGCCACACAAAACAATGAGAATGGGAAGAGAAGAGAAGAAAAAAAGAAAGGAGGGTAAGGAGCGTAAGAAAAAGAACAATAACGAACAGATTAGTGTGAGGTAGTGTAATAGTAATAATAATGGGGGAAACAACAAGGAACAACCAGAAGAAATCCTTCAATTAAAGAAGAAGCAACCGGTTTTATGAAGATTTTAGCTAAAATATTAGTCAACCTAATCGCTAAAACTAGACCACAATCCTTAAAGACCTCTGGGGTCAATCCATCTGGACCAGCTGCCCTTCCTCGTTTCAGATTAGCTATAGCCTTTTGAACTTCAGCTATAGTTGGGGGACCTACTTCAATGTTCCATTCATACTGTCTGGGAATAGAGGGTAGTTGTAGAGTAGCCGAAGGCCAACTGAACTGCTTTTTAAAGTGTTCCGCCCATCGTTCTAAGCGTCTGGACTGTGAGCAGATGAGAGTGTCGTCTTTTTCCGAAATAGTCTGACTTACACTTGATTTATTAATTCCAGTTTCTTTTATTAGTCGGTAGAGTTGTCTTGTGTTCCCTATAGCCACCGCCTTTTCCATCTCTTTTGCTTTCGTTGCCCACCATTGCTCACGATCGTTCTTTAGACTTCTGCTTAACCTAGATCTGATTTCTTTACGCTCTTCATCGTGTTCAGAACCTGATGGGATGAGTTTGCACGAATCCATCATTGCAATAGACCTTGAAGAAATCCATTGGTTCTTTGTAACCCTGTGGTTTAAATCACTAGTAGATGTCACTGCTATTTCCATAGCTTCTTGTATATCTTTCCAAGCAACATCTGGGTCAAACTCGTTTTCAGAACTACCTTAGTGTGACCTCAGTTGTTCCTGGAACCTACTTTTGGTTTTCTCATTACTCACTTCGGTTCTAATGAGTCTTTTTTGTGTGGCTCTTTTGCGTCCAGTGAGGCGCAAGCAGATGCGTGCTCGTATTAGGGCATGGTCGGAGTCCGAGCAGGTACTCCAGAATGAGCGACAATTTTCTATTGACCCTCTCCAACGATGACTGATGGCAATATGGTCTATTTGAGTCCATCGTTGGTTTGGTGCGGTTGGTCGCCATGTTAGACGATGTCTCTCTTTATGTTTAAAATTTGTGTTTGCTAAAAATAAATGATTGTCTGAGCACAGTTGCAGCAGACGATTACCATTATCTGTTCGCTGTGCCGTAGTACTAAATACCCACCTAAATGTCTTTGTTTCGTTTAAGCTACCTACCTGGGCATTAAAGTCAATTGCTACGAGTACTATATCTGAACGTTTAGCTTTCTGAAGAAGATCAGACAGCTTTCTGTAAAATTCATCTTTCACTTCATCCGAACTGCAGTCAGTGGGAGCGTATGCAGAAACGACGTGTGTCCCTATCCTTCCGAGTTTTTACCGAGCCGTTTAGCCGAACAGCGCATAGACGACTGTTTACATTTTGAATACAACTTACAATAGTACCAGTATTCTATACGATAGTTTTGCTCATCGATCCTAAGCATTTCAGACACGTTATAAAGTTGTCTATCAGATGGATAATAGTCGGTATTTTGTTTTGAATCTAGCGGTACGGTGTAATTTAACCATCCAATTTCATACACTTTCAAACCAAATTGCATCGTTACTGAAACCCAACTTATCTTTTTTCACTTTTCTTGATACTGATTGCTTAAGGTTGGTTATCTTTTTAAGTGAACTATTTTATTGTTTATATTACAAGGCCATCAACACAGTATGAGTGGTGTTTAAAAAAATAGATGGAAGATGGGAAAAAATTTCTTTTCAATTAGTTTTTCATCATAGTGTATCAGTTAGTCGTACACAACATAAAATCTGATGTTTGTGTAGATCATTTCAAGTTGCTATAGTGCGTTAAAATAAAGCAATGAGATATTACAAATATATTATTTATTTAAAGCAATGAGATTGTTTAAGCAAATCCCAGAGTAGTAGACGTATTGACAGTATTAGTGTTTGTAGAAAGAATTAGACACAGAAAAGATTAGTGAAATGAAAGCAAATGTTTTATAAAGTGATTTAAAGACTTAAAATATAAGGTAAGATAAAGAGCACATGCACCTGTTCCATTGTAAACGATTTTGAATCATGTTACCCAGTCTTTAACTATTCACTACAATAACGGCGCGAACTCCAGCTAGGTTGGTAGTTTGCACATACCTATACGGCTCAGACCAACAGCCAGTAAATTCGATGGACGTAATATATGTCCCAACAACCTCAACTAGTGAAGTTTTGCTGCGTCATTAATCAGGATAAAGAATAATGCCATGTAAACTTGATTCGTTACCATCAGTGGGAGAGGCGTTAATGGTGGGGATAGAAAGAATATCGAGAAGTGAAGTGATCCAATCGCGAACAACAGAGTCCTTAGTAATGTTAGATGTATAAGGGCAGTTGTCACTTCCTGGTCGCTCAGACCTCGAAGAGATATTTTTTCTTGATGGATCTGAAAAAGAAACTAGATTAAGTAGTGATCTGAGTGACTTGGAAGCGTGACCTCAAATCCCGAAAGACAACTATTTAAAGCCGACCATGCACGACCTTTTTGTGGGAAATTCCGGAAGTAGCATAACTTAGCCTTCGGACCTTGAGATGTTGGTTTTAGTCGTAACACTTTCCAACCTACCTGCCTAGATTGGTAGGAGCAATCATTTTCATCATTACAAAATACATGTTCGATCACCACGTCAGTGTTTGATATGCCATGTTTTCACCATAGCTCCATATATATATATATATATATATATATATATATATATATATATATATTACTTACGCCTGTTACTCCTAGTGGAATGTATATTGATAATTATTTTCATTAGTCGTCTGTCGGATACAGATTTTTGTACTTAGCTCGGAGTCACATTCCAAGTTTTAGAGGCAGCGATACTACTCGGATGCTTAAACTGAGTTAGCTCGAGTAGGGTTTAAACTTACATCTTAATTGTTGAAAGTTGAACACCCCAACCACTGAACCATAGCTTGACTTAAGAGAAATACTGGAAACATAAATAATAATTAGACATTTCACATTAAACACAATTCAGTTTTTTCTTTTGATTTTAATTCGGGCTAGCCTAGTCATAAAGCGTTATGTTCTTTTATTATCATAGATGTAAGTCATAAGCTAATATATAAGTTTCATCATTGAATTGTTTAGTAACTATGATTTTTTTTATAGCTATAACAGTTAAAGTAGCCTACAATTTGTGTTATGTCTTGAGACCACCATGCCAAGCCACTAATTGGAATCTTAATCCTAATTTTGTCTCTTTTACGTCCACTATTTCCACGACGGTTTAATGTCCCCGACATAGCCAATTATGCATCTGGCCAGCACTAGTGACCTCTTATTAATTCACTGTTCGCCAGGTTCTCTCTAAGCCCTGCCTTGAGTTCGGTATTAGCGACCAGCCTCTACCGTATTCATATTTCAAGCAGACTTCGTTTATATACAGACATACCGGACTATATCATACCATAAAGTGAAAAACAAGTTAAAAGTGGCTGTGAATAGGGGGGACTGTAAGTAATGGACTGGCAACATATTTGAAATAGTAAGTCGAATGACAGTAGTTAATGGGTTAGCCGAAAGCTTCTACTAGAGGTAATACATATACATGATAATCTAGTTGTTCAGTAATTATATAACAAAATTATAATAAATAATTATTCGAGAAAACCAGTTCCAACTTCTAAAATACTCATTCCATTATAACGATATATTTTATTTCTTTTTCTTTTCTTCAGAATGTAATTTAAAACTTTTTGATAGTGCAGCATTTGCTAGTCAATTAGCTGATAATATGTCACGTAGTTATGAATCTGTCTTTTCACTAACTCATATGTGTTCAATACGTGTTAGTTTTGTAAAAGGTTGGGGAGCAGAATATAGGTGAGCTAATTTAGTTTGAATTAATCTCTGGTGTTTTTCTACATTTATAATCTATTATTACTAACTATGAATAAATGGTTTTATTGTGGATTACTCAATTGAGATAGTGTAATAATGGTTCCAAGTAAAAGTTACTGGGCCAAGATCTATCTACACTTTGGTACAGGTATACATCTAACTGGAGTCAGCAACAACGTAGAACTTCGTACGTACGTACGTCAGTTTAAGTTGCCATACCACATTAGCACAGAGATATAATTGTCGATTCAAATCCTATAGTAGTAGAGGTAGAAAAAGCATAAGCAGTAATCAGAAAGGTTAGGGTTTGAAGATATTGTTCAAAGAGTATAGTCCAATGAAATAGATTAAGAAGGAGAGAAAAAGGGACATGGAGAATTCAGAAGATTAGAATTTGGGAGAACACAAAGAGTGGATGCACATGTGCCATTGCAAACGATTTTGAGCCATGTCGTTCAAGGTCTCTAACTATCGGTTTCTATCATCTCGCGGATCCCAACAACGTAGTCTACACCTACCAACATGGCTCAGTCCACTTGTCGGTGACTTCATGGATTTGTGCCATGATATACAAGCAATGCTTCGAGGGCACCTGTGATCGAACGCTAGTAACCTACGAATATCCATCTAGCTGAAGAGTCTCAAATATAGAAGGTAACCCACATCCTTGTTTCCTATTCGAAATTCATCGGCCAGATATACCAGCATTTGAGTGTTGACACACTGTTACTCAAACCAAATACGCCCTATTTCTTCAAACAACGATGAGTTCATAAGGTTACTTCTTTGTTTTTTTCTGTTGTTTTATCAGTAATTAGAATTGTTATTGGCCAATCACTGTTAGGATCAATTATGATCTGTGTTGTGACCTTTAGTCTTGCTAATTATCACGTGACTTATTCGCCACTCAGAATGCGACTTATACAATCTTAGCACTGTACCAAACCAATGACGTATCGATTAGTATAAGTAGCATAGCGTCCTTAATGGTCCTTTTCCATGCCTAGACCTTCCTGTTTAGTCCAGAACACCGATATCAGCTTCCACTGTATGTATCATTTATTTCAAACATACCTGGTTTATATACAAGCCAAGCAGGTCACGTCACATCATAAAGTACGAAATAAGATTTGTACAAGATCAAGCCGAAAAGTGGCTGTGATTGTAAGAAACTGTTATTAATAAATTGGGTATAACTTTTGAATAGTAAGTCGTATCATAATAATCTATAGGTCAAAATAAAGCTTATTAATAAAAGGAATATAAATATACATAATCTAGTCGCTTAATAATTATACAATAAGAATATATGTATAATATTAGTCCATAAATAGATCCCGACAGTTACCATTCATTATTGTCGTCGGAATATAACAATCTGGAATATCAACAAAGGAAAAAAACAAAAAAAATAAGTAAATATAATATTGTCATACTTTTTTAGAACATTTCTAAATACTTTGTAGTTTTTTTCTTTTTGGTAGGATAATTTACAATTAGCATGTTCATATTGTGAATCCTTTTCAACTAAACTATAATTTATGAACAAATTTTCAGTTATACTAAAGAAACCATGAGAAAACTTCAACCAATTGCAAAGGTTAAAATAGGATTATGAATTAGTATTAGGAATTAGAAGTTAAAGTTAAAAATAAAAGTTAAACTTTTCATCATGAATATTGACATCAGCTATAATGCCAGTTAATCATGGATAAATGAATTTCTCATTAAAGTAAAATAGTTGATGCTTTAATTCTGATTGGTTTATCCAAAAATTATATCCCCACCTTTTAATCGATGAAAAATTCCCATTATATTAAAACACAAATATATGAACGAAGAATATTCTTTTCAAGAATTTTTCATCAGGTTCCCACCTTTTTCTTGTCGATGATTAATATTTTTTTTAACAAAAAACCATTTTTGTTAATTTAGAAGACAAACAATAACCAGCACACCATGTTGGATAGAAGTACATTTAAATGGACCATTAAAATGGCTTGATCGTGTACTTCGACAAATGGGTTCACCTACACTTCCATGCACATCAGTGAGCTGAGAAAATTTTTTTGAAAGAAAATTAAATCAGAACACACCTAATCGATCTCATTCACCTGTTTTATTGTATTATATTATTACTATTAATTAATAATCTTCACGGCTGGTAACTAAACACACACACATGCACACGCACACAACCGTCATCGACCCCATCCTTATCTGTTCACCACAAGTGTTTTGTTTTTAAAATGTCTGTGTTCTACTTTGGTTTCTCCAACGGAAGAGATGTAAACGAGGAAGATTCACTACTAATGAAAAAGTGTAATAAATAATAGCAGTAATATATATATATATATATATATATATATTACTATTCTTATCTCTTGTTTCAATGTTTAGTATATAAGTTTTTATATGGTTCTTTGTCAGTATATTGAAGTTAATTGTCATTTTAGCTAGCATTTACGCTATATTTAAAAATAATGATAGCATTCAAGATTACGGCGAACACTTAAAGAACGGTGTAATATATACGTATACATATATGTACACTTGATCTAGGAATAACGAATGAATGAATTAGATATATTTCTACTAAATTAGCAGCAAAGATCATTTTATTAAATTGTTTTTGTTCCCCATAGATTTTTTATTGATTTGCCCTTCCCTCTTTTGGTTATCCGTTTCTCTGGCTTCTTAGTTAGTATTCTATTTCTTTTTGTATTTTGCAGTTGAGTTGATATTCTGTGTGCGTTTACTACTACTATTACTATTAATGTTTGTAATACTAATAATACAAACTCGGAATGATGATGTGTTAGACAGCTTATATTAAACAGTAGTAATGTGAATGTATTATTTCTGTCTATGTATACATATTTATTTATTCATTCTGTTCGTTTTCTCCAGGTTGATTGTTCGTTGGTTTGTACAAAAGTGTAATTTTCTCTTCTTTTTTTTCTTTTCGAATACTAAGTCTTGCTTACCCATAGACAGACAAACAAAGCACATTTAAGTAAACAATTGACTGTCCTATCTATTCATCCAATTTTAAATTGGTGCACTTTTCTTTTTATTCTGCACGATCGATTTTTTGTTTATTTTGCTTATCTAAATAAAAACACCCTGTTGTGGATATTATTTTTCTAAACTAACGTATGCTCTTTTTCCCCTTTCCTTTATATATATATATATATATATATATATATATATATATATATATATATATATATACGCGAAATTCTCTTTTTTGCCATTCAAAGTTTTACTATCATCATCGATCTTATTACTTATAATTATGTTGGAATTCTTTCTTTTAAAGAGTATTTAAAATTGGAAAACAATTTTTTGTTTGTTTGACAATAGTTCAAGCAGGAATAGACGGGTTGGAGACCTTGTAATTCATCATTCGATTGTTGTTTTCTACTGTGTATTTGTAAAGATTATGATATTTATAAATGAGTGAAATAAGTAGGTCGGCCTTTATTTCCCTTAGCATAGGTAAAAGGGGAATCCTATTTTGAAGGAATTCATAATTTAGTGTATATGGTAATTATCAGCTCTGTTTTTGTAAGTTGTTTAGTTCAAGGTTAAATGTTGATTACTTGAGTACAATTATATTCATCGAATGAAAAAAGATATTTTCAAATGATGGATTTTTTCAAATAAATCCACACTGGTTTATGTAGCGAAGCATCGTCTTCGTATTAAAACGAAGCAATAATGAACATGATGTATTAACTAGAAGTTTCTGATCGGTCAGTCATACTGAATTTCAGTTGAAGTCATTTTTAAAAATTTCCTACTCTTCTTAATAACGGGTCATGAATGTTAATTAAAGAGTATAAACACAGGTGTATCTGTAGTTTCATTATGGGATACTAATTCCCCTCAATTCATTATTTCAGCTGATATCTTTTAGATCTTCAGAAGTGAATCCTCTTCTGGAGTATCCATTTTAAGAAGAGTCTTGTGCAGTACGAACTCGCTTTCCACTGATGATAAAAACTGAAACTGACGTACTTAATGGTTTCCGTTGCTCACGATCAACAGTTTGTTCCCCATAACCACATCGATTGTGATACTTTTACCTCTCATTTTCCCTTAACTGGACGAACTTTATTGTTTTTTATCGATATTTAGCTGTATGAGTTGTTACGAGTTCTTCGTAGTTTCCAACTGTCGATCTGTGAGTGGACCTATAAAATCTTAATCACTTATTCCATAAGCTTCCCTTTGTTCTGCAAAGTGAATTGCCATGGTTAATGGGCTTTCACAGGTAGTAACACTAGTTCGCATATGTGTGGTTCAGGATTGTGCATGTGAAACTGCAGTTCACTCTCTACTTGAATTTTTTTTCGCTAAAGTTCATCTCCGAAAAGCTTCAGTGTTAGAAGAACGAATATCTTATGAAAATTGGCATCCCAATAAAGCCAAAAATTGTCGAATTGTGCTGAGCGGTATGGTGTTTCTTTGAAGATGAGTACATTTCGTTTCAAACAACTGAGGCAACACTTATGCTAAATTGTTTCGTTGTGCATGTAGTTAATTTAGTTTCGCGACATTCTTTTTGTGTTTAAGAAGCCGATGTTCCATTCCAATTGGGAACATTTTAAGAAACTTACCTTGGTGGAAATAGGGAAATAAAGATTAACACAGTCAACCAGACCTAAGCACTTGAACAATGTGACTGTTCGTATTCACAAACGCAATTGGAAGTACAGCATAAAAATCCTTGACAATTAAGTTGCCATTGGAATGTAAATTGAAGAATTCTTTTGAAAATACAGGTCAAAAATACGCAGTATCCAAATTTCATATTGATTTAGATACTATATTACCAGTAAAATGTAAGTAGACTAATGAAAAAATTATCAAATGCTTTATTTTTAATCTATGAATTTCAAGTAGATTTTGGGTTTGTAAAATTGTAAAATAACACAAAAAAAAACTGTAAACTAAATCGTGTATGAATAAGATCATCGTTATTAAATGTATGTCAGAGTAAATGCTGAATATAAAAGAACACAGTTGCGAAATAAATGCAAGGTTATCATCTTATTGGAAACAAAACAAAAAACGAAGATATATAGAAGTAAAAATATTTCATGAAGTATAATGGAGAGTGAAATGCAAGTTATAATGGTATATCAATAGTTTACAGTTGGCTTTTGTGTAATTTTGATCACGGTAACGGAAGATACGAAAAATGATAATAATATTAAATGTAATTTTAAGTTAAAAGAATCACAGCACTTTCTGATACAACATATCGCTATCATCAATCATTCTTTTATTCACATTGGAAAAAAATGTTTTAAAGAATTTTCCACAAATAATACGTCAATTTCTTTACGAGACAAGGTTATTCGTTGTTCTAATCTTTATTATTATTATCATCGAAGTTGCACTTTTAGCCGTGAAAATACAATTATCAAAAGAGAAAAAGGAAAACAAATCTATCCAATCATTGTAGACAGTCACGTGTCCTGGTGGTTGGTTCGTTTGTAAGAGATGTGCATAGAAACGAAAACAGTTGAAAGTATATTCTTTCTTAATAATGATAGTGATCGTCATCATCATTATAAATTAGATAATAAATGCTAAAATATTTTTAGTGATGAAATCAGTAATAATAGAAGAAAAATAATGATAATAGGGTAACGGGACAAAAATGTATGAAATGCATATAACACATGAAAATCTTAAGAGGAATCCACATTGATTACCGAAGCCTGCCTACCTTAATCTTTTGTTTTGTAACAGTATTATTTTTATTCTGTATAAATCCTATTATATTCCACGAAACAAATGCATAAAAACGATTATCATCGCATTTAACATATAAGCATTAAGTTGAATTGCGTAATGCCTATTAAGTATTCGCCATGATTACAGAATCTTATATATATTCGTCTCTTGAATAATGATAAAGAATATGTATCAATTATCACGATAATAATAATAATAATAATAATAATCGCAATACTAACGAGTGTAGTGTCAATAAATATATAGATAGTTGAATGTAGAAAGAATTAGGAAGTGATGTTTGAATATAGATTTTTATAAAGTATATTGTTTTTGTGATAGTACACATACGCAGATAATATTTCTGATTCAGAGAACTAATAACTTGTGTACAAACTGTATGTATATGAAGATTTTTTTAGAAAAAAATTATTAATGATAATTAGATGAATCTATTACTGTTGTTTGTATATCAGAATTGTTTGATTGTTTCAAGTCAGATAAGTGTCGATATAATACTTCAGCATCTTCGTAAACTTCTCTAAAATGAATAGAAATAGAAATTCAATAATAGAGATTAAATTAAATAGCTCAAAATGATAGACTACATTTGTTACGAATTGTTCTCAAGTAGGGTACTATTGAAAACCGGGGAGCACTAACACAGTTTTATATTTGTATGGCATTTCACCTTAGTAGTGAATATTTACAATTTCCCATTAGGAATCAACAGACAAACATTATTAACATAGAACTCAGAACAGAAGTGCATTGACCTAAGTTGCCATACTTGGCTAGCAAAACTAAGTGGAAAAAAAGATCAAAATAATGTAGTCGTAATAAACCTTGAGAATATGACTTAAGAGTGGGAAGGTATGCGCGAAAACATAATTGAATTTAATATTGAGAGATAATGCATCTGGTCAGTTTTGAACAATAATGAACTATGCCACACAAATTCGTTAACCAATGGTTATCATGTGGACCTCAATGAGGTAGACTGGACTTGCTTACATGGCTAATACTTGTGTAATGTTTCTACTTGGCCGCCCATAACTTTCTTCCAACTGGATTCTGTACAGCTCGTTGAGGCAGGCGATAGTTAGACATATGTTACAAATGTCCTGTCTACCTCAGTTGATGAAAACTTACTACCTCCCAGATTGATTTGCCAGGTACCATGTACTTAACCTTAATATTACTCACTCGGTTATTCCACAAAACGCGATCAAGGCTTCGAAGACATTTATGGTCAAAAGCCTTTAGCCTACACGTGTCTTCTAGTTCCATTATTTTATTATTATTATTTATTTGAACACATAAATATTGGTATAAGAGGGCACCAAATATATATACGCCACACAAAACAATGAGAAGAGGAAAAAAAGGAAGGAGCGTAAAAAAAAAGAAGAACAATAACGACCAGATTAGTGTAAGGTAGTGTAATAATAATGTGTTCTTTGGTTTTCCTCTTTTCCTTTGGCCTTCAGGATTCCATGTGAGGACTTGCCATGTGACGCAGTTAGGTGCTTTCCTCAATGTGTGTCTTATCCACTTCCAGTGCTTTTCACTGATTTCTTCCTCCACTGGAGTCTGGTTTGTTCTATCCCACAATAGGTTGTTGTTGATAGTGTCTGGCCAACGGATCAGAAGTATTTTGCGTAGACAGCTGTTAATAAACACTTGCATCTTCTGGATGGTGGCTTTTGTAGTTCTACATGTGCAAGATACAATTGTTGTGTGTTAGGTTCAAAGAGAAGTGCATGCGAATCCGCTCCGTTATTGTTCCTATTGTCGGATTAAACATCCCAGTAGTGGAAAAATCTCAATATATGGACTATAGATATGGTTCCAAAAATTTTTATTCATGAGTTTAAAATGTAGAAATATTATTATCTATATTTTGAAGACACCAGAAAATCAATTGTTTCAAAAGTATTTTGAATGATCTGTTATTTAATAGTTGTGAAATAAATAGCGGTTAAGTTGGCAAGTATATGTGAGTTCATTTGTACCGAGTGTCTAAATTATTCTGTTACGTCTTCTACTTGACTATGGTTAATACGGTAGATGGTTATTGGCACTCGGACGCATCGAAACTCAAAAGACAGGAAAAAGCAGGAACAGCGGTTACTCAGTAAGTGTGAATAATGTACAGAAAAATAGGGTTATAGTTTTTAGTATAGGTTATAGGATTACTAACTCCGCCTGGAGTCCCTTTCGGGGAGCTACTGCCGGTCCCAAGCCCGGGTAAAGGAGGAGGGTTGGGCATGGGGTTAGCGTCCCCATCCCGTAGAAAACTAACTCGCTAAAAATACGCTGACCAGAAAAAATAAATCAAACCATTTAAACTCTGCCCTGGGAGATAGAGGTAATATGACGCTTCATGGTGAAAGCCGAGTTCCTTCGGAAGCCATGAGGCCGATGCCCCTTCTAACAACCAGAGCAACAATTTTTATAGGTACATGGAACGTCCGGACAATATGGGAGACCGGGAAGACCAGTCAAATAGCAACGGAAATGAGGATATACAACTTGGCAGTGCTGGGAATCAGTGAAACCCATTGGACCCAAGCTGGACAACAAAGGCTAAATACGGGAGAGATGCTGCTATACTACGGTCACGAAGAGGAAAATGCTCCACACACTCAGGGAGTTGCTCTAATGCTATCCAAAGTAACACGAAATGCACTTGTAGGATGGGAATCTCACGGATCCAGAATCATCAAAGCATCATTCAAAACAAAGAAGGAGGGGATCACAATGAACATTATCCAATGTTATGCACTCACCAATGATAACAACGACGACGTTAAAGATCAATTCTATGAGAGGCTGCAATCAATCATAGAGAAGTGCCCAAGAAAGGACCTCACCATTCTGATGGGAGATCTAAACGCCAAAGTCGGAATGGACAACACCGGATATGAAGACATCATGGGACAACATGGACTGGGAGAGAGAAACGAAAACGGGGAAAGATTTGCAAATCTGTGTGCATTTAATAAATTGGTCATAGGCGGTACAATATTTCCACACAAACGTATACACAAAGCTACATGAATCTCACCGGACCACACCACAGAGAACCAGATAGATCACATTTGCATCAATAAAAAGTTCCGAAGGACAATGGAAGATGTGAAAACCAGGAGAGGAGCGGACATAGCTTCAGATCATCACCTGGTTGTGGCCAAATTGAAACTGAAGCTAAAGAAGAACTGGACAACTGGACAAACAGCACCACAAAGGTTCAATACAGACTTCCTTCGAGATACTGACAAACTCAATGAATTCAAGGTAGCTCTCAACAACAGGTTCCAAGCCTTACAGGATCTACTGAAGTTAGAAGAAACTACTATGGAGGATAGCTGGAAAGGTATCAAAGAAACATTAACTTCAACGTGTCAAGAGGTTCTGGGCCCCAAGAAGCATCATCACAAGGAATGGATCTCTATAGAAACACTGGACAGGATCAAAGAAAGAAAGAACAAGAAGACAGCAATTAACAACAGTCGAACAAGAGCAGAGAAAGTCCAAGCACAAGCAGAGTACATAGAAGCAAACAAGAAAGTGAAGAAGAGCATTAGAGCTGATAAGCAAAAATACGTGGAAGAACTAGCAACGACGGCGGAAAAAGCTGCAAGAGAAGGAAATATGAGACAGCTTTACGATACGACGAAGAAGCTAGCAGGGAAATACAGTAAACCAGAGAGACCAGTCAAAGACAAAGAAGGAAGACCAATCACTGAGATTCAACAGCGCAACAGATGGGCAGAGTACTTCGAGGAACTCCTGAATAGGCCAGCTCCAATGAATCCACCGGACATCGAAGCAGCACACACAGATCTTCCTATAGATGTCAATCCACCAACGACAGAAGAAATCAGAATGGCCATCAGACAAATCAAGAGCGGGAAAGCAGCAGGACCTGACAATATACCAGCTGAAGCGTTGAAGTCAGACACCGGAGTAACTACAAGCATGCTTCATCTTCTATTCAAGAAGATTTGGGAGGAGGAACAACTGCAGATGGATTGGAAAGAAGGACACCTCATCAAGATTCCAAAGAAAGGAGATCTGAGCAAGTGTGAAAACTACAGAGGCATTACACTACTGTCAATACCAGGTAAAGTCTTCAACAGAGTGTTACTGAACAGGATGAAAGACGCAGTTGACGCTCAACTTCGAGATCAACAAGCTGGATTCCGTAAGGACCGGTCGTGCACAGACCAGATTGCGACACTACGGATCATCGTCGAACAATCAATTGAGTGGAACTCGTCTCTCTACATCAACTTCATTGGTTATGAAAAGGCATTTGACAGTGTAGATAGGAGGACGTTATGGAAACTTCTTCGACACTACGGAGTTCCTGAGAAGATTGTCAACATTATCCGGAACTCATACGATGGACTACAGTGCAAAGTAGTGCATGGAGGACAGCTGACTGACGCATTCCAAGTAAGGACCGGAGTAAGACAAGGCTGTCTACTCTCTCCCTTCCTGTTTCTTCTGGTGGTCGACTGGATTATGAAGACCTCGACATCTGAGGGAAAACACGGCATACGATGGACAGCTCAGAACCAATTAGACGACTTGGACTTCGCAGATGACCTAGCCCTCCTATCACATACACACGAACAAATGCAGATAAAGACAGCCAGCATAGCAGCAGTCTCTGCATCAGTAGGCCTCAACATACACAAAGGGAAAACCAAGGTCCTCAAACACAACACGGAGAACAGCAATCCAATCACTATTGATGGCGAAACTCTGGAAGATGTAGAATCCTTCACATACCTGGGAAGCATCGTCGATAAACAAGGAGGTTCAGATGCAGACGTCAAGGCGAGGATTGGCAAAGCTAGAGCGGCATTCCTTCAACTGAAGAACATATGGAACTCAAAACAACTTTCAACCAATATCAAAGTCACAATCTTCAATACGAACGTCAAGACGGTTCTACTGTACGGAAATGAAACTTGGAGAACTACAACGACCACCATCAAGAAGATACAGGTATTTATCAATAGCTGTCTACGCAAGATACTCAACATCCATTGGCCGGATACTATCAGCAACAGCCTACTGTGGGAGAGAACAAACCAGCTTCCAACTGAAGAGGAAATTAGGAAAAGACGATGGAAATGGATAGGACATACATTGAGGAAATCATCAAACTGCATTACGAGACAAGCGCTAACTTGGAATCCTGAAGGGAAGCGGAAAAGAGGAAGGCCAAAGAACACATTACGTCGGGAAATAGAAGCAGATATGAAAAGGATGAATAAGAACTGGAAAGAGCTTGAAAGGATTGCCCAGGACAAGGTTGGATGGAGAATGCTGGTGAGCGGCCTATGCTCCTTCATGAGGAGTAACAGGCGTAAGTAAGTAAGCAAGTATAGGATTACTATAATCCAGCCAATCCTCAAGTAGGAAATTATACAATTGTTCAAGCACCGTATCCCACATTTATACTCTAGAAAATTCCATCGAGTTCTGGCTGGATGGAATCTCTTTGGTTCCCTTAGAGTCTCCGGAGGCGTCGTCGTACTTTCTGTTAGTCATATCAACATTCTTTGTGAAATATTTCTCGCCATATTTCACAGAAATTCTTAGCGTAATTTAAGTAGGAGTAATTATAATATTAGGTGTCTTGTATTCGATATTAAACATCACATATTAAATTATTCCATAGATTACCATATAAATTTAAAATCAAGGTTAAATATGAAAGTGGAACTATTAAACCCATTTCTACATTATGGCTATCGGATAGTTTTTATTTAGTGTTCTTAAGGAATGCTTACACAAATAACTAATGTTCGGGTGACAAATCAACGTTTGCGCTTCAAATTTAGTCATATTTTCTAGCAAACAACATAACACAAATAATTTTAGTTTTAACGAATGCATAATACCGTGAATTTTTTAATGAACTGTTATCTTTCCGATAAATATGCATTAGTTACCATCGATGTTTCAGATATGTGTTTTGATGACGAACATCAACTAATATGAAATCGAGAGCTTCCTCCAAATCGCCTCCAAAAACCTAGTATCTAAGCAAGTGAACACAATGTCCAGTTATTTAGACTACTGATCATATTGACATTTGATAAATGGAATTTAAACAGATTCAAGAATTAGACATATGCTACATAGGTTAAAACCCAGTGATCAATCACTGTAAGTACATCAGTCACTGTTTACATTACTCATTGGCAACTTATGTGATTGGGTGGTGGGCGGTTTGAATTTCATATGCAGCATCAATCTCCCCTTAAGATAAAATATAAACCATACTGACAGATGACAACTATTACAAGAGTTGCAATCGCAGGACTTCCAGATGATTGGCTCCAACCTCTTAACTTCAAACGTTTGTCTTAGTTTAACAACTTGAATCTTATGATTTAATAGAAACTAATTCACGAACACCACTCATGACTTCCATCTTTCCTATCAATCTATATTATAATCTAAGTTTATGAATGACAAATGTATAAAAATGGCTATACATAACAAAAACAAGTATATTTATATAACTACTAACCTGTTTGTTTTCTGTTTGGAAGTAACATCATCACAAGCTGGTGTATACTAAAATAAAAATATTTGAAAATAAACAACACTGAGTTTAACTTTTTGATGTGACCACTAGACACAAATCAATGAGCAAAATAGTTTTTATGTCCTGATTAAAATCCTACTGAACCAAGGAGCTAATATGATTATTTATTACTAGACTAAGAGTGAAGTGTAAATATTTTTAGTGTGCAGTGTTTATAGACAGTCCATAGAAATTTATAGTTAGAGGCTTTGAATAAATAGTGTCAAATACATGGAGCATTGGGTGGACTGTTTGCAATAATAAAATAATGATTGATTTTAATATCTTAATTAGTAGAAAATTGAATTTTTGTCGTTCTGTATAAATTTCTTCTTTAAATAAATAACCAAATAAAATTAGTACAGAGAAATAAATAAATCTGATTGTTGAGATCATGAGTCGATTGAATCTAGACCACCATGGAAAACCTACAAACACAGGACGGCCGTTCCGTCCTATCGTGGGACTCCCCAGCAGTACGCATCCACGATGCCGCTTCGAGGGATTCAAACCCAGGACCTAACAGTCTCGCACGCTTAACCACTAGACCACTAAGCTGGCATTCAATGGTGTTAATGTCTAACTTCAACCAATCCACGAAATTGCGCCACCAGAACCATTGTCTTTAGTGAGTTACTATCCCACAACAGACCCGGTTGAACTCCACTGGTCACAATAGGACGAAACGTCCGTCCGGTGATTCCAGGTTTTCTATGGTGGTTTAGCTTCAATTTGTTCATGATCTCAACCATTGAAATTACTATAATATGCACACAAAAAAATCTGATATAAATCTGATGGCATTATTGTCATATCAATCAGGTCAAAGGTGATATATATATATATATATATATATATATTTGTGTACATCTGGGTGGCTGTGAAAAATGTGATATTTATAATGTGGAGGATTCGAGTTAAATTGTATGTTAATGATGTGAGATTTAAACAAATTATATGTGACCAGTAGAGCTAAACCGTGTCGAGTGTAGGGAAGGTATCCTTCAAAGACATTGGAAGATGGTCGCGCAATATTATGATTTGATCGAAATTAGACTAGTACATCACTGGATCTCCCCAACAATGACAAATAAACGGATATTCAACACTTCATTATTATCAACATATTAGTTGTTTTAAATCAGATATTCTCAACTATTGAGTGAAACCAGGAATTACTATTCAAATTCATATCAACTTCCACTTTTATTATGCAAGTAAACAGTTTAAAAAAGTTTCAGATAAAACAAAATAGACAAGTTGGTGGTTAAATGATTTAAAATTTAGTCAGCACCATGTAAATTCCAGACACATTACCTATTTCTATCTCGGTTGGCCGGATAGTATCATTAATCTACAAATAAAAGGCATGACTTAACATTGAGTACACAAACCTATAAACTGAGTTGAAACAGTTAAATTAAAAATTGTAGTACAATAAGCCACAATTTTTAAAACATTGGGTATCAAGTTCAAGTTTCGATTTAAAGATTAGCTGAAAAATTTCCAAATGGAATAAATTTCAGCGAATCTTGAATTCCATCGTAAGCACCTACCAAAATAACATATCCAAACAATGAATAAAATGTTGTGACGGAATACTGAATATACTTTATGGATATTAAATTAGAGATAAACTAATCTTACCTCCATAACTGATTCATAAGCAGTTGAACATGAGCTGATTTCAATATCATACAGACGATTCACAGTACTTTTAGATAAACTAGTGAGATGATGTTGGTTAGAAGAAGAAATGGAACGATGCTGTGACTGTTGTTGTTGACTTGTTAACTCTTTAATTGTTTTATTAAACAGTGTTGTTGTTTGAACAATGTCAGTATTCTTCTTATTATTATTAGCATTATTGGTATTTGTCAATAATAACGGCATACATGATAACGGACTATTTAAAGATGAATTTGGTATAAACGATAAATCAGCATACTTTGTTGTTTGTAATTGTGTTAAACTTGTATCTTCAGGTTGACTTACAACCACATTTTCTGTAGTTGTTTGACTGGTATTAGACTGAGGTGCAAAAGAAGAGGGACATTTCGCATCTAGTAATGTTACTTGTTCATCACTTGGATCATTAGTGTTAGTTATTTGAATATTGTGTGCAGTATCATAGATATGGATTGGAGGTTCAAGTCTAAAAATGAACATTTTAAATATATATATATATATATATATATATATATATATATATATATCCGTGTATTTTGCTAAGGATGCACAGATAACGGGAAATTACAAACTATTACTTATAACTTTAGATCCATTGAATAAATTACTCATTATTTTAACTCTGTAGCTTAGTGGATAACGTGTTTAGGGTTTGAAGTGGTGGACATTGGTTTCGAGTTTCAATATGAAAATAATAACACTGAAATTTAGGTGCACGCCTAGGAGATCAGTCATAAATGAGGTGAAATATGCATCTTGTACTCCACAGTATGAATTTACATCGACTATAATTTATAATCATTGTTTTAGGAAAACCGACACATGAATAGCATTACAATTATCATACAAATCATAACAATCTAAAATGAAGGTTGTCTTGCATTGGAATCCAGGAAGGGCGTTCCGTCCAATCTGAGACTCGGACCCAGTACCGTTCGCTTTCATCCAGTGAACATTAACTCTGAGATGTAAATAGATCCAGATGACGAGTGTCAAACAGGACGAAGAGCGCGTCAAGGATTCCACTACTAGTTACCACCCATCTCTGCTTATATTGTTGATAAATATTGATTGAGGATTTCGAATAACCTTTAAAATAAATTAAACACATTATTCTGTTTTGGATTTCATTTCAAATTATCTAGCAGTTTGATATAAATTATAACCGTCAATCATCTTGTTATTACTTATTCACTTATAAATGAAAGGATTAAAATATAATAATAATCACTTAAGATATGATGTTAAAAAAAGAAATCCAACTACCTTTCATGAAGTGTTGCATAACAAGATGAACGTGATGATCTTTCGATAGGATCAGTAATATTGTTGTTTGCACAAAGTTGTAAGTCGATTGACTTATCCGATTGAGGTTTAAGTAAATTCTTTGTTGAACTTTCTACATATAAACTATATTGTATGGTTGAAATTGTATTTGTATTATTTGGCAAATTTATTAAACAATTATTTCTTTTTTCAATATCATTAACATTTCCACTAGATAAAATTGTTTGAACGCTATCATCTGTAGGTAATTGAGATCCTGCATTATTTTCGAAATCTAATATTGTATTCTGATCACCAATAGTACGTCGATGAGCAGTTGTCTTAACTAGACTAAAGTAGGAAAATAGAAGAAAAGAAAAAAAGCAATAAAAAATGTTTTGTTGTTCAAATTAGTTTTGTAAAGATTTTGTATAAGTTGAAGATAATTTACATTGTAACTTGAAGTCAAGTTGGAGACATTGACTATCTTTGTCAGATGACCTCTGACCTTGTGGTTGATTGGTCTCTTCTGTATAGATTCACAGGTTAGGTCTACGTTGATATAGTTGTTGGTTGCCAATCGATTTTGATTCCATAATTCTAGGAACTGTTTTGGCATATTTGGAGTTTCCTGGGTCCGAAATTGCGACACTTCCCACATATGGTAGAATAATCTACTTCTTGGTTTATGGGGTTGGTTTTTGACAGTGAGATGATTCGTAAAAAATGTTCTCGTGAAGTTGTTGGGGTACCCATTCTTAGCAAGACGGATAGTTGACGAGTTCCTTTAATTTTTTGTGCAGCGCATCTCCACAATGTATAGCTTGAAAATTATACAATAGGAAATGTTTATTTTGCTTGAAATGCTAGCAATTTTTTCGCTTTCATTTTGAAAAAGCATATTAATTAAATTTCGGAAATGCGTGCAGCCGAGTAGACGATTTTACTAGAAAACAAAAAATCTCTTTGGTCTCAGAGATCACAACACTTTTAAAGTCCTATACCTCAACTAAAAGTATTATCCATTATCACAAAAGATTTATATTAATAATACTAAGTTCTGTTGAAGATTTGGAAGGGAGTTCTTATGATGAGTTGGCGTGTTTGTGTATGTAGCCATAAAAGTGGACTGGTATAGAAAGTTCTAAATTAGAACAAGAAAGATGTTTAGTACCCAGTGATTTCTAGTAAGTTTCTGGCTGATACTTCAATCAGTGACAAACAATCTTTAGTACCTATGGAAATACTCAAAATAATTTCTCCCTCTCCAAAAAAAAGTTATAATCCCTACTCATACTGTGATGTGGATGTTACTGAACTTAAAGGTTCATATCACGGACCGACTTAGATTTTTAGTGGGTATCTAGCCTAAGTCAGTCATATAAAGCCCTTGATAATTCCTCAAAATACTTTGGAAGCCGGGAAATTGCTAAAAGTACCAAAATAAGTGTAGTGGCGTTCAGATATGCGAAATTATGAATAAAAGTTGAGTGTTATGGCCACTTATACAGATCCATACGGCTTAACATACTACTTATAAGTGAATTAGGTAAATAAACTTTTAAGTGATTTTCTCTAGGAGAATTAAATTTATTCATAACCACAAAGTTTGATGAAAACAACAAATCAAAGTTTTCAATGGACCAAATATAACCGAACAGTAAACTTAACAACAATTGTAAAAGATTACTTCATTATTTAGCGTATATATATATATATATATATATATATATATATATATATACTATAGGCGGACATCAAATTGTAGATAATAGTTTTGTTAAATCAAGACAATAATACTAACCTGAATAATTTACTGATTACAGTTTTTGGATGTGTTTTTCTCACACGAACAGTTTCATTATCGATACATTTTGCTATAATGCAAAGCAATGAAAAAATATTTAAAGAAAATGCAACTCAACAAACCAAGAATGATAGTGTTTGTACCGAACAAAATTTCGTGTATGCTTTACATTCTATTCAAAATGAAGAATGTATTCAATAGTATATTAACTAACAGGAAATCAATTTCTGCTTACAGTAGACTCTGTTTAATCATGTGGATAAAGATAAGCAATTACTCGTCGTATCATCTTTATTTACAGGTAAATGAATAAAGAGATGAGAATGAATGATTTAGTAAACACACAAAAATAGTCCATATTTCAAAGAATTGGATGCTATTTGCAGGAAGACGTGAAGCCGTTACGTCAACGATAATCAAATACGTGACATGATTTAAGATCATATCATAAATAATATATATATATATATATATATATATATATATATATATATATATATATATATATATATATATATATATATATAAAGTCGGCATCCCCATCCTATAGAAAACAATCTTGCTAAAAAAAACGCTAAGCAGAATGAACAAATCAAACCACTCAAACTCTGAGCTGGAGGTTGAAGGGAGAATTATGACGCCTCATGGTGAAAACCGAGATCCTTCGGAAGTCACGAGGCAGTTTTCCCTTCTAACAACCAGAGCAACAACTAATCTAGGCAATATTATTAAACTAGCCTCGGTCACTGCTTATACATTTTTATTTAAGTCAGTCTAGCCGTCTACGAATATTCATAAATTGTGAGTATCTTAATAGGCTTGAAAAAAACATATCTTAACAGACAATTTTTATTTTTATTTTGAATAGTTGGGTTAATCAAGGACTAAGAAAGTACATAATGGGTGAATCTAAATTAATTATGACTGATTGTTAGACGTTTTGTGTAATTTAAAGGCAGTATTCATCACGGACTAACATCATATAGAGAATGAATGAAAATTGACAGGTAATAGAAAGCAGTTTGGTACCAATTCAAATATTTTACACAAAATAACTCCATACTCGTGTGTACATATATGAGATAAAACATGAAGTGTTTGAAATAGTTAGATTAAGGGGAAGGTATTGAAAGCAAAACACACATTCATTCATTACATTTTTTAGAACTTTCTTGTTATTATTTTGATTCAAATTTATACAAGAAACTGAATGCATTAAACCAACAGAGTATGAAACTAGGTTATCACAATATTTTCCCCAGAAAAAAAAACGGTATTAGTGATGAACTCAATCTATAATAAAATAATCCCATAAATGCTTAGGATGAATACAAAGTGAACACATTTGAACATATTCTGTAAACAATATTGTAGTATACAGATGAATTTATGTATTATACTATTGAATATATCTATGAAAAAAACATAAATACACATATATCGCTGAAATTAAATGCAGTGCATTTTATTTCCACAGCTGGAAAGCAAAATATATGAAGAGTCAAGTAAGGGAATTTCTGTGTTGCAAATACGTAATCATATCTAAATAAAAATGATATTTCTGAGGAATATTTAACTGGTTTGATATTTGTACTGGGACTTCCGTTATACCAGAAAATAATAAGTTAGAAGATGGATGACTAAATTAACAATAACAAAAAATTTAGAGAGTTATAACGATGGATAAAATCGGAGTAAAGTTGGAAGAAGTTGAATGAAATTATAAGAGGAAAAAACAAGCTGATGGATAAACTCATTATATATTGATCGTTTGAATTTTCCTATTGACGCTTAGGATTGCAATTCGTCAATCTCTTTATTACATATGTGTATCCTGTGAGGATCACCTCAATATTCCCAATAAACTCGCACAAAATGTACATATACCAAAAGAAAATGATCAATTGCAGTCCTAAACATCAATGAGAAGATTCAAGTAACCAATACAAATGAATTAAACTTTACCCTACTGTACAAGCCAGTGGTTATCTAGTTAAAGTAGCTAAGTGGATAACACGATGGCGTTTGAAGAGGATGGTAATTGATTAGAGTCGCAGAATGAACATTAACTTTGGGACGCAGGTACATGCAACTGACTGTTGGGGGTATTCAGAAAATACCCCAGAAATTATCTAATGCTATTCCTGAATGAGAAGTAGTGCCATTTCCCCATTGGTCAACATTCTTCCAACGTGTCATCTCCTTATTGGTCAATATTTATTTGTGTCATTTCCTGAAGGTTAAATCTTGTACAATGTTACTTTCTATTTATGGTACGATGTAGTCTGTTTGTTTGGTATATAAACAGTGTATGTTTGAAATATAACGATTCATATCTCCGAGGCTGAGACTTGTGTTCTGGACTCAATTGGCTGGGCTAGACAGGGAAGCAGGACCAATCAGAGCTCTAGGCTGCTCGCACGTATTTTATGCGTCACTGTTCCGATCGATAATAGGCTGCTCTCTAATAGGCGGATCACACGTTATAACACTGACGAGTCCAAACTAGGACGGAACGCCCATCCTGGATTTCACTGCTAGCCATTATCAATCTATCTCAGCTTGTAGCTAAACTTATTCTAATAAATTCTCAAATAGATTTGATGAAATCCAGTCCCGAAAGGCTTCAGTACGATAATAACTGTAACTGTTGATAGAGAAGAAAGATAAATCTATCTCGTATTTCGTTTCGAGTCAATACAATGAGCTATGTATCTTTCTGTTAACTGATGTTTTAATTATGTAGCTCAAAACTCGATAACAAAAAAAGTACAAATAAAAAGGAACTTACTGATGACTGGTGAAGGACTAAATCTTTCACAGCTCATTAATTATCATCAAGATTTATAAACGAAACTTGCCATTAGGTAAGAAAAGTTTTGCTGTAAATAAAGTTTGTTTATTGTTTTTCTTAATTCGATGTCAAAAGGGCATTCAAGCAGCATACTGTATACAGTTGGTTGGTTTACATAAAGAAAGGTCAGTCAGTAAAGTATGGATCGATACAATATTTCAGAGCAAGACGCAATCTGTTTTTTTGTAGAACTCAGAAGATTATGAATGATAATAGAAGTAAAAAAAAGGTCTATACAAAAAGAAATTTTATGGAGCTGTATAAGAGCATTGTGAAGCAAATCTCCGGTTCAATTTATCACGATTGATTGACAACCTATTCATGTCTACTACCATTTGCTACTGAAAATTCAATGTGGGAGATATTATCTAGGGCAAATTTGAAATATTTTGATGTTTGTTACTCATGAGTAGCAAACCTTCGTAAATTGAAACTACTGTGGTTTATGCTGACATTTATAAGTAGTATGCAGCGGAAATAGGAAGTGGAAGGCCTGGTAGCAGAAAATTGAAGTGAAGAAAACAGAAACGAAATCGGAGAGCAATCAAAATAACAACATAGAAAAATAATGGAGTATGTAAAGGACAATGCAAAAAAATGTATTTAATAGATGGTTTGCATATTTTACTAAGCCACTGTATGTTTTGCATAAACAGTAGACTGGTTTTCCCTAGCTGAGTGTTTGTTCACTACACAATCACCTAATATCAGAATGTCATGATGACAGTAATATAACTCGATCGACAAAAATCATCTGTATAAAGCTACAACACAATTAATCAGTGACCTGAAAATAAATAACATCTGGGATGGTTATTTTTCACATCTCATTATTCCTAATTTCAGAAGAGGAATCAAACTATTGGTAAAAGAGTTTGTGATAACTAAAAGTGATAGTGTGAATAAACCTGATAGAGATTGATCAATCTATGGTAGAAATCATAGCTGTTGAAAGAGAGAAATGGGAATGAATGCTATTTGATCAAATAAATGATGAGTAGACGATTTCTCTTGAAACATCATCTTTACTAAGCAAGTATAGTTTCAAGTAAATGGAATTGAGAAAAGTCTAACTAATCGAAATGCAAAGAGGTATTAATTAAAATGATTGAAAAAAAGAGGCAGACACCAACGGTTTTACTTTTTTTTGGTCTGTTTAATTGTTACGTTCACGATTGAGATTTTTTTAATACAAACAGGAACTGACGCGAACTCAATAGAACGGCCATTGTCATATACAATACTTTAGCAATTACTCTCAAACGATAAAACCCAGGAATATAGGAGTGCAAGAAAGATTGATATTCAACGAAGTCAGGATGGTCAAAATTTAAAAAGAAAAACTCCGCGTATATTAATAGTAATATGCAATTACTTTCAGACAACAAAACTACCAGACTAAAGGGGATATAACAACAAAGGTCACTGAGGAAATATGAAGCAGAAAAATATAACGCACTTGTATTCTTATCAGATGAAACCATGATTTATTAGTAAAAAACTACATAATCTGAGCTCTCCTTAGCAGTAATTTAGGAAAAGAAATAAATTATCCCGCTCACCATTTTGTTTATTACACATACTATCAACATCAACAACGGAATTATGCCCTCTTCTTTCTATATTCTTATCAGGTTGTTGATCAACATTATTATTATTATTATTTTGTAAAGAAAATGAATTCGGCATATCGACAATAAGTTGTAGTTCTTCTGAATTCAACGCTGTTCTCGGTTTTAACACTGGACCATTCCATGAGGCTGGATCAAATGGTACAAGTACCATTTGACTAAAGTCTATTCTCGGTTGACGATATACAACACGATATTTACATTTTTTATCATTTAAGTATTTTCCATGTGAATAGTAACATTTATGTAAAGTGGATTTATTGGTTATTGGATTTTTCTCAATATTCATATTTAATAACTGGTCACCAGCAGCGCCAGAGACTGACGAAAGACTCAATTCACTGAATAAATCTAATTTATAACTATAACGTTCAGTTTCGGGATCCGACAGAGGAGTAGTAGCATCGTAATTCAAATCGGAATCATCTGTTAAACATTGATAACATATCATTGATGACTTATCACGATCCATATCATCATCACTGTCATGATCATCATCAATAACAATGTTATCGTTCGATCGGTATTTACATAAATTATGTTGATAATTACATAATATTTCTGTTGATGACGATGAGTAATTCGATAAACGTTTTTTTGAATCTTGATCTAAAAGCGTAAAGACATGGAGAGGAAGACAAACAATACAATGGTAATTACATAAATCATATCATTAGTATTTACCCATAAATGACAGTTTTATTTACAGTTGACATAGGATTGGTAGCCAGGTACAATATCACTAACTTTTGACTGAGGCTTTGAATCATGTTGATAGACTATCTGGCTTGTGTCAAGATGATAACTGAGATCATCGGCTGGGTAGCATGATTTAGAATCGACCACAATGGGACGGACGCAGATACTTTTTATTTTGCTGTAGATGTTGAAGCCCAGTATATATTCATATATATATATATTCCCACTCGATCTTTTCGAATTATGTTTTCAATGTTAAGTCTTCTGTATCATTGCTGCTATCACATGATTTCGATTGATTAGACGTTAACTTTGTTAATTTCATCTTACCGAGTTATTTTCTTCCGCATTCATTTTGTGGAGTTATCATAACAGCAAAACTTTATTCCTGAAATGTTGTTACCTTCATGTGAATAGGATATATTTCACAGTGCCTGAGGAGTAATATGGGTATGCTTTACGTCATAGTTATTTTATAATTTCAGTAATATTCATTTTAAAAGATTAGGTATGCACCATTATATCTTCAATGACGCTACGCTCTTCAGAACAAAAAGTAGTCAGTACAATAGGCAAGAGGACAAATATACTAGAGTAATTGGTTATAGAGGTAAACCAGCCGAGAAGAAACAACGTTCAAATGAATCAAGTATTTTATTAAGGCTTGGGGGAGACAACACAACACGACACTGTTACCGGGCTTCGGCGTGGATAAGAACATCGAATGAATGAGATATCACGTAATGTTCGATTGTAATTCGACTGCCGCGCTAAATAGCATGCAATATTCATCAATATTAGCTCCTACGATTTATCATCCTTCAAATGTATAATAGTTACTTAAGAGTGACGCCACCGGGCTGCCACATAAAAATAATGAAGCGTGGAATGACAATACAGATGAACAACTTGTCTTCTAATGACTTTCACAAATGTTTAGAACAACGGAAACAAAAAAATGGGACAAGTATGTTGTCACAAATGGGGAGTATTATCGACAACATAAGATCAGTATAGTCTAGATTCTATAAAATGAAATTTTTAGAACTTTAGTAAATAGCTTTTAGAACTAAACTGTAACAGACATGTTGGAATGAGAAATGATTTTGAATAAAACACATGTAAAGGTCAAGGTACATTAGACATTTGATTTGTTTTACTTGAAGACTCTTTACAAACGCGTATATATAGAATAATAAATAGCTAAGAAACCATCAGAATGAAGGTCACAAAACCAGTAAGGCCTTACTTCTTGTGATATAAAATTTAAAATTTATAATAATTTATCTATGCATATGGAGTAAAAAAGGTGATTGAAACCAGACAGCAGGAAACTCTAGAACTCTGTTTTGTGTTAATAGGGCGTTTTTAGTATGGTAAATCTATGAACTGAAGAGAAGTGAAGCTTCTCGTGGTTTGCTTACTCACACAGATCAGTATCACAGTCTGACGAATAACTATTGAAGTATTCAGGTCACGATTAATATCATGTAGGACTGAAATAATTAAAACGGTTTATCACCGAGCAGTAACTGACATCATGTCCATCCAGTAATGACACAATTCTATCAATGATTAGTCAGTCAGTCAGCTACAACATAGGACCACGTACATATATGCATCGGTTCACGTTGCCACACTTCATTAGCACAACAAAATCAACACCAAATGCATGGAAGTAGGCACATCATTGTTAGTGATGTATATACATCAAGATTACATATAACAATATGGTACAGGGAGAAAGAATTAATTCGTAGAAAGAAAGATATATGACAATTTTAATCTCACCGTTTAAGGGAAGACAAAGAGTTTATACACCAGCGCCATTGTGATCGATTCTGAGCCATGTTACCTAGAGACTCCAACCAAGTAGTCTGCATCTACCAACATGGCTCAGACCATAAGTTAGTGACTTTAGGGATTGATACCACGTTTTCCTTTGGCCACCCCTAACTTTTTTATATTTATCTCCAACATCAGTCAGCATTGCGCGTCGTGGTAAATGATTCAATATCGTGTCCACACAGCATTACACAGTCAACTCAATGTTCAGTCACTTACATTTAAATATTGCTACTTGGTCGGTGGTATTCAACTAGGATTAGATAAACACGATATCGGTTACTAATTAATTAGTAGTTAACCAACGATAATTATGAAAATTAAATATAACATAATTAATTGCATATAAATGGAAAGCACAGATATATCAACTTACCTAAATTACTATAACAGCATTTTGAATTACGATAGAATTTTTCATTATCGCGATAGTGATGATGACGACGACGGCGACGATAATGATGATGGCTATGCTCAGATGTACCATTTGAATTAGATGAAGGAATGGAATCTAAATGTTTAAGAGTTGAGCTGATTTTATTGAAAATCGATATTTTCACATTTATTTAGGATGTGGAACACATAATCACATCCAGCATTTTATTATCGACCAGGAAAACAGTAAGAAAGAAGAAAATAATAAATCACGATAATAAATCTATTTCATATCATTCCGTGAGAAATATATATATCTATACTGATAGGTTAAACTGAAGCTTAGTTCACCAGTTTTAGTTAAACTGATATGAACATTGAACTTTTCTGCTTCATGCTTACTTAAATCTCATTTGAAATTCGGAAATTCTAATTTCAACCCCAGTATTGTGAAAAAATGTTATTGAACTGCAGTTCTAGCGGAAAAAGCTTTAATTGAAAGTTTAGCATTGATCTTTGCTGCTATCTGATTGGTTGTTCTCGAACTTATTTATCTATTTTCGCAGTCGCAACCGTTATATTCGTTGCTATATAAACAGAGTTGTTCTGTTATTTTTATTTCAACTGGGAATATAAAAACTCTCCAGAAAGTTACATCTTTCTCCCACATTCGCATGTGGATTAATAACTTTCGGACGTTTTTGTTGAGTATTAACTGTCTGATCTATTTAGTATGCATAGATAACATTTCGTATAATAAAAATCTATCAATCGTTTGTCATTTGGAATAACTGTAAGGTATCTCAAATAATGATAACATTCAAGTTATTCAATTCCGATAAGCTTAGTTTCCATGGTTAAAAAGTGGTACTTCCACCTATTGGGGATTCGTGTAGTCAGGTGGTATCCCCAGTTTTAAAACGACATACAAATGAACACTACATTGTTTAATTTGTATTAACATCTCCCACTTCAGTCACTGTTTATACGCACAATTAAGTATGTAAAACATGTATTAAGGCGCGAAAAAAAATAACAAGGAGTTCAGAGAAAGACAATAAGTTCACTGATGAAAGCTGACAAAAATGATCTAATTCATAATAACAATAAGACATTCATGAATATTGTTTGGTTTATAATAAAACGATACTACTCATTAAAAGATTAGTAGTATAGTAAGATTTGTCGAGATTGTAGGGTTTTCATACTTGGAATCACGAAATGATCTTGGCTCAACCATCATCGAAGAACTGAAAAAACTGGAAAGGCTCCTTAGCAGTTAGCATTCATGACCTCGTATCCGGAAAGAAAACTTCTGGAGTTCATGTGGTCAGTGGAGTTCGACTACGTCGATTGTGACAGCTTCCACCTCAAAAAATGTGCAAAGGTTGAGGAATGTCGTGGGTTGATTGACGTTAGACACACGCCACTGGATTACGTCCTAGTGATCTAGAAGTCAAGCGTTCACTCACGAGACTGAATGTCTTAGTTCCTATACCCGGTCGTGGATATGTAATACTGAGAAGTTCTATACTAAGACGAAACAGGCACCCAGTGCTTCCATGTTTTCAATGATGATTGAAATAGGATCAATTCGTGATCTAAACTATGAATGTTAGAAGATTGGTGGGTTAAAATAACCAAAGGTACCCAAAATTTCAGAAGGTTCGTTTATTCACACAAAAGTTTTCCAGGATTTTATGGGAATTAATTAAGCACATATGATAATTTTAACAATAACTGAACAAATTTACAAAGTGTAATTCCCGGACTAAAAACGGTAATCTCTTAATATATTTGATTAAGACTAGAATACTTACACATCTAGTCAATGAATGTGATACACATTTAAATCTTCCTGTCCTCTGATTTTATATGATTGTGCAATGATCAATTATTACTTAAAAATAAAATGTTAAATAAAAATTGAAACCTGTCAATAGCTTCCCATGCATAAGATATGTGGAAGGTGGCAGAATCCGGGACGCAAGTTCTATCATATCTGTGACTAATTAACTAGATTTCCCAGGATTCCAGTATTAATGTTCACACCGAGACTCGATCGCAATAACTTTCATTTCAAACTGCAGCAGGCTGTTATTCAGCTAAGGTACTCTTGTCTAAAAAACGATTGGTTTGAATCTATCAAGTTACATTAGGAAACTTGTTTATGGTAAGTGAAAAAACCGGAAATTCCCATTGTAAGTAAAGAACTATCTGCATATAATATTTATATTGAGGTATAGATTATTTTAGAATGTGGTGTCTTCTATGTGATAGATTAGAAAACTTAGTTAATTAAACTTTTAAAACTTTCACGAATCTTTCCACTAGTGATTCAGTGGTCGCTAACCGCTCCTCGCATTATAAACGAACAACATTTTGAAGATAAAATTAGACATATACGCATAGACTTCTTATACTGTGCGCAGGTACAACTCTGTCAAAAATTATTCATACCACAGCTCTAAGAATTTCATTTTATAGAATCTAGACTATACTGATCTTATGTTGTCGATAATACTCCCCATTTGTGACAACATACTTGTCCCATTTTTTTGTTTCCGTTGTTCTAAACATTTGTGAAAGTCATTAGAAGACAAGTTGTTCATCTGTATTGTCATTCCACGCTTCATTATTTTTATGTGGCAGCCCGGTGGCGTCACTCTTAAGTAACTATTATACATTTGAAGGATGACAAATCGTAGGTGCTAATTACGATAAGAGAAAGTGATCGATCGGATAGATTATCGTAGTGGGAGTGGGATTTTAATTACAAAGTGAATAGTTGTTTGTCAAGTTATGTTCATGTCTAACAAGCTTAGTGGTTCTGGTTAATGTGTATATTGGAGAACAGATCACTTACATTATGATTAAACTGAATAAGAAATATTGATAAACATGAACTAGAGCAACACATATAAGCAAATAATACTGTTTTTAACATTACATCGGTCATAATATCACTGTACACTTACCAGGAAGTTACAGGGATTTGAACATTTTTCACCGCACAATAGTCGATGTTAACTGTTTTTGAATCACATTGAAAACTATTAATAATAATGGGAGAGTTAGTGACAGTATTACAATTATTAGCATCATCATGATAATTAGTCCGATTGACATCAATATTTTCATCGTTATTTTCATTAGACTTTGTATTACATATTAAAAATGATGAAGAAGCAGAAGATTTGGTAGTCTGAAGATGGAATACAGAAGGGAAAGGAAGAGAGGAGGAAAATAAAGAGAAATAGTAGGAATTGTTTTATTATTCTTGATAATTTTAGCATTACAGTTATGTATAAAAATATGTCCGTGTATACCAGTTAATTAAAACGATGACATTTCTAAAATAGACTGACTAAGGAGAGAAAGAAACAAAGTTGAAGCAAAAAAAAGACCAGTAACAATCAATATACATTTCCTTTTCGTCATTCAAGTTTAATAACTAGACTCTTTGTCTATATCTCTCATTTATTCACTCATTCATCCACTCTCTATCAGTTTATTTATGCTAATGAAATGCCAAAAAAATTTCATGAGTATTTTTTCTCATTTATAATTTATTACATTACGATTTTATTAACTGGTCTTAATAAGTCAACTAATCAAAAGAAATATCCGAATACACTGAGTAGTAAAAGCATTTATGAGAAAGAGAGAGCGTGCAATTGACCTTGTCATCGATAAAGGGTGTTGTGTTTTTCTGGGCAATTTTTAAAGACAATCAACAATCTTCAGTCAGTCACAACGTAAAACCTGTACATGTGTACGCCATACCCGATTAGCACACCAAGATGAAACTGTTAAACTGAATCTCAGGATAGTAGAGGTAGTAACAGTATCAGTGGTAATAGGAAGCATTATGCATCGAAGATACGACTCGAAAATAAAATATAAATTAGCTAAAGTTTAAAAAAAGTTGTGAGGAATATAGAATCTCAGAATTTCAGGGAAGAAAAGGAATTAAAGCACCTGCACAATTGTAAGTAATCTTTAATTAAATCATCAAAACGGATCGATGTGGAACGTGTGAAATCATTCTAAAATATTCATTTACATTTGAAGTTGATGTTGATAATTCTATTTAGGGTGACAAGAAAGAAACTCTTAAGTAGACTACATATTTCAGCGAACGCAACATCACTGCATGAATCTATCTACCTGAACAAATTTGTTCTATTAATTGGAACTTTCTCTGTGAAGTAGTCGATTGATAATGTATCAAGTACAAGGTAAACTAAATTAAAAAACAAACTAACATCTGTTTACAATAAATAGTCATTGCGATTTATTGACGCCGATAGATAAAAAACTCCCCAAAAACGTAATTATGAAAACAGGTATGGTTCACATGAAAAATTGCCACACCAAAAGGAATGTGTATAATCTGAATATCAATGTAAGAGGTTAGGATACAAAAATAATACCTGAGAATTTGATCCCAATATTATTAAACTAGTATATCAATGTAATAAGTTAGTTTTATTTTGCGATACATTGATATAAGAAATATGTTGAACGAAAATCAAACAAAATTTCTTGCCAAACACCATTTTCAATTATTGTTCAACATCAAAATATAATCCCTAAGATGTTAAAGTTAATTAAATCACTGGTCAAATTGCAAATTGATCAGTAGGGTTCGAACATCAGTAAGGATTAAAAGAAACTAGACAAACATGACATTGAACACAATCAATAGTAAATTATCACAACACCATAATGACAGGAAAAATTATTACTCTCAAAGTAAAAACAATCTAATAACAAAACTTACTTAGTTCAGTCAAACACTGTGATGTGAGACGAAACACATTCTTATTTGCTTTCTATTTGATGTTTCGTTTATACAATGTCATAAAAGCAAACAACTGTTAAGCATGAAGTAATAACAAACAAACAAGCCACAATAAGAGAAAACTAGGGATTTGTCTCAATTCTTAGTTGTTTTCGATAAGAATGCTGATGAATGTTATTTATAGTAGGGTAGTAGTAGTAGTAGCAACGATAATAATAATATCTTTATATTCAATTCCATAGTAGAAGACAACCGATCAAATGTATACAAATAGCATTAAAGTATCACTACATGTAAGTGCATACATAAACATTTTGTTTTGAATACTACGTGAATAACATATCTCATCAAATGGAACGAGAGGGAAAGGCAAACAGTAGTAGAATCATCAAAGGAAATCTTTCAAATATTTTATGATAAATAAAAAGGAGAGGAACATAATTTAGACTGAGTTAACACTACAAGCAACAACAACAACATTAGAGTTGTATCCGGAATGTACAAATAATTCAATTTATAAGGTAGTTTATTAAATTCGTTACTGAAAGTGGAAGAGTAAACAAAAATAGAGAAAAAAAGGGGAGCATATATAGACGGTAAAACAAAGAGAACTTGCTGTGTATAAGTAAAAAGAAAAAACAAAACAAAAAACAGTATGATAAATATAATTTCAGTGAATCAACTCAATCTATTTATATTATTGCTATAGGCCATCTTAGTTTGTATATTGATCTGAGCAAAGAACATCTACAATTGGTAGTATAAATTGTAAGACGAAGAAATTAATTAGTATCGAAGTAGAATATAATTAATCGTTTGTCCCGACTGTGGATGCTATTGGCTGGTTTCAATAACTAAATAACTATATAAGTAGTAAATACAAATGATAATCGTGATGACCTGATTTGAAATTTAAAAATATTCTTGAAAACAAAAAAACCTAATCAGCCGATAACATTACTTTCCTCATTAACAGATAAACAATACGTATGAAGATAATAAAAAGAAGCCGCTGAGAAAACAGATGTATCACTATTAATGAATTCATTTCATAGCTAACACTGTCAAAAGAGAAGTTTAAATGCTCAAAGTTAATCATGAAATGAATCACAGTAGGAAAAAATCCGAAAGTTAAATTGTTGAAACAACAATTATGTTAAGCGTTTTTACCTTTTCTCTGTCAATAATCAGAAGAAAAACTTTACATAATGTTGTTTAATGTGAGAATTAAAACAGATAAATTAATATCCTTGAGAATAAACGGACGAAAAACAGTTAAGCCTAATTTAATATATATTAATATTTAGGTACTGGAGATCACAATATTTATCAGGAAGGGGTAATCGTAAGAAATACTTAATTAGTATGAAACAGGTGCATGCTCAGAGGAACAGAAGCGAGTAAACACACCCACAGACAGACACGCTAATATGCATACGTCTTGGATAATAAAAATCGTAACAGAAAAACAGGTAATTAAAACAGATGATGAATCAGTGTAGAATTAACATAAAAACATGCAAACACATACAACACACACGAAAAATTACAATACATTATAGATGGATATGAAAAGCAATTACTAGTAATGACTACATTTACTACAGATAGTATGATATTGAACAAATTATATAACATACAAGTAAAATGATGAAAATGCAAACGACAAATGTTGATGCATGCATTTATGTATACATATACACAGGTATCCACGCAGATAAACGAACAAGCCATGAAAAAACAATATATGAACAAAAGAAATGATAAAAAAAGAGATAAAACAAAATGTTAATGAGTTATAGGGATTACATGTAAATGTAAATATACATTTATATATACATAAGCATATATATTCCTTAAATTATAATTAAGTGATGAAACAAAACTACCTACCACACCACTGTTCAATACAAATGACAATTACATTTCCAGAAAGAGTAATACACAGTAATAACAGAAATAGCTGTGATAGCAATATTAGTAAAAACAGGAACAACAGAGCAGCACAGAATAAATATGAGTAACACATTCAATGAACATATGATTTTAACATGTTGCTTTTATGATATATATACTTGAGATAATCCACTGATTAATACAGCAGACCACACAAACACGTATATACAAGAAACAGTTAATATCATTATCATATAGACCGGGATGTGATGAATAGTGATCGGTTATTGGTGCTTACTTAACAAAACAGATCAATCTTACATTATCCTTATTATGATATGACTATTGGATATGCTAAACTTCATGCAATGAAACTGATGCCAATATTACGTGATTGATGGGGACATATATATATATATATATATATATATATATATATATATATATATATATATATATACACAAAACGTAGGATATGTCAATCGAAACGTTTTTTTTAAAATTGTCACTGATAAAAACATTTAAGCAAACAATATAATTAGCAAGTTTTAGACAAGTGTTAATGGAAAATTTTATGTACTCACAGTTTCATGGGAATTATTGACATTTACAGTAGAGTTACAAGTATTTGATTTTAAATGCAAAATCTTTGACATTTCTTCACTGGACTATATTGAAAGATTAAAAGAAATAATAATAATAATAATTATAATAATGAAGGATTATGTTACGCTTATATAATATCATATACAAGAAAACATAGATATTACATAATATCGTACTGGTTCATAACAATAATTCAGTGATCTATACGTAAAGAGCATGTCAGTAGGTTTTGTATTCAGTTCCTAAAGGAGGCAAGAACTTGAGGTAATAAAAAACTGTTCGAATAAAATCGACGAAACATTTTTCATCAGAAATGAACACGATCTATGCCAGTTTTAGAGATCATGTAGTGGTTTCAGGGAAAAGATTACATCAAACATAATATTGTGCCATTTACATAAACCATGTTTACACGATTAAACATTCGAAACTGAATGTTTAATCATAGCTGAACCAAATGGATAACTAACTATTATATTTAATGACAGCAATTATTTAAGATCACATTCAATGGCGTAGTTCTGGAAGAGGTGAGAACTTTTGTGTATCTGGGTAGCATCATTGCTGAACAAGGAGGATTTAATGCAGATGTAAAAGCAAGGATTGGCAGGGAGAGGACATTTCTACAACAGAAGAACATATGTAGCTCAAAAAAGCTGTCTGCAAGTCGACATCAAGTTCACAGTCTTCAATACGAACGTGAAGACAGTTCTACTATACTTGAAGAACTCCCACAACTATCACCAAAAATGTACGAGTATTAATGAACAATTGTCTACGAAACATGCTCAATGCTTGTTGACCGGATACCATCAGCAACAGCCTACTATGAGAGAGAACAAACCAGCTTTCAGATGAAGAGGAAATTAGGAAAAGACCTTGGAAGTAGATAAGAAATACATTGTAGAAATTATCTAACGGCATCACGAAACAAGCGCTAACTTGGAATCCTGAAGAGGAACGAAAAAGAGGGGGACCAAGGAACACATTGCGTAGAGAATTGGAAGCAGACAGAAAAAGAGTGCATATCAACTGGAAAATATTGCCCAGGATAAAGTTGGATGGAAAACGCTGGTGGGAGGACTATGCTCTTCCACGAGGGGTAACATGCGTAAGTAAGTTAGCTACTCCCTGGAGTTCTAGCGAGGATCCATAACCAGTGGACTTCAATCACTTAGAATGTGGGGCAGTTACAAACTGAAGGCAACGGAAGATGGTAGTAGAGCAAGTAATCACTGCATATTGATCCAGCAATCTTAAAGGTTATGGACTCTGCGCAAAACAAAGTCTTGGGTTCGATTTCCGAAAATATTATGGATTTCTACTGACGAAGTAGCAGGGCCGGTAGTTCCTAGTTTTCGACGATATCTCAACGGGGATTAAGCCGATCGCTACAAACCCCTTCAACTAAAAAGAAAACAATTATCAATTGAAGTGAAAACAATACAACCTATGTGCCATGGAAGAAAAGCAAAGTATGGTTGTTTTGTTAATGAATGTAATTCACAAAGGAAGGTAAACAATTTACAAGGAAACAAAACAACCATGGTAAAAACAAATATTTTGTTTGTTTTTCTTAGTATTTTCATTTGCATTTCCAAAATCACCTTGCCTCTTTTTATCACTATTTTAGTTATTGTTAAACAGTCATATAGAATTCGATTTGGAACTGATGAGCAAAATAATCTGTTTGTTTTCTTCTTGTATTTCTGTGCACAAACACAGAAACAAACATATAAACAAACGAATAAACGATATCCAGTAAAAAATATTAGAAGAATTACACATTACTATTTTATAACCACAACAAATATATGTAAATTAAAAAACTGATTCCCTTTAACATGAAAAAAGAAAAAAACGTACAGAACAAATTTGCTTTAAGAAGGATGATAGAAATGAGAACAAAAAACCAGTTTACACCAACGAGGTAAATATTATTATTGTAACTTTTTCAATTAGCTTATATAGAGTTATTATTATGTATTTTTATTGTGTAATTATTATTAGACGTTTGAACTACTGTATTCTTATGTTTTCATGTTTGTAAGCTTTCGTTAGGTACGCAAACTACTATTATGTGTTTTACTTTCCTTAAGTTATTGATAATTAACTGTGAACTTATTATTCAGCTCCCTTTCACTTATGGAGTAGTTATGTCTATATTGTAATGTCACTTATGTCAATTGAGCCATTAGTCGAAGGAAGGTCATTGGTCCTCTATGTTGCTAATCTAGGAGGATTAATCAATACTCCACGGATGCTCCTATAATAACAGTTCTGTATTACAGCTTTCAATACAATTCTAGAATATGTCCTTTTGCCATTATATCGCAACCATACTGTAGTAAGAGAATAATCATAAACAATGTTTAATGCATGCAGTGTATGTTAAGTGTAAGTTGGAAGTTAAGGTTTGACGAATTTCTAATTATTTGGAAGAATTGTTGTCTAGTAAAATAACTGAAAAAAGTGAGTATTTGATGTAAACTATATTTGGAAAAGCGAGCAGTTAATTTGATAATGGATTAGATCTAATTATTTGAACTCTCAATAATGTTAAGGGTAGTACAGTGTTAGTGTTTATACAAAATTTGTGTACTACTGTACTTCAGATTACGATAAGCGTGCCAACCTAGGGTTGATGGTTGAAAAGAGTGGGTTTAAATAAAAGAAAAAAAAAACAAGTTAATTGCGCTCAGAGGACAATACAAAGTATAGGTATCTATAATAGTAAAATTTTGGTCAATTGAGTGTCTTGGTACCTGCACGATTGTATTTATTTATTTATTTTGACACATAGATATTGGTACAAGGAGGCACCAAATACATATGCGCCACACAGATCTCATTTGATATGTGTGAGGGCTGTGATACTGCCCGGGTGCCCAAACCGAAGCAGGTGGTTTTCTTAGGGGCCACACCCCGAGCCTTCGACCTGAAGATCTGATCCACAAGGCAGTGGAGCATCGTGAGGAGATGCAGTCCCATGGTAGCCGGTGACCAACGATTGGTTCATACGCCATTTGTTCCTTCAGGATACTGGAGTCCATGTGCACTATTGGCTTGGGATCCAGTTAAAGCGCCGGATATTCACTTTTCGTCTTCTCATTTTCGTAAACAACGCCCCAGCCACATGAAGGCAGTGAGTAGGACTTCCCTGGCAGAGGCTATATACGCGTGGTCATGTGAGAGCATTTCGAGAGGGAGAGCGGACTCTCCTCACTCTCGGCCGTACCAGGGCACGATTGTAACAGATTTGAGCTTTGTGTTGGTCAGTTTGCAAAGGGCCTCGTTAGTGTCTAATTATTTTGAAAACTGAATGAGCCATTTTTAAGTCATTGAATTATATCGGTGTAATTAAGTGAAGACTACCATAGTATCGATCATTTGAAGTAACACTAAGACTACTACTACTACTACTACTACTAATAGTAATAGTAATAAGTCGACTTTACCTTAATCATCCATTGATTAATCAATAATGGGATGAAAAGATCGATAATTTGCGCTTTGTAATAGTTTCCAACATATATTAATGGTTATAAAATAAAAACAACTTGGCAAAGAGAGTGCGACTGAAATAAGAATAAAACTGCAGTGTAATTTATATTGCATCAAATCAGAAACGGAAAAGACAATGTAGAAATTCGAAAAAAATTGAAAAAATAAAAAATGTAAATTTAGATTACATTAGATAAAGAGAAAAAACAAAGAACGGTAATTACGTGTCATTTATATTCTGTATTCAGTACGAAAACGATGTAATGTCACTTTTCTAGGCCATATTATCTTGCTTTGCTTTGCTAGCGTACTAAAACGTATAATGAACTTTGGAAAAAGTCAAAACATTATTAAATTAACTGTTCACTTTTCCAGGTATAATAATAGTTATATCAATAATGATAATAGCACTCAATGACAGAAGCGTTTGAATTAACTTCTGAAAAATAAATCGACAGAATGATGGAAGGTAATCAACATGGTATTTTTTGTCACAAGTAAAAAGTAGACAACCATGTGGATCAAATTGTTGATAAACATAGGGAAGCAACAGATATCATACTGAATAATCGATAAACAATAATAATAAGTCATATAAGAGAAATAGCTCAATAAACAATCATATAGACGAAAAACACAAAATATTAATAAGAGTTACGAACAGCGCAGATTGTCAAACTATCCCCATGTTTCAACATATTATTGTCTAATCAGTAGGAATTTGAATTTTTCCGGTGTTGCTCATATTCGGGGTTACAAGTGATCAGCCTCTGTTGGTATATGACAGGTTCTAAGTGGATGCCTTGATATTCCCTTTTAATAACAAGTTTTTTCTAGTATATTTGAATTGCGGTTAGCACTGGAATCTAAATACAGTTTTATATAACGTTAGGATTGATAAAGTAGATTATAATATTTAGAAATTAAAGTACACTATAAAGAATATATTTTAAACCATTTTTCAAAACCGTAACTTAATACTTCCAAGTTTTATTATAAATATCATCATGTCATTGAATCACTTGGTTTCAAACACCAATCTACTGTTTGTTAGGGATGCAATTTAGAGATAAAGATCTAAGTAAAAATAAGTACGATGATAAAACTGTAGAGAGAAAATGTAACAATAAAAAGTTAGTGGTAAATAAAAGGTTAATTTAGGCTGAGAAATCGTCAGTGTATAGAAGTCAGTTATTCAATCAATATAAATGCCATGAAACTTAGACATTCAAGAATTAAGTATTATGTTCACGCTTTAACAGTTAAAGAATTCGTATCACCAGTTATTCCATCTAGATAGCCAACTCATAGCATCTCTAACGTTTACATAAAAATTGTAGTCGAATATTCAACATTAAGACTGTAGCATGATTAATTAATGCAGACTCCGAGAGTGGTTGAAAAGTTATTGAGTGGCAAAAAAAATGATATATTACCACTTTGTCTTGATCGATGATTTGTCAAAGGATAATATTAAAGTTAATCATTAAAATGGAAAGTTTTCAGGAATTACTAACCTATTAAAATTTACATAAATTTAAGCATTTAACATAAATTAGTTCACCAGTGCAGAATTTCTGACCTTGAAGTACTATAGTACAAGTTAGAATGTTACGAGGATTTTTTCGAAGTTTAACGTTAATTAAATAAATAAAATCTATGGGATTTTGATTGATGAGGTTATTTGGCAGACTGGAAAAAGCAAGAATTTTAAAGATAGTATTCATAAACTATGAGTGAAGCTAGAGGAACATAATTGTTTAATTTTATTTATCTAATTAACCGAACTCACTCTTGATCATGTCTAAATACTTTCTTGAGTTTTAGACGGAAAGCTTTTGATTGTTCATAATAATGGTAAAACATTATTATTATTATTATTATTATTATTATTATTATTATTATTATTATTATTATTATTATTATTAGTAGTAGTAGTAGTAGTAGTAGTAGTAGTAGTAGTAATTCGTAAGTTAAAAGGGGTCCTTAACATTGCTGAATGAAAAAAACTGCGAATATACGAGAAACGAGAAAAAGGATATTATAAGTGACTTCAAAAAATAATAGACTTTTAATGAAATCAGATTCCTTTTAATGAAGTTAATTGGTTAACAGTTTCAAACGTTTATTGCATTATTAATAATAATAATAATTAATACAACAACAATGATGAAAATGAATCATGATGAATGATATGAGCGAAATTGGATTCAATTAACTAACCTGGGAAGTTTGAATTAGACACAGTGGATAAGAGGTGTTGGAGAGATTGGTAGATTGTTTTTGTGATTGTAGATGTTGTGACGATGATGGTGATACGTTGGTTACAGTTAGATGATGATTAGATGATAAAGAGTATTTTCCAGGTGGATTAAATGAATCATGTGAATTCATTCCGGCAATTGAAACAGATTCCGATGAGTGTACTACAGCAGAGACTAGTAGCAGTTTTGAATGACCACTATTATCATTATGTGATTCTTTTGTTGCCTAAAAATTGTAATAAGCAAAATTTAAAGAGTTCAAAATAGGTATATATATATATATATATATATATATATATATATATATATATATATCCTTAGTTAAAATTGGCCATAAATATTATAGTGTTGTTATTGCAGGTTGATGGAGTGATCATAAACTTAGATAGACTGAGGTAGTTGGGATATGAATCAGTTAGGTATGGTCGATCACAACGTACTTCAACGCGCTAGTTATAGCAAATTAACTTGTTCACCATATATCTGCGTATTAGTCACGCTCCTTGTATGAGAGATGATGATACTACCCGGTTTCCTAAACCGAAGACACTACTGCACTGTGTTACGAATATGGCAACTCGAACTGATGTACGTACGTACGAAGTTCCACGTCGTTACTGACTGACTGACGAATAACAGAGAAGTTCTAAATCTTTGATTTAGAATAAATAGTCAAAGCTATAAATGTTAGTGATATACTATAAGATAGTTTATCTTATTATACATGTAGGAAAACATTACTAAACAGAAGCATTCTTGCAAAATAAATAATAAAAATGAATGTAATTAAGCCTTCTTAATTTAGTCAGTTGACATTTAAGTATTTCTTCATAGGGATTGATCTCAATACTTCATACATCGAAATTTTAGCAACCAACTTCTCTTTGAACTACGAGTTGATGGTGTTATTCAGAACAACAATGAAACTTCAGAGATCACATTTCCAACATCATGTCAAGCTACAAGTATACTTCGATCATTCACTCATGACGTAGTAGTAGTAGTAGTGTACTGGTTCATTTTATTATTGAACTGAGATATTTTGGTCAGTGAGACTCAAAGATTTCAGAATTTATTATAGACAAATATCATACACATTTACTTACCACTTCCAAGGAAGATTTACGCTGATTAGAACTGGTGATTTTATTCATTGCATTTTCACTTTTATTTTCCATAGAATTTGCATAAGAATTATCTGAATCAATTCCATCCCGAGGTCGAGCAATCAAAAGATGAACACATGGATGAGGAGATTCATTCAAATCTTTTGCAATAACAGATTTTAGACGATTAAGGGCATCAGTAGTAGATAATCCAGATAAAGTTTGACCATCTATAGTTAATAAACGATCACCTACTTGTAAACGTCCATCCTATAATAAACAAACGATAAATGTCAGTAAATTATTTAAATGCAGAAAAGAGGCGTGCAATAAAACTATCCTTATTATTCCAAAATATAAAGTCATCCCAATTACTTGGAACATGGGGAAATAAACAATAAAAAATATCTTGAGAGGAAATTTATATATGTTCACTATGTGTAAAACCAATTAAAAAGGTAAAACGATACCTTACTACTAGTATGCATTTATGTACAGTGTAATGTACAGAAAGTAGGACATGTAATACGTGCCGACCCGCTTGTTTGGTTAGTGACAATGGTAGTGATTTATTTAGGATATAATACTTGGCATGGAGTTTATAGTAACTAACAAAATTATAATGCACAGGATAAAAATACCTTGAATTGTAATGAACTGAAAATTTCTCAAGATAAGATGATATGTTGACAAGTTGCAACGATTATATATGTGATAAAACTAACTATTTGTTTCTTTCTTGTATTGATCTGTCAGTAAATAGTAAACAAATGTCATGGTTATGCAGTATCTAGAACCAATCAAATTTTGTCTACCAACTTCATGATACGATTATTTTAGCCAGAAAACATGATATCTCATTGTACCTAAATTGATATCCGATAGTTAGAGGCTATTTCAATCCGCCACATGTTACGCAATTTGAGACAAAAACGTATAATCACTTCCAGTGAAACTGATACTACACTCCTAGTGATTCCTGATATACCGCCCCAATAATTGGGAAAATAAAACAGGCAGAAGTCTTATTATTATTTCGTCAGAAAATGATGCAGGATAAAACACATAGGTCCCTGAAGATTAACCGTTTATAATGCTCAATTCAACTAAATATAGGAAGCTTAAAAATCCAAAATGGTGACTTGAAAGAATTTTTCTAGGAAATAGTTTGAGTTGAATTCTCGGAAAATGATACTTGCAGCTGAAATCTCCAGACTCATGTTGATTGGAACTCATACCAATCATTCCACTCATGGCAAAATTATAGGCTCGAACTCACACTATCCTACGCAATAATCACCGACGTTATCAACCATCTATTTCAACATAGTTCATGCGATGTCGAGCCACCTAGACTATTTGTCGCATAGCAATTTAATAGGTAGAATTCGATTTGCACTAAGAATAATTTGATACTGGTCACTACTCAGTAATCAATCAATTATAAAAACATTTCTCAGTCCTTTACAAATACATCCTACCTCAAAAATATGACGTCCATAAATTCAATTGAAAGCGATAAGTGCAGATTGTTAAATTACCCTTCATTCATAACTATTTGAGAAGCAGTGGAATTCAATTTACTTTGTAAATCTTGTAGTACTTTCTTTGTTAACAATTTTTTTCTTTAACGTCATGAGGCGGCCTGCTTGAATATCTGGGCTACCTGTTCCTGCCATCTGCATATTTCAACAAGTTATCTGTTTTCTTGTTTGTTTTAACACATCATTATGCCTATTAGTCTCATAACCTATTCAGGTACGTTTGTGAAATGTTTACGACATTTCGCTGTACAAGTTACAAAAGAGCTCAATTAGAGACATTATGGTTACTGGCTATATGAATCGAAAAGGATATACATTTATCAGATGTCGATTCCTGAACCGCTAACATCTAACTGGCGTCCATTTAATATTTATCGCAAGAACTGATCAAGAAATAAGAAAGAGAAATCTGTTGAAAAACTTTGTGCTGAGAATTCTATATTGTACCAAAAATATAATATTGAATAAAGCCACTAATAATAATAATAATAATTTTATGAAATATCAGTTATAGTATTAAACTATGAGTTATATCAATTAGCTAAGATATTTAAGCATGATCAATACGTACATATATCCAGATGCATGTTTACACTAAATGCCCTTGAATTGGAAAATGGTGATTCCTTATTTTATCAAGATGAGATTATAGTATACAGTATTATTTTTGAAAAAGAAAAATCTCTTATTTTAAAGAAAAAAAGATAATCACAAATGAATAGATAATCAGTAGGATTGTAACTGTCAAAATTTTACAAAAAACAAACAAACAAACATAATCTCCTAATCCAAACTTTACATTTAACTGGAAATTATAAAAAGAAACAACAACAGAAAAAATAGATTTTGGAAAAAAAGACAAAACAATAAGTAACTTTTTAAAAAAAAAGAAGATAAATAAACAAGTCATAACAACACCTACTTGATAAGCAGGACCACCATCAATTACAGTTCTTACAAAAACAGCATTCCATTGTGAATCATTAGTTTTATCAATTTGTACACTTGAATGTTTTTCATTAACAGTAACAGTAGTGTTAGCAGTAGCAGTAGTAGTGGTAGAATTAGTGAGTCCACCACCAAGGGCATCATTGCTATTAACAAACGAATTATTTGACAAGCGTCTTACTGATACACTTACACCTAAGGTGACAGGATTACCTGTATGTCGTTTAACTGTTGATTGATGTATAGTAGAATCTGTATATTGTCGTATTGTTGTAATTTTATCGGATTCATTGACTTTAGTCAAAGGTAAATGTATATTCAATAAATAAAGTGACCAGTGAGATGAATCGATTTCATGAAGTTTATATGAAGGATGTGAAGGTGGAAGGGGATGGAATTTTTGAGAGATGTCGGATGAACAACAATTCCATTCTGATGGCTTAAAATAGAGGATATGCAAAAATAAAAACAAATTTGTAAGTCAATATTTACAAGAAAGTAAATTGGAATTTTAAAAACTATTTTATGTTGAAAAAAGTCAATAGAAAGTTTTGATGTCTTGGAAGAAGTAGAAATACTTTGATATTATCATCTACAAATTTTTTTACCTAAAGATAAGCTGTTTACTTATCCAATGAGCCTTTTATGGATGCCAATGAACTTGGTACATCCACACACTACTAGTTCGAATGAATCAGTAGCACTTATGGTTACATCATTATAATAGTTTTTCCAATTAATAGGTAGGATTCATATGTAACAAACATTTCATCTTGACGAAAATATAAAAAAAAGGAACTTGAGACAGAGTGGTTGCGTATTGATTAGTTCATCTGAGATAAACAAGGAGGACAAAACAACAAGAGGGAGATATAAATATTTTTTTAAAAAGTACTAAGTACCTACAATCGAAAAGCGTAGGAAAGATTTTGTAGGATGAGACACCTTTATTTGATCAATGTAAGGTTCAACCTAAAAAGTCTCTGCTTGATCCAGTGTTTGGCAAACTCCGAACACTTTAATTGGTGAAGCAAATGATCCATTTATCATTATTATTATTATTATCCAACAGTTAACATCATTGTTATCTGTTTGATTATTTTACAAAAACAATAGTAATCATAAATGTGTTACATGTATATGCTTTCCGAACTCAATGAGAACAGCTCACAGCGGTAGAACGGAACAAAGAGAAATATTGCGTAGTATACTTATTTTCAACTATGCATTGGAACACTTTATATGCACTGGAGGTATCACAAATAAATAGATAAACGTGAACACGGCGATAAATAATGAATGAATCTGCGTCACTGCAGTCAATTTTTTGTCACGTTATTTTATATTACATTTAAACTATAAAATATAAATTTCATGTTGATTGTAGGTAGGATGTCTGGATTTTTATACATAGCTAAGGTCAACATCATAAGTTGATGAGAACCATAAGAATCTTTTGTATCGGATATCGAGATCTACTCAGACATCAGCTCATTAATGCTAATAAGGCTACCCAAATAACTGAATAGTTCAAAAATCTTAAATGCATTAATCTCTAATAACAAACTGGACATTGATATATACAAAACCTTAAAGTAAAATTGTTCAGGTAAAAAAAAGGTCCTTGAAAAATGAATTAAATTATTCAAAAGAATGTATTTTATGTTGACTGTTTATTTCACTTTAACGGTAAAACGTCCTAATGAAACCTTCGAAAATTTACTAAGTTAGACGAAATGAGTATCATCTCTAAAAGTTATAGGAAGTTTATAAATAAAGCTGTTATCCAAAAAGATAGATAGAAGCTTCTTGACCTTATATTCTGATTTATGTTACATAGTTTAAATGATTACATCAGAAAATTTATTCTATTGTAGAATTCATCTAGGTACATCATTCATTTGATAAACGACACAAAAGTTATTGAGGAGGTAAAATGTCTATCCACAATTTATATTCTTCAATACAATCTATCCTTACTGATTATCTCAATTCATTTGGTTATTATCAAGAAGTGAATTCATCCCAAGCTGTGTGAAAGTATAAGATAGATAACCATTGTCAATATCCCAAACTAAGATGATGTCAAATAATAACTTATAATAAGCTTTTCCACAAGTCATAAACCCAATAAATATTCATTTTTCATTAGAAACATTAACAAAGTAATATTAACAAAAGCAACCATCAACTTGGAGCCGCATGATGGTGCAGAGTGCAATTGGGCTATTTCTGGGTTAATTATGTATATAGATGAGTAGATATTAACCCAGAAAACTTGAAATCAGGTATAATATCTTAGTACAAGAAGCTTATTTATAAGTTAATAATTTACATAGTCAATTACAAAATAACAAACATTTATACAAAGAAGCTAAATAATCACTTTTTATCCTACAAGCTGACGTAAATATTTCTGTCAACGAAATCCAATCATAAAAACAAATGAAATAATCAAAACTTAGTTGGACTATAATTAACTTAATCTAAGGAAAGAAGTATTCCATTTGAAAAGTTTGATTTATCTCTTTGCGGATCAGAATGCAAGTAGTGGTAATAGTAATCATAGTAATAGTAATAGTGGTTTGTAAACTATTGTTGGTTATTCTGTACACACTCACACACACAAAAATTAAAATTAAGAGAAGTGAGAAACTTTCATTATTGTTTAGATTTGGGAATTACAATTATGGTTCAGTTTAAAATAAGTTTTAAAGGCTAGTTAACATTAGCTAAGAAAACACCAAAATTATTTTTCTTGTCTTATTTCGTTCCTCGTATTGCAGAGAGGCTATGTTTTTCAATCTTCAAATCTAGCAGTTTAGACTACAGAGTCAAAATTCACTGGTTCACATTTCTAATTTTAGTAGGTTTGTGGATAGAGTGCCGATCATTAAATGGCATCTGTAACATCTGTATTGCTTTTAATATTAGTTAAACTCCATAAATCATGGCTATTCTTTTGACATTACAAATCCACCTTGGAGCTAATGATTACTATAATTACTGCTAATATTACTATATTGATTGGTCAGTCAATGAAATGATCCGTGTTCATTTGTGCTGATTGAATCACGCCGATTGGATTATGTAGTAAGCGTAAACAACACGATAAGTTGATGTACCAAGTTTATGGTAGCTACAGTTTCAAGTAAAATTCAATATTCCAAAAATTAGGTGATTTGTTAAAGCATGAAACCTTAATACACTGTACTCCCCCAAATTGCAATATATATAATAAAATCAACATAAGTGTATACGAGAATGACAGTAATTGGTGAAACCAACACATATCTTGATTTAAACGCAAAAATATGAAGTTTCCATAACATTTCCCTTGACGAAACTGTAGTATTCAAAATGAAATATATAATACGCTTGACTCATAGTTGTTAATACTGTTGAAAGGTTCAGCGACAAAGTTGCACAGTTCAAATACATCAATGCAGTACATTGGTCAACGGCATCAAAATAACCTAAATAATGGATGATAGTTATTTAAACTATTTTACTAAATGATAATAACTATATTTAACCAGATGATTGGATGATTACTTGACTGCTATCAACTAGTGATCTCCATACTGCCTGAAGGGATTCAAACAAAGACAGCAATTCCATTAAATAAAATAGTTAACTACTTTTATCCGTTGATAAAAGATATTACTTTCAAGGTAAAACAATTTACACTTTTTAAGAAGAAGAATTACAGGAATAGTCAGCAGTAGTCTTTAACGATAATACAGTAGAAATTTAACTTGAAGACATAAAATAGTTTGTAAATAAATAATGATAAGTAATGCAATAATGATATGTGAAAAGTCTTTTTTAATGAAATATTTTACTTCTATGGTAAATACATAAAATTACTGGCATTATCACACGATTACCACTAATACAGGTTACTATTTGTTTATAATCTGGAATTTGCTTTGACAGTTTAATCTCGGTGTGCTAATGCAGTATGGCAACTTGAACCAATGTACATACGTACCAGATTCTACGTTGTAGCTAAGTATCACTCTACTTATTATTATTTTATTTAAACATATAAACCTTGTTATAAGGGGGCACTAAATATATATGTACCACACTCCGTCATTTGATTTGTGTGAGGGCTGAAATACTGTACGAATGCCAAACCGAAGAAGGATCACTCTACTATTATTATTAAGATAAATTTCCAAGTCAATAAATTAGTTCAATAAATCGTCGGTAAAAAAAGAAAAATAAGCTAAGCTTCATTAGGGACAGTCACTAAGAGAAAAATTGATAATGGGATATTTTTCAGAACAAAATACTAACTACCAAGTAATAGATAAAAAGGATAACATGTATTATTGAATGCAGAGCCTAGTGCATGAGAGTGAAAGTGTAGAATATTGAGTGAAAGTATTAAAAAAAAACTGTTATGTTTTACAACGTATTAACGTACAAAACATACACAAAAATGAAAATCGATTAGGATAGACAGTAAATGGGAATAGAAAATACATGATTAAAAAAATAAAAAAATTGAAATGAACAATTGTCTCAGAACATAACATCTAGTCTTCTTAGACCGGTAGATTTGTTGTATCGCAAACACACTATATTCATATGTACAAGATTGAAATAAAGATTCCAGCAGAATACCATGAATTCATTTTTATTTCGTAGGTTCTTGTCAGCTGCTTACAACGTGTGATATTTAAAATCATAATTACATAATGGGTTTAAATTACTTACATGAAAGAGTTTGGTCGGAAGTTATATTAAGTTATGTTAAAGACATATTTGTATAGTATAATAATACTATAGGTAGAATCTTTGTTCTTGCTCTTTTCAAAATCATAAAGGGAACTATGTGTATAAAAGATTGAAATAAACAGTTCATTACATTTTAGTGTTTCTTTTACAATTTACTTTTTTAATCAGAATCGTAATTCGTAGGTTAGACGCAGGGTATCTGGGAATAATAGTAAATTAGTTGATGAAATAGTGAATCTGCATCGACTGGTTGGGCCACGTATTACTCATACTCAACCACCGACTACCAGGGAGCGCCATGTTGACTGGTGTTGGAGATGGATGGAAGAAAGTTAGAGGTGGTCAAACCAAAACATGGCATCAATCTCGAAAGCCACTAACTTATGGTCTGAGCCATGTTCTTAGATGCAGATCACTTAATTTAAAAGTTGTTGTGGTTATCCTTACTAGCTAGAGGCTATCAATAACTAACCAACAAAAAAACTATGTAACTTGAGGTATTTCTAGGAGACTTATGGGAAAAAGGTCGAAATCAATAGCTTACAATTAGTAGTAATGAATAACAGTGAGAAATGTATGGATGCAACTTTTATCCCCCCCCCTATATTCAGTTTTTATGAACTTGTTTTATTAAGCGTTTTACTTTCAACTTTTGACCTCTCACAGCATGAACAATGGTACTATTCCGTTAGAATTTTACGTAGTTGATTAGTCTTTCACGTAAGTATTATACAATTGTAGCAGATCCGATGTAGTTCAACGAATATTTTAACAAAACAATTTAAGACTATCATCCAGAAATCAGGTTGATTTGGTATAATATTCACTAATATAAAAAAACAATTATCAATGCTAACCTTATCAGGTATTTTTGTATCATGACTAGATGGTTGTTCCACAATCACTCTTTCATTATGTTGTTGTTGTGTTATTGGTTGTGATGTTGATGATAATGAGGATATTGAAGATAATATTGATTTTGTTGGTTGTTCATTTACAGTATTTATGCAACAACTTGATGCTATTGTACACATAACAGATGGATGCATAGTTTTCAAATCAGGTAGACATGCTTGATCAAGATTATTATGGTCATTATTATTATTATTGATATCTGCATTACTATTATTATTTCTTGATCGTTTGACAACTAAAGTCACAAGAGTATTTACAGGTTTACTTCGTAATAATGTTACAGTTTGTGCTTGACCAATTTCATTCACATCAATATTATCAACCTACATATATATATATATATATATATATATATATATATATATATATATATATATATATATATATATATATATATATATATATGCATAAAAAAATAGATAATGAAAAACAATTTTCTATATTGACTTCCGAAATTTACTCATAGAAAATAATACAAAGATTAAAAAATCACATTTGTATACAGATATTGGAACTATTATTTTCTAGAATACTATATTGTTTTTAAGTAGAGTTGAGTAGTGGTTAACACTGGAATTCAAACAGCATATTTTATTTTATTTGAGATGCACGTGAATCCCAGTGTTGATGCTCACAGTGAAACTCGAACCCACTACCTTTTGTTCCAAACGCTTAACATTTTTTATCCAACAAGCTATTGATTCCAAATAGCCACTCACTTGTGTAACAAGGGTGAATCTTAATTTAATTTGTAGGGATTCTTCCCCTTGATGCTAAGGACCGGAGTTGATCAGTCTTTTCCTGTATATGTGCATCTTGAATGTGCTGTCTTGATACTGCCATTTACCTACGAATGAATTAAAATTGATCCCCGTTGCACAAGTCAGCAGTCATATAGACTCTGTAGCTAAGTGAATAACCATAAAATTTATTGGGTGAGTCTATTTAATAGCATTAAATAACTGCTGACTAGTACTAAATAACATTTAACTCATTTACATATAGTTTTACTTAGTGTTTCTAGTAAGTCGGTGTATAGAAATCTGACAAATTTGTTTTAAAGTTTCTTATCGAGATCGGAGAGAGAAATAGGTTTCCCGGCATAAATTAGTTCGGTTAAGTCTGTAGAGAACTGCTAGCTTTTAACATATTTCTTGTTGAAAATCGTTAAATATATTTACCGCTACCTTTCCACCATAGATAGAATACTTCTCTAGGTTAACTAAACAAAGTTTCAATGAAACCTGCTTCGTTTTGAGCCTGTGTAACCTAAAGTCATGAAGCTAGAGATTCTTGATAACTGCTTGATTTATGTTGTATCGCTAGAACTTCTATTTTATTATTGTAATTCTGTGGCAACATTATGTATGGTGAAAGATAACAAGGTCTGTTTCACCAAAATAGGTTGGAACTTTCAAGAGCTACGAAATCTTTCTTGATTGAACACTATCAAAATTCTTAATTTAAGGTTAAGTAGAATAAAATTAAATAGGTTTTTTTCTTTTAGTGGAAAAAAGACCATTTATTTGCCTTCATTAGAAGATCACCAGGTTTTAATTGACCATCGATTAGAGCTGCTCCACCTGGTAGTATATTTTTCACACAGATAACTTTTTGACCCGATGATGTCAATGAATCACGACTAGTTAAACTAAATCCCAATCCATTAGAACCTGAAAAAACAAGAAACAGTTAAAACGAGGTACAGAAAACCGATATTTATGAGAGGCATTAGCGATAGATAATAATACTGATGGTTATTTAGTTAAAACCAACGGAGAGCTTGGAACGGACATGTTTTGGACCAGGCTGTCACATCATATTAGCACAACGAAATCAAATTAACGAATGATTAGTAAAGGTCTATCAGTCATACGCAAAGTAAAGTCTGACACACGTGCATCGGTTCAAGTTCCCACACTACATTAGCACAGAGAGGTAAGATTATTAAAACACATACCAGAGTAGTATAATTAATAGTAGTTGAATTAGTAGTAGCAAAGATTATATATATAGATGAGAAAAACTATAAGATTTCGATACTCAGGATTCAAGAGAAGACAGAAAGTGAATGCATCTATGGTGCTAGAAACGCTTATGAGCCACTATTAAACATCCCCAACCATAGGTTACGATAATCACGCGGATACCTACCAGAAAGTCAGGGTCTGTCTGCGTAACATACGTCAAAATTACTTCATTAGATGAGGATTCAAACGATTCGCCATCGTCATCTAGTATTGCATGTCGAACGTTAACAATAACAATGAGTATGTAAACTTTAAGCAGTTTTTTTATAGATCAAAAGTGTAAGTTTCATTATATATAATGATAATATTACTAATACTAATAGTATTATGGGAATAAAATAACAATTGTGTTCATCCCGAGATTTATCGCTTTTTGTATCTTTTCTGTGAATTTGATAAAATTCTGTTGACTGAACTGAATAAAGTATTAGCAAATGTACTTATTAATGCTGTATGGATATTTTTCATTGATATTTTAGACGAAATTCAGGAAAAAAAAGAGTATCCAAACACACATAAGTGTACAAAATAGTTAAGTATTGTGTAGCAGAGTTGCATTTATCGTTTATCTCCATCCAAGAATTTGAGTTCCAATTGTCCTTCGCATATACCATTCTATTTAACCATATAATTAAATATTTAGGCTTTTCTCTAAACCATCGTTGATAGTAGAACTATTAACTTAACTTTAATTGCTTACTTACTTACTTACGCCCGTTACTCCTAATGGAGCATAGGCCGCCGACCAACACTCTGCAACCCACTCTGTCTTGGGCCTTCTTTTCTAGTTCTATCCAATTCTTGTTCATTTTTCTCATGTCTATCTCCGTTTCCCGACGTAATGTGTTCTTTGATCTTCCTCTCCTCCTTCGACCTTGGGGATTCCATGTGAGGGCATGTCTTGTGACGCAGTTTAGTGCTTTCCTCAATGTGTGTCCTATCCACTTCCAGCGCTTCTTCTTGATTTCCTCATCCGTTGGGATCTGGTTTGTTCTCTCCCACAGTAGGTTGTTGCTAATAGTGTCCGGCCAACGGATCCCAAGTATTTTGCGTAGACAAATGTTAATAAACACCTGTATCTTCTGGATAATAGCTTCCGTGTTTTTCCAGGTTTCCGCCCCATACAGTAGAACTGTCTTGAATTTGTATTGAAAATGCCCCCAAATGCCCTGGTACGGCCGAGAGTGGGGAGAGTCCGCTCTCCCTCTCGAAATGCTCTCACATGGCCACGCGTATACAGCCCCTGCCAGGGAAGTCCTACTCACTGCCTTCTCGTGGCAGGGATGTTGTTTACAAAAATGAGAAGACGAAAAGTGAATGTCCGGCGCTTTAACTGGATCCCAAGCCAATAGTGCACATGGGCTCCAGTATCCTGCCTGAAGGAACAAATGGCGTATGAACCAATCGTTGGTCACCGGCTACCATGGGACTGCATCTCCTCACGATGCTCCACTGCCTTGTGGGTCAGACGTTCAGGTCAAAGGCTCGGGGTGTGGTCCCCTAAGAAAACCACCTGCTTCGGTTTGGGCACCCGGGCAGTATCACAGCCCTCACACAAATCAATTGAGATTCGTGTGGCGCATATGTACTTGGTGCCTCCTTGTACCAATACCTATGTGTTAAAATAAATAAAATAAAATAATCTTGCTGAAGAGGATGTGGAGTATCCTTGCACTTACCGATACGTCTGCTTTTAGTGCCTCTGCTGGAATGTTGTCTGGTCCTGCTGCTTTGCCACACTTGATTTGCCTGATGGCCATGCTGATCTCTTCAATTGTTGGTGGGCCGACATCGATTGGGAGGTCCGTGTGTGCTACATCAATGTTGGGTGGGTTCAGTGGGCCTGGTCGATTCAAGAGTTCTTTGAAGTGTTCTACTCACCTATTTCGTTGTTCTTCAATGTTGGTGATTATTTTGCCTTCCTTGCTTTTCACTAGTCGTTCTGGTTTACGTTGATTTCCAGAGAGTTTCTTTGTTGTGTCATACAGTTGTCTCATGTTTCCTTCTCTGGCAGCCTTTTCCGCCGTTATTGCCAAATCTTCCACATATTTACGTTTGTCGGTTCTGATGCTCCTCTTCCCTTGCTTGTTTATTTCTGTATATTCAGCTTGTGATTTGGCTCTTTCTGTTCTTGTTCTCCTGGTATTGATTGCTGCCTTCTTGTTCCTCCTTTCTTGAATCTTATCCAGTGTATCGATCGTGATCCAATCCTTGTGGTGGTGCTTCTTTTGGCCCAGAACCTCATGACATGTTGAAGTGATTGCCTCTTTTATCTCCTTCCAGTTGCTCTCCAAAGTAGTTCCGTCTCCATTGAGTAGATCATGAAAGGCCTGGAACTTATTCCTGAGGGCTATCTTGAATTTGTTGAGTTTGTCAATATCCCGGAGAATAGCAGTATTAAACTTTTGTGATATTGTCCGCCCCGTTGTCCAGTGCCTCTTGAGTTTCAATTTCATCTTGGCGACCAGCAAGTGATGATCTGATGCTATATCAGCTCCTCTCTTGGTTCTCACGTCCTCCATCGTCCTCCTGAACTTTTTGTTGATGCAGATATGGTCGATTTGGTTCTGTGTGGTGTGATCCGGTGAAGTCCATGTGGTTTTGTGGATGCGTTTATGTGGGAATATAGTGCCGCCTATGACTAGTTTATTAAAGGCACATAGGTTTGCAAATCTCTCACCATATTCGTTCCTTTCTCTCAGTCAGTCCATGTCGTCCCATGATGTCTTCATATCCGGTGTTGTCAATTCCAACCTTGGCATTTAAATCTCCTATCAGAATGGTCAGGTCCTTTGTTGGGCACTTCTCGACGATTGACTGCAGCCTATCGTAGAATTGATCTTTAGAATCTTCATTGTAGTCGTTGGTAGGCGCGTAGCATTGGATGACGTTCATTGTAATGCCCTCTTTCTTTGTTTTGAAGGAGGCTTTGATGATCCTTGGTCCATGAGATTCCCATCCTATAAGTGCATTTTGTGCTCGTTTGGATAGCATCAATGCAACTCCTTGTGCATATGGGGCATTTTCTTCTTCATGTCCGGAGTATAACAGCAGCTCACCTGAAGCTAGTCGTTTTTGTCCAACTTGCATCCAATGTGTTTCACTGATCCCAAGCACCTCTAGGTAGTATCTCCTCATTTCTGCAGCAATTTGGAAGACTCTCCCAGTCTCCCACATTGTACGAGCATTCCATGTACCTAAATAAATGTTTGCTCTGGTTGTCAGAAGGGGCATCGCCTCGTGACTTCCGAAGAAACTCGGCTTTCATCATGAGGCATCATAATTCTTCTAAACGAAGACCTTCTGACTCCCTGGGCAGAGTTTAAATGGTTTGAATAATTTTTTCTGGTTAGCGTTTTTTTAGCGAGTTAGTTTTCTACGGTATGGGGCCGCTAACCCCATGCCCAACCCTCCTTCTTTATCCGGGCTTGGGACCTGCAGTAGCCCCCGGAGGGACTCCAGGCGGAGCTACTCATCTTATTAGTTCCATCTCATTGTACTGATATAGTGTATATATCAACCTGGAATGGCATACATTATTAGTGGATAATTCTACATCACCTATATGACTAACTGACTATACATACAATATTGAAATTATTATATTATTATATGCGAAAATTCATTTTACCTTTGCATAAATGAATTGTATGATAAGTAAATGTGTGCAAATCATCACTATTATTATTATTATTATTATTATTATTATTATTATTATTATTATTATTAACAATATTTGTTTGTGAGTTGACAACAGATTTTGTTAATTCTTGTGATGATGGTAATCGATTGTTATTATTTTCTTCTTGTTTTTTCTCTTTTAAAAATTCATCAATTAATGGTTTAATAATTCCTTCTGGAATACGAGTTAATACAGTGTTGGGAGAACGACGAGGTGGTGGTGGTGGTATAGGTTTTAATTGATTTGTATTAGATTTTATTTCAACTTCTTTAGCTTTAGACAATGGATCGGATACGATAACAATTAGACCACATGAGGGTTTCTCTGATTTCTCTGTAGTTGTCCTGTTTATTTTATCAATATTTTGTATAGATAGTGAAGAACTGTATTGGTAGGCTGAATGAGGAAGTACACGAAGAATTATTTCTGGTTCATTTAATGCCTCTTGAAATATATCACGACCCCTTGACAGAAAAAAAAGGTATCATAAAAATATTTTACAAAAAAAACTAAAATAAATGACTATTAAAATAAAACCAGCTTGTAGACATAATCTATATATGATGTTGTTTAGATTTATTAGGTAGACTAACAGAATAGAATTTTATTGGTAATTTTCACCATAAACTGGCATAAGATTGAGAAGCATTGAAACTGAACAATACTAGAGAAAACAATACTGGGATGTAACTTATTTATCAAGAAAAGATTTGTGTATTCGGCTTTAAGCCATGCTTTATGTGTGAGCACTAGTGATACTAACTAGCTGCTGAAACCAGAGTAGGTGAAGAGGGACATGAACTTGTGACATAGTGGTTATGACGGTTAAACACTCCACTAGACAGACTTCTTAACAGTATGGACCTCTACGAACCCAACTAGGATTTATGTGTACTACATGGTGAGCACGACACTTTTAGAGTACTTAGTCGAAGTTCAAATAGTTTACATCTACACACTCAGTCCATCCATATTAAAATGCAAAATTCATCGACGTCCGTAAGTAACTACTGTTTTATTGCCGTGGTGTCAGAACCACCAGTTTTGCTTATCGCCAAAACTTTGAGCGAATCTGCCGCAAAACTAGTTAAAAATGAACCCACAACAATAAGATAGAGGGGTTAGAAAGATTTTCCAATTAGTAGTTAGCATTTAATACTGCATCAACTATTCATGAAGAGAATATCTGGAATATGATTAAAATAACGTTATTTAATTTTTCTTAGTACCGATTTTACAATTCGTCCTTAAAAAATAACAAATAGGCCATTTAGATATTCACTAAATTAACCTTTATTTATTCATATTTAAGAAAAGATTAATCTTAATTTCCAAATCTAAATTAACTCATTCATCAAGTACTTGGGTATGATCAACACTAAGTGTGAGGGCTAATGACACTACAAAGTTGACTTAACCAAAGTGGTTGGAGCGGGATCTGAACCTGAGACTTAGTGGCTGAAATTCAAAAGCCTTAATCACTAAGCTACTGCTCCGAACTCAAAAATAGATAGTTCAATACATAGTAGCAATGTTCATTAACAGTGGAAAAAGGTTAGTCATCATCATTTCGCTAAGTGTGATTAATGAATGACGGTCTAGATTTAAAAGTTTATTGTGAATTATACAACGAGTGGGTTTGGTTAGGATACTGGGAAGCTTTCCCGCGGATGTACAGTGTAATATGGCAAATAGGTTTCTGATTCATTAAGTATGTTTGATTTATGTAAAAGCCATAAACAAAAGGTGTACAGCCTTGATGGTACTATCAGCATTTTATTGAATGTTAGAGCCAAAACTACACTATTGACATGCATTCACAAAGATATTATCTCTTGAAGTATTAGACTAGGTAGTAGTATGGACTCTCTAGCATAAGAAACAAGGTCAGTAGCAGCCCGAATAGTTCAGTAGTGGCTTCGCGAACTGTGAAGTCGAATGACTCGGGTTCGATTCCACGAAGCACTAGTCTCCTCAAGATTGCAGATAAGCCTTGTTTACCAATGCCACATATCAAGAGATGTAGGTCCACAATCCCCTCCAGATGAAATAATAGAGAAACGAAAGATTACTTACATTATACCAAAAGGTTAACGATAATTTTTGTATCTCAGGTTGGTATAAATTTACTAAAAGATGAAAATCTACCGATTAAGATCTACTGATATAAATGTAAAAAACTCACTACGGTGGAAAGTTTCATGTTTAATTAACACAGATGCATTACTATTTCAGTAAAAAATAAGCATAAATAATGGTTTATAAAATGTAACTAACTTTTCAAATGGTATACCGCTTAATGAAATTCCATTAATACTTAGAATCCGATCTCCAACAGATAAGCATTGTTCACGTGCTACACGCCCATTCGGTAAAATACAATGAACTTCAAGGCCACATTCACTAAATAAAAAATAAGAAATATAAGCGATTACCCATTTATTTTGCTTTAATTTAGAATATTTAAAGCATTGGTAAACACTGCGATATTTTCAATAGATTTACAAAGGGTTATAAAGTGAAGAGCGATATTCTGTTTTTCACTTGTATACATCAACAGAAAAGATATATAAAGAATTCTATTTCTGATAAAACTGAGTTTATAATCAGTCGGAACATATTACAAAGGTAAGACCACTAAACATGTTAGGGATATATTACTTATTTATCATGCAACCATTAGTTTTAATTTAATAATCGACAGGTTAATTAATGAACAGTACCTAGCCTGCCAGGTGTTTAGATGGTTTCCTTGTAACTTTTTGGTTGAAAAATCTATCCTAGTTTTATGTTAAATGTAACGAAAGCTTTATGTTATATGTATGGGTACCTACTCTCTATCGAAATGTGGTTGGTGCTTAAATTATTTAAATCTCGATTTATGAGACCCAGGGTCGAACCTTACACCAACTACTGTTAGGTTAATCGTGTTTGACCACAGGTGCCTTAGAAATATTACTCGCATCTGCTGAGATCACCGGGTAATTAATAGTGAGGTTAGACGCAGGGTATTAGGGAATGATGGTAAATCAGTTGATGAAGTTATGAATCTTCATCGACTGAGATGGTTGGGCCACGTGCTGCGTATGCCTGAACACCGATTACCGCGACGCGCAATGGTAACCGGTGTTAGGGATGACTGGAAGAAAGTTAGGGGCGGCCAAACCAAAACGTGGCATCAGTGCTTGAAGTCACTAACTTCTGGTTTGAGCCATGTTGGGAGATGCAGACTACCTGGTTGGGGTCCGCGTGACTATCGTAACCAATGGTTGGAGACTCTTGATGACATGGCTCAGAATCGATCACAATGGCGTCGGTGTATACACTCTCTGTCTTCCTTTAAACTAAGAGATTAAAATCACTTCAAATCTTTCTTTCTAGGAACTAATTCTATCTTCCTGTACTATCTCCTTATACACACTCTTTCTTCTATATATTACCACCACTGAATTAACTGCTTCTATGAATCCGGTGTTCATCTTGTGCTAATGCGGTATGGCAATTTAGACCGATGCATATACGTGCCTGGTCCTACGTTGCAGCTGACTGACTGACTGAGGTTAGTCGTGTAATATCGTTAGCTTTCATAAAACATGTGATTCGAAAATTGGGTTGAACTTGTACTTAGTTACTGAGTTACGGTAATCCAATGACGATTAATATTAACAGCTGTTTGACTGACGATACGAGTTCAGTAGTGTAGTGACCGAGTGCTTTTGTACTGAATTAAGCCTCCGGTCGAAATACATTACGTAGTTTGGTGTAAATTACAGCTTAATTTCTGCATAAAAATATGGTTGATGTACTGAAAAAATATTACGTCATATACTCCTCTATATTTATTTTAGTTAATTCTTATTACAATTACCTTAAATCTTATATCTGTTTTATTCCAACTGCAGTCAATCAATCATACGTAACGTAGAACCTGGCACATATATGCATCGATTCAAGTTGCCGCACAACATTAGCTCTACGGGACAATATTATCAAAACGAATCCAAGAATAATAGGATTAACAATATTATCAGTAGTAGTAAAAAGGACTACGCGTGGAAAGAAGAAAAAAGTATAAGATTTCAAGACTTAGAATCTAAAAGAAGACAGTGAATTCATGTATACTATTGTGGACAATTGCAAGCCATGTTACCCATGATAATCATGGTGGACCTCAACTAGGTAGTTTGTATTCTAGTATTCCAGTTGCAAAGTCGAAATAAAACAAACAACTTGTAAATCATTCTAATTAGTAACTTAATTAAGCAATTATTTATATGAAATGAAAGTTTTCACTTTATAAACCAGGCAGGAACAATACAAATTGAAAACGATTTCTAGTTGAATTCATTTCTTAGAACAAAGTGTGTACTACTATAAGTACTAATGTTTCGTTAATAGACATGAAAAGTACAGGAAATTAAATATTTATTTTTTTTTGTAATATTTCTTGTTCTCTCAAGATCAAATTGTTACCTTTTCTTCCATTTTTATTTTCACAGAAAGAATAATCATATTGATCAGATACATATGAAATCACTAAACTATTTTAGGAATAATAATGAATGGGCAATTGAAAAACAGGATAGTATCGGGATAAAATATCACATATGAATCATAATAAAATTAAACAATAGTCACTTGAGAAAAACCAGTTCAGTGTGTTAATTTAATGATTAATTTAACATAATGATTATCCATGCAATAAAAACAAGATAGGAAAATGGTTTAGTACATATTAAAAAGTAATTCAGAATGAAGGATCCCAAGCATAATGCATAAAAGTTCCATAGTGGGTTAAAAACTAAAATTTTGGAATTCTCATCCGTATTATTACCATTATTAATCTTTAAATAGTTACGAAAAGGCAGAAAACTTATATCAATGTCATAGTCAATTTCATTATGTAAACTACAAATCATTTTTCAGCCCTAATGGGTTGGTGTCTGACGAAATCTCAGCACGGATTCGAAAAGCTCGCTTGGCCTTTGCCAACTTACGTCATCTATGGGGAAGGCGAGATATCCGTCTATCAATTAAGGGACGAGTATACTGCGCGGCAGTTCGTTCCGTCCTTCTATACGGCTGCGAAACATGGCCTTTAAGAGTGGAAGATATCCGTAAGTTACTAGTATTTGACCACAGGTGCCTTAGAAATATTGCGGGTATCTGCTGGGATCACCGGGTAAGTAATAGTGAGGTTAGACGCAGGGTACTAGGGAATGATGGTAAATCAGTTGATGAGGTTATGAATCTTCATCGACTGAGATGGTTGGGCCACGTGTTACGTATGCCTGAACACCGATTACCACGACGCGCAATGCTGACTAGTGCAGGGGATAATTGAAAGAAAGTTAGGGGCGGCCAAACCAAAACGTGGCATCAGTGCTTGAAGTCACTAACTTCTGGTTTGAGCCATGTTGGGAGATGCAGACTACCTGGTTGGGGTCCGCGTGACTATCGTAACCAATGGTTGGAGACTCTTGGCGACATGGCTCAGAATCGATCACAATGGCGTCGGTGTATACACTCTCTGTCTTCCTTTAAACTAAGAGATTAAAATCACTTCAAATCTTTCTTTCTAGGAACTAATTCTATCTTCCTGTACTATCTCCTTATACACACTCTTTCTTCTATATATTACCACCACTGAATTAACTACTTCTATGAATCCGGTGTTCATCTTGTTGTGCTAATGCGGTATGGCAATTTAGACCGATGCATATACGTGCCTGGTCCTACGTTGCAGCTGACCTCTGACAAATCATTTTTATTTTATACCATGTTTGATAAAGTTATTTATTTTCAGTTTCAAAGAGTTAATTTTACCCTCAGAACGTCATCATTAAATCATAAATGTTAATTAACGTATAGTTCAGCTAAACGTGAATACATTCTCATGTGTTTATACCTCGCTGTATGTTAAACGAGAGGAAAGATGGTTTTGTCAGATAAATTAGTGATTGAATTAATGAGTCGATTTAAACTAGACCACCATTGAAAACCTGGAAGCACTGGATGGCCGTTTCGTCCTAGTATGGGACTCAGCAGCAGTGTGTATCCACGATCCTGCACACGGGACTCGAATCTAGGGCCTTAGGTCGCGCGCGCGAACGCACAACCTCTAGAATACTGAGCCAGCATCTGACGGTATTAATGTCTAACTTCAAGCAATCTACGATATTGCGCGACCGTTCACCATTGTTTTCAATGAGTAACTGCCTCTGTTAGCGGGACATAGATTGAATTTAAGCATGCTCCATGCACGATTGCTTTGGCGCACGCTGATTGGCTGATTCTTATCCAATCAGCGCTAGTCGATACATGGAGAAGACTCTAGATTCTTCTTATTTAAAAACTATAAATATACTAATGGTTTTCCATTTGTGCTTCTCACTTCCATCTAACCTTGTTATTTGGAATACAATCTCTTTCCTGTTCAACCGTGTTCTGATTTGGGGACTTGTCGAGTGAATTGGTGTCCGTGAATACTAAGCAATAGGAATAGCTGGGGTAAAACCGTAAGAGCGAGAGAATTATAACAGCATCACAACAGACACAGTTGAACTCCACCGGTCACAGCTTCTCACTAGATCTCCAGGAAATTCATCTTGAAGTTGGTCGCTAGTGAGCACATTGATTATTATTATCAGAATGGAGGTTTATGAAGATTGTAGTAATTTTAATGGCTGAGGAGTCCCATGATAGGATGAAATGGCCATCCAGTGCTTCCGGGTGATCAATGGTGGTCTAGCTTAAATCGACTCATTAATTCAACCATTAAAATTACTAAAATCTTCACTAACCTCCATTCAGATAAATTAAGCCTAGTCAGTTGTTAGTCAGAATTCCAATAAATAACCTTAAATTATAATCAAGGTTGGGTCGAAATCTGAATGAATTAGATAATTATTGGGAGGCTACTAATTACGAATAGTTAAGTTGACTAATAAACAATAACCGTACTATTTAGGTGAAATTAACCAGATTGAAAAAAGTATAGATGTACGTGTTAATGATATTGGAAAACACACAAATCCAAATTATAGGTTGACTAGCAATGAAAATATCTTGTTAACTATGGGAGATTTGAAATTCATGATTCCACGATAATGTTGTCCTTGAAAACCTTTAAGATTTGGCAGTGAATCGATCATAAAATTAGTTTGGAGGGTTCATTGAGTAGGAATAGTGCAAACAATTTAGTAGTGTATCTAATTTTAAGCATTTCTCAATACAACATCAGATCACAATTTAAAAGCTGAATTGAGATATCATTTAAAAATATTTTTAGAGAAACTATGAACTTTTTTAACAAAAACAGGTCTACATACTCCACTTTGGGACAGTAATACTACCAGAAATACTTAGACTGAAGCCAGTTTGAAATCTGCAACCTAATGGTTGATACCCGAGTGTACCTTAATCATAACTCATAATAAATAAATAAATAAATAAGTGAATATTAATGGACACTTACATTCTTGATCCGCCATTGTTATCTGAACAATTATCATTATTAGAGTTAAAGACATCCGAAAATACAGGTTTAATTTGTATACCTAAATTTTCACCACGTTTAGTATTTATCAGACGAATTGTCACTACTGAGTCTTTACTATTTATTGATTCCTGAGATTTATTTACTGAAGGGGACTCAATGATATTCAGAGATATTTTTTCAGGTACTTCATTAATTGGTTGATGATCATCTGTATTGAAGTCTGATTGATTTAATGATGCAGATGATGAAAGATGTGATAAACTAGATTTACTTACAACTTGACAATCATTACTCCTAGTAGCATCGCGAGTATTTTCAAGCCAACGAATTACATCCGGTTTAGGTAGACCACGAATAGAATGATTATTTGTTATCAATGGATTATCATTTGAATAAAATTGAAGATTAGACAAGTGTAATTCATTTGAACTAGAATTACATTTATCATTATTAATTGTATTCGCATGTAGTACACCGCATTTTTGGACAGATGTTTGATCTTTTCTGAAAATGATTAAATTATGGGGTGGAAAGAATAAAGAAACTAAGAAATAAACCAGAATTTAAATCTACAATCATTTAGATTTGGTTATGTCTATTTCAATAATAATAATAAATACCTTACTATTAACCTAATTCAAGAATGTAAACGATATAGGGTTTCAAAAAACAGAAACGTGGTTAAAAAAGCGAATCGAGAGAACGAGAACGTCGTTCCTATCCATGATGGCGGAAGATTGTTAAACTAAATCACAATGAAACGAAGTAGGAAAATACTGATGGTAAGCACACAAATAAGTAACAAATAAGTAACTGTCATCATGATATGGAGTACTGAATATTATCTTAATGTAGTGGTCACTATTTGGAAAGTTTGATAATCAAAATACCAAGTGTTGACGAAACAATTTATCAGACTTTTATACACATACAATTTGGTTGAAAACTACTGCAGTCAGTTATAGACAGCTTAGGACTTAGAATGAATGCATACCAGTCTACGATGGAATACTTCATAGTGAAAATAGTGTTGTGAAATTAGTAAGGAGTAAAGCAATGGAAGAAAAACATTAGTTGTAATGGAAAGCTAAACGTGGAAGACATTTCAAAGCAGAACGAAACCAAAGAATTAAAATAGAGGGATGATACTGTATTTGGGATCTAGAGGATGAATATCACCACGCCACTGTGGTTGATTCTTGGTCATGTTACATGTTAGTCAAGTAATATGTGTCGTTGTCATTATGGTTACTGTAAGTCATGGAATTTAATTTAGATAAATTTCTCCAGTTAGTAGGTAAAAAACATTACAACAAATGTAGTACAGTGAACACCACTTTACTACAGTGATCATCTAAAATGTCATGAATGTTCCTGAATTATTGATTGCATACCCTCTAACTACAAATTGATTGATTGAAATTATTATATTATTATTATAAGCTTTATTCAACATTATATTTGTGGTACACTATTGAATTCTCAGCATAAAGTATTTCAACAAGTTTCTTTTTCTTATATCTTGATCGATCCTGACGATAAATATTGAGTGATGGCCAGTTAGATGTTAGGAGTTCGATATTCGACATCTGAATAATGTTCATTCGTTTCAATGCATATTGCAAGCCACCATGATGTCGCTGGTTGTACCTTTTTGTAATCCGTACAGCGAAAGGTTGTAAACTTTTCGTAAACGCGCCTGAATAGGTTGTGAGCTCAATAGACATAATAGTGTGTTAAAACAAACAAGAAAACAGATAATTTGACGAAATATCTAGATGGGAGGAACAGGTAGCCGTGATATTCAAGCTGTAGGATACTAGACAAAGACGGGAGGTCAGTTGGTGGAACTCTTCAGAGGTAAGTAGAACAAGTGTTGCGATGTCTAGCTACCATTTACTCTGACAAGAAATGTTTGGCATAATGGGTAGGGATGAAAGTAAGATTTGGTATCAGTTGATGAAATTATTGATTGTTGGTGTGAACTACCTGGCTAAGAAACGTTTCTTTTTGTTTACGAGTCAGTAACAAGGTATAGGTTAAAAACTCAGTTTGGAGTTAAATATTTTGTGTGATGGCTGGTAAAGTTACGTGAACATCCCAACCGAAGTAGGACTGGATTTCACGACTTAGTGTTTAAAAAAGTGTGTCTCAAACGCAATCTTGCAGTTGGAAACTTAATGACTGAACAGTTTGTATATTATTTATAGCTTTAATATTAGGTAGTGTATATTTAAAACTCCGATGAAATATGAATCCGCTTACGATTACAGGTATGCTCTGTTGATGAATGTTAGCGAGAGCGAAACCTAAGCTCAAAGATTTCAAATATTATTTTCAATAACCTGACATGGATAAAAAATACAAAAAGTATTGGAACTCACTCCAAAACATAATCTTTACGTAGAAGTGGATAATCTTCTTCATTTGCTTCATTAATATCAATATGATTATTATTAAGTAGCGGATTAGTTCTAGATTTTAACACGTCGGTGAATTGGTGTTCTGTTTCATATTCCGGCAAATTTGGAATTCTTCTTTCAGAATCTACCGAATATTCCTCTTCTTCTTCAACTATAGTTGGAACAGTTAAATTGCTTTGAAATGCTGTTCCTAAACGTGTTGTTGTTCGAGAATAGGACAGACCGCCAACAGGACGACTTGTTATAACAAGGGATTTTGTTGAGTTGACATTACATGTGTGTGAGTATTCTACAAAAAGGAAGAGGATTTTCACAAGAATTAGGATGACTTAGAAAACCCTTATCGATAAATGAATTATGCTTATCAGGAAGTAACTAGATAGTAAGGAGCATAAGTTGAAATAAGAGACTACTCAAAACAACGTATACAATAACATGCAAACTTACTTTACACTAAACTAATTATGATTCATTATGATACGGAATAGCCGTAATCAGTGGATTTAATTATCATACAGATAAAGATTATGGGTTATAAGGAGACTAGTTATAACGACTGCACAACAAAAGCCATCTAGCTTTTTGGTTTATTAAGAGAGAAGGAAAATTGTTCAGATTGTATCACGCTATCTATTTCGATTTTCTTGACGAAATAATGTAGAATTACGCTGGAGAGAAAACTGATAGGTCACCCATTTGTTCTTTGTTCTATATCGTATTTATACTTGTCCGTTTAATAATAAACTATTTTTGTTGAGTTTTCCCTCTGTACAACTGAAAAGTTTGATAAAATGAAGCAGTGTATATGTTATGGATCAGCATTTAGACTACACAAGGAAAACGTAATTTACAAATTTGTATTGTACTGTGCTGCCTGTTAAAAATTCTAACTTGTCATGAAGTTTTGGTTTTATTATTTAGTGTAAAATCGATACCACATAAATAGTGATCCACTTGACAATATCAATATTTTCTGCAAAAATAACAGTCAGTAACTTGACCGGTACGAAATTAAAACTGAAATACAAAATTAAAAAATATGAGTATTACTGTAACACTGGTTACGTAGGAATAAAGTGGAAGGAATTGAGTAAGCTTGAAATTAAGCAATTGAATATGAATATTTAGTGTTATTTGTAAGCAGAAAAAATAAGTAACTAATAAAACGCATGGTATAAAAACTAGACAGCCAGATTATGAGAACGGATTAAGTAAGAATAGGATTAGAAATTAAAATTAAACAAAATTGAAAAAAAATTTCGAAGAAAGTAAGAATAATTAAGTAGAAGTAGGTATCGTCACCAAGGTTTGACTTGGGATATTACAAATATATTATTTGCTTAAAATTAAGCAGAAGGTCAGAGTAAATTTCGCGGTTGCACAAACTTTTCTTGTATGCAAGGATCAGATTTATTTGTGTGTTTCTATAGCTTTTTATGCGCGTAAAAATACGATTTAAGGAATCACAGGGCGAGCACAATAGAACTCTATAAATAACTTTGAAAACTAGTTTTGTTTCGATTTGATGACTAGTATGCCCAATATATACGACAAATACATCCTCATAATGAAAATGAAAGAAAAGCTAAATTAGAGTGTTTACCTATGGAATGAAAAAACACTGCATTCATGGCATATCCTAAAGAAACTTCAGAAAGGATAAGAAAGATCCTAAATATGCATGATATAAAAGTTTATATCCAAGGTAGTGATGCTGTAGAAATTACTGCACGTGAAGTATAGGATATCAAAAGAGTGAAAACAAGACTGTCTATGAAATAAATGACCATAAGAGTATACCTACGGTTGTATAACTCCAGGCTTTTAAGTACATACATATAATCCTGAGTCAAAATTTATACACTTATAACCATACAATTTTTAAATACTTACGAGATTGTACATGGTCCGGTCTCGACTGATGTAATGCATTACTAACCATATTATTTGCTGTTGTATGGGTATTTGATAAATGTTGAATATTTTGTTGTCGAATAGGATCGTCATACTGTGTGACCAAATTAGGCTTAAAAAGTAAAATGAAACATAAACCATTAACCGATAAAGAATATAGGTGTTTGAGAATTGTCTTTTGGCGTAAAACAACTGAAAAAAACAGATAACGATACCTTGATCTACCTTTTATGATTGCTGTCATTCGATCACTTTTATGTATGAATCAAGGGGCAATGTGATCCCAAATGACTTTAAGTTTCTGTCAAAATCAAACGAAAGAACTTAAGCAATCAGACCAATCCGGGAAAATGAACGAAAACTAGAACAGTAGACGATCGGAATAGCGGTTTCTGATCCAAGCGATTATATGAATAAAGCAAAACTGAAATTCCCATGTCCATTCTTGTTATGAATGACGATACAAATGTTCATCAGTCCTAAACTAGAACTGAATAATTCTTAGGTGCATCCAGGTAATCGACAATACTTTGAAGTTTGAACTAGTGTGAGAACAACTTTTAGTTAGCGATCATATATGTATACAGCAAAATAAATAAAAAGGTAATGTTGTTGGTCAAGATGTTGTCGACATTTTCCTAATAATTGTTCTATGTTGATACAATCGATTGTCTTAATTATGAGGGTATTTAAAGTGAAAACTCCTTGTTAATAAAGGGTACAAAAGAATAGAATATATCATAATTGATCAAACTGGTTTGTTGATAAATGCCTTATATTAATAAAAATGCTACTCAAACAAGATTGGTGCAATCGCACATGAACTTGAAAATTTGATTAACTGGAATGTTAGAATGTTTTGTTTGACAAATCTCAGGTGGGCGGCTTATAGGAGTTAGTTACCTAACCTCAATTACTCGGATTTATAATTTGGTTTGCTTAGTTCACTCATTTCACACTATTATTTTCGGTTTGTATTGTCATATAGTATAGTTCTGATGGTATTTGTGAAATGCCTAGATCTCTCTACTTATTTGAATAAAAGAGGTGAAATTCATAGAATACACTCTCCTCTTTAAAAAAGTTAGGATCATTAGAAAGAAAATAGAAAACTCACCTGAGAATAACTGAGGGGATTTCGGAGTTCTGACTGACTTACTAATGAATTAGACACTATGTCTGAAGTTGTGAAAAATCGGTCGGAACCATTCGAATTTGAAAATGAATTATGACTTTGAACTGCACGTATCAGTCGTTCAGTATTTATACCTATATGATATTCGTCTTCTGGAGAAAGTACTCTACACGGGAGATTAGTAGGAATATTAACATGTGGAACATCGGAAGCAGAAAAAGGTGGAGGTGGGAGAGGCCAAATATCTGCATTTGATAAAACAGGGTGATTACTTGGTCTATCACAAGTCCCGCTTGGTGTAAGAGTCACCGAGGGATATCTTACAGTCGAAAAGTTGTCGTTAATATTTTCATGGTGGCTATTACTTTCTGTGACATCTAAACAACAGTGGTTTCCTCCAGGTAAAGAATTAGATGTTATATCTGAATTATTGTTTATGATATCTGAGTGAAGGATAGTATCACCATTAGGTAGTGACACAAATTCATTCTGTTGTTCACCTACTTGGCAGTCGTATGAATAACCTCCATCAGGATCGAATACATCTTCATCTTCATCATCAGAATCCCAACCAGACTCAATAAGATCACGACGGCGAGATAAGACATTTGAGAGCTTAAAATTAAAGAGATTTAAATATATGAAACAAGTATTTCAAAAAGCGTATGATTTGATAACTAATTTAAGCGTTGAGTTTAAATTAGGAAAACATAAGGGATGTTGTCTGAGTTAACTATGTGTGGCTAAACTTACTAATTCACCAATAAACTCGGTGCGATATTGATTGAAAACACGATGTGGGAAAATTCAGCTAAGCCAAGTGATAAACAAACATACGAAGTTGGTAGACATCAGTTTAAATTTTATGACAAATTACGAGTTTTCTGAGCAGAATCTATGAGATATTGGAAATCTGTGATTAGAAGTAGAACCTGGAACATATGTGCATCCGTCCAAGTCCTCACACATCAGCACGGTGATTTTAGAGATATTACTTTCATCATCTGGCTATTCGGGGGTTGATCAACCAGATCTACTTGTTGACTAAGAATACGCAAATGATATAGTTCTTTTTGGTGAAGACAATGATAAAATGCAGTCTTCTGACCACCTTAAGCAACAATGCAAGCATGTTCAAGACACGGTTCTCTCCATCCAAATCCGAAATGATGCTTAGGGATTAGCTTGTGTCATCACCTAAATTAACGATAGGGGGTGAAGTAGTTGGACGCATCAACCACTTCACTTACCTCGGCAGTCTCATCAGTCCTGATGGTCTGGCGTCTGATGAGATTTCGGTATGGATTCAGAAGGATTGATTGGCTTTTGCCATCTTGCATCACTTGTGGCGTAGGCGGGATATCGGTTTGTCAACAAAAGGACGAGTTTACCGAGAAACAGTTCTCTGTCCTACTTCAAAGGTCTGAAACATGGCCATTAAGAATAGAGGATATTCGTAGGTTACTTGCATGCGATCACAGGTGTCTTCAAAGCATTGCTCGTATATTGTGAGACCATTGAGTTAACAATTATGAGGCTAGATACAGAGTACTAGGTACGTATGGCAAATGAACTGACGAAGTAGTAAATCTTTATGGACTGAGATGGTTGGGACACGTACTACATGTGCTTATCTATGAATTACCTCGATAGGCGATGATGGCTGATATGGGAGTAGGTTGGAGGAAAGCTATGAGTGTTCAAACTAAGACATGGCATCAGTCCATGAAGACACTGACTATCGAACTGAACCATTTAGGCAGGTACAGGCCACCTAATTTGAGTTCACGTCATCAACATAACCAATCGTTGGATGCCTTGCGTGACATGACTGAGAATCATTTACAGTGGTATAGATGTACTCACTATTTGTCTTCCCTTAGATCGTAAGTTTGTCAATTGGTTGTATATTTCTTTTAATCTTTGATGTTTGATCCTTTTTATTACTACTAATATTGTTATTACCTCTACTACTCTGGGATTTGGTCTGGCAATTTCATCTCCCGGTGCTAATGGGGTGAGTCGACTTGAATCTATGTACAAACGTAGGAGGTCCGATGTTGTGACTGACTTAGTACAATGAAGTGAATTTCCAAAACAAGTTCCATAGCATGATTAGTAAAAGTATCAGTAACAGCGATATGATTTGTGAATAGAAAATGAGATTGTGAACACTATAGACAAATAAAGTTAGCACAGATGGATTTACTTCATATTTATCACTACTAAATGGTAAAATTTTAGATTTAATTGAGAAGCAACAACTTAAACTATTCAAGATACTAGAATGTTCAGTAAACGAACAACAAACAGTACACTAATATTCTTTTATCCGAGAATAATTGAGGTTTGTGGTGAAATACGGTACATAACATGGCTTCATAAATCCTTAACTTTAAAATTTGCCTACGATTCGTTTCATTATATACGTATGTCCTACCTTTTTAAAGATCTTTCTTATAAGTTTTAATAGTTTTTTACATCTCTTGCTGAGATATTTTGAAGTGTGGATTCTTCAATGAGTTCAAAAGAATGTAAAGTTCCACTAAACCACTAAACGTATCCATAAAAATAAATCTGAACGACTCATTATATATATATATATATATATATATATATATATATATATATATATATATATATAAAGAACTAACCATTTCAAAGACATTCGGTGAAAGTGTTCTTTGACAATGCTTCGAAATTGCTGTATCATTTATGGTGATACTATTCGAACAGGATTTATTGCACGAAACCGGAGAGCTTTTCAGTTGCTCACACGTACTTAATACTGTATTGAAGCAAGTAGGTGGTGGCTGAGAAGCTGAAGAGGTTGTAAAACATTCCTTTTTACTGTCAGAAGAGGATACTGCTGAAACACAATTCACTTTGATGTTGGGATCTGTTGCAAAGAAAAAAATAATTACAAACGAAAGCCTGGTAACTCACAAACGACGATTAGTGTGAAACAATAGAGTCGGACAGTTGAGACAATGTAGGATATTGCACAAATGTGCACACGGTCGTCGTGAGGACCCAGACGAGGCAGTTTATATCAGTCAGTCATATGCAGCGTGACTTAGAACATATATACATCAGTTCAAGTTTCCATACTACACTAGCACAGAGATAAGAAATTATGAAAACAAATGCCAGAGTAGCAAAGGTAGTATCAACATAAGTATCAGTAGAAAAGGTTAGGTGTAGGCAATAGGAACTGAGAGAAAACGGTGAGATCTTGGAATAAAAAGTACAAGTTAATCTTGAGACTTAGGACGTAAGCGAAGACAAAGAGTGTACAACATGGTTCAGCCAGAAAGTCAGCGACTTTACGGACTAAATCCACGTCATTGTTCGGATGCTTTTAGCTTTTTCCAAAGCCACTCTTACTCCATTTACAAAAGATAATTAATCTCCATATGTACAAACGACGGCTGAGGTACAAATTTGAGTAACACATTTATAATTAACTAGCTATGACTTATGATATGGCTTAAAACAGGGAGCGATGAGAGTAGATGCATTTGTAGTTTGTCTTCCATTATAACTTTATAAATAAAAGCACCTAGTTGGAGTATATCCAACAGTGTTTCAAAATTTGAGGTAAAGAGGTATTTTAACAACCAATCAATTGGTCTACCTACTGTTTTGAGTAGGTTGGTGGTTTAGTGCTTAAAATACTTGACTTTCATACGTTGGAATATAAGTTTGAAAACCCAACCACCCACTTCAGTTTATATTGCCAGATATTATACCGATACAAGCTTGGAGCCGAGTACGTAAACCATGTCTTTGTCACACAGTTGCATTTAATCCACGGACTGGATTTTAATCTCTTAAATGTAAAAAGTAAACCGGTTGTTTTATGAATTATCTAACAATGTAATTATCACTACAATATACTATCAACGATGATCGGAGACATGGAGTTTACACTTTACTCTTAGACCTTAGAAGTAGCTGTGGTTAAAATGCTTGGATTTCAAGTGTTAGATCACAGGTCTTGATTCCACAATACTTGACTCGAATTGTGCAGCTCAGTAGTACGCCTGTTCCCCGAAAAAATGTAGTTCGATGATGAAAATAGACATGTACCTGGTACATAAGTTACAGCCTTTAATTAGCATATCAGACAGTTATAAATTCCACACGTAAAGTCCGATATTATTTTTATGTGAAAATAAAAGGATACAAACGACCAAAACATCCATCAAAAACTCACGCAGCGCTGCATTGGAATCATGGAAAGACTCACTCAGAAACCATTCATGGATATCACCAGGGGACTGAGATGTATGCGCTCCATTTGGTTGATGCAATCCACAGCTATCATTACTTAGATTTAAACTTAAGTTACTACTGCTTGTACTTCCATCTCCAATACGCAGAAGCCTGTTTGCGATATGACCATTGATGTCAGTTTGTCTTAATCCAATTCCACAAGGAGGTGCAAGATTCAATCCACTATCTCTAAATTCACTAGCCCCGCTAGACTGGATGGGACTATGAAATGAGGGTTCAATAACACTATCAGAACATAAATCGACAACTAAGGGTGTAGAAAGTGATTGAAATATAGAATCAAGGCCAGTTGAGGGTCGATTTGGGCAAGAATCCTTGACATTGTTTGATAAGGTCGCGATCGAAAAGTGAGCAGTAACCTACCAAAAGATGAAAAGTCAACAAGTTTGAAAGTTACTACATGTCATGCAATGTTATTTGAATCTGAAATCGATACAATATGGATACAAGGAGGTTGGTTACATAAAGTTATGAAAGCAGAAAAGGTGGAAAGGATGACGAGATAGGTAGAAAAGAAAACAAACCATATTTTCTAATTTAAGATCGCTTACAGCTCTTTTATCGACCGAGTGCCGATTAAAATTGTAAAACATTTACCACTGAGTTTAGATTTCAAGAATATATTGTATTCCCTCAAGCTATACGTCAAACAACCTCTTATACTCTATACGAATAGTTGATAGGAACTACCAAACTCTAACTTCACAAAGAATGACAATAACTTTCGTTTGTTCAAACGGTATCTGGAATGCTAATCATCGGTATATAAATTCTCAGGCGGTGGAAAAGTATTACAGAAACCATCCCACTCGAAACACTTAGTAAATTATATATATATATATATATATATATATATATATATATATATATATATAACAAACGGATAAAACGTGTTTTACAAGATTTTTACGCATTTTCTCAGAAGTCAGAGGAACTTATGAAAGCAAATAAATAATAAAAGCCACAAAATTTTATGACGAGGATAAAAGTGGGAAACGTACCATTTCACGATCGTCTACCACATCACAGACCAAATCATCCCAATCAAGCATACCACCATCTCTAGCAACATTGATACTGTGTACGACAATGCGATCCTGTGGGCCGAGCTACAAAATCATTGATTAATGGTGATAAGTCATCATAATGTATAGATTGTGTAACTCGAAACATTTAAGTATTAATGAATCATTGTAATGATAAAACGTTCATGTAGGAAACCAGAAAACAAACCTTCGGTAAAGTATGCCTAACCCTCCTTAAACCACTAAGAGTCAAGTCTCTAACCGTTAAGTTCCCTGAACCACAAGGAACGACGACCTTTGTGTCTCCAAAGCAGACCGTCAACTTCATGTTCCATTTCTGGCAGTGATGACCTTCAAGAGACAGCTGTGGAAATTATTCCCAGTGACCTTCGTCAAATTTACCCATGTTAAACAATCAGATATGTTTCACAAAATATCTGTTATATACTAGTGTTTCGAGAGTTTAATATTTATAGTATATCTGCTACAGACACTGCTGTTTTGTGATAGGCACAGTGTCAATATATGTTATCACTAAGTAGCACAACTGCCCTGAAAATGTCGTGTGATGGTGCACCTGACAGGATTCCCTCATCATTTGTGAAATGTGATTGTAGAGAATTCCGATTATTTTGTTTAAAGCTTTTCAACTTATCTATTGTATACTGGATCTATCCATTTGTATGGAAAACATCTCTTATCACACCTAGATTCTAAATGAGATCACATAGTGATATGGTTAACTATAGGCCCATTAATTTGACATCCGTGCTATCAAGAATCATGGAAAAGACATCCACGAACAGCTATTGTCATTTTTACTTTCGGCTAGTCTGATTAGCCCATCCGAACACGGGTTTATGACTAAACGCTCATGCTTCCCGTCGCACCTGGAATGTTACTCAGAGAAGAGATTTTGGTCAGTCAGTGATAATTCTGAACTTCGATTTTAGTAAGGCTTTCGACAGTGTCTCACACAAACTTCTTTTTCTTCTAAAACTCACTTCATCTGGCATTCAGAATCCTCCTTTATCTTAGCTAAAATCTTTTTTAGAAGAATGTAGCCAAATCATCCTGTAGGGTCAGTGAGATTCAAAATGGTTCAAATGGTTGTGGACGGAATAGAAGTAGCTTAGGCTGAACAGGCTTCCGTGTCTAGTAGCAGAGGATCACCAATACCTCCAGGCAAGAACCTAGGTATGTTAACGATAAAAGAGAAAAAAAATAAATTGGTAAATCATGGTAAGATACTATCCTTAGTCCTTAAGAATAGATCAAGTCGCCTCTTAAAGGACTCCTGGGAAGTTGCTTGGACTAGCTCAGCTGGCAGCGAATTACAGCATTTGACAACTCTTAAGAAGTAAAAGTTGTGCCTGCAGTCCGTTCTACTATGTTGTATCTCTAATTTCTGGGTGTTACCCCTTAGGTTAGTGTTGAGACTAAGCTTAAATAGGTGTTTAAGTGGATGTCCAGGAGTGTTAAGGATACTGTAAGCCATTAGAAGGTCTCCTCTGAGACGCCTATACTCTAATGAGTAAAGGTTAAGTGATTGGAGGCGCTCATCCTAAGGTTTAAATTTGAGTCTCCGAACTGATTTCATGGCTCGTCGTTGGATACACTCCAGTGTCCCTATCATTTTGGAGTGAGGGAGGAAATACTGTGTGTCCGTATTCTAAATGGGGACGAATGAAACTATTGAAGATTATGTGGAAAGTTCTCCGTCAAACTGACCAAAAATGCGCTTCAATGTTACCAGTGCAAGGTTTGCTCTAAAGGCATTTCTGTCACAGTTGGCGTAAGACTTTAAGTCGTAGGGCACCAGAACTCCTAAATCTTTTTCGACTCGGGATACTACTAGAGAGGAGTTTTCTAAGTTGTAACTGTAATCTGCGACGTGTCGCAGATGGACTAATTTACACTTTGAAGTGTTAAAGGTAAGTCCGTTATCGTCTGCCCAACTTTGAAGTCGAGTCAGATCTTCCTGAAGTGCCTGTACGTCCTCATGGTTGCTTATCTCTCTCCAAAGTTTCACGTCATCGACAGAGAGCAATATGTCTGACGTTACCTGTTGAGGAAGATCATTTATATAAATCAAGAAGAGAAGAGGTCGTAGTACTGGGCCCTGGGGGACCCTGACCTTAAAATGTCCATTTGTCAGATATGAACTGAGTCAGTCAATTAAAGGTGGTTTGATACCCAGTTGTCTGAGCTTGTTGATAAGACATATGTGGTTAACCCTATCAAAAGCTTAAGAGTAATCAAGGTAAATGATATCCACCTTCCCCTTGCGATCAGCGATGCTTGTCCATCTGTCCACCGCAGTAGCAGGTTCGTCATACAGGAATAACCCTTCCTGAAACCATGCTGTTGGGGTGAGAAGAAATTTAAGGACAGTAAATAGTCACGTATACCATCGCATATCAGGAACTCCATGATTTTTGAAGGTAAAGAGAGCAGAGCCACTTGTCGGTATTTTGAAGTTTCGCTGCGTCGACCTCCTTTGAAAATTGGTGTGATATGAGCCAGCTTCCAAATATCCGGTAGTTTGTCCCGACTTAGCGAGTGTGAGAACATCACGCTAAGCGGTGTTGCCAGGATTGAAGCTGCTTCCCTCAGTATAGCAGAGTGGACCATATCTGGACCAGGAGAAGTGTCTGTTCTTAGGTGTTGTAGTTTACGGAACACCAAGTCAGCGCTCAGTTTCACTACGGAAAGTCCTGTGCAGTTGCAGACAGAGCCGACATCAGTATAGTTGAAATGGGTCGTTGGAATGTCCGGGAGTATTGCTCAGCCAGGTTAGCGGCGTCACCGTCATTATCGGTCGAGCCGTTAGGACCTAGCAGTTGAGAAACTCCAGTTTTGACTTGATGAAGAGAGGCTGCGTAACGGAATAAGCTTTTCGGGTTGGAAATAAATTTATCCATAAGCTTTAACTGGTACTGAAGTCTGTCTTCACTTATAGCCTTCGTACATATGTTCTTTATATGTTTGTAGAGCTTGTACCCGCCGTCGTTGTCGGTTCGTTTGTATTCTGCCCAACAGTGCCTTTTACGGCTTAGCAAACGAAGAGTGCGGTTTTTGATGATTGTAGGTTGCATGTGGCTTTTGGGGACCGTTTGAGGGACTGACGGCTTTGTAGCACATAAGAGCGTGTGTAGTAGGAAGTTCCAGTGAGCATCCATATCAAGTTGAGGGCGAACGTCTTAATTCACCTGTTGTAGATAGTCCTGTAGAGCTGACGCACTCAACCGTTTGAAATTCCAGCGCCTGTTGTTGTTGGGATATCTTAGCTCAGTTTTGCTGACAAAACTGAAGGCTATAACGGCGTGATCACTTTTCCCCAGGGGAGCCAGAATTGAGATGTTGTCGACTAGAAATTCTTCATTTCTAAAAACACAGTCTAAGCGCAACGGTGTCTGACTGTTCCTCCAACGAGTTGCCAAGTACACATTTTCGTGTAGTCCCAAATCCTCAATGAGGTTGAAGAACCAAGCTTCGATTGAATTTTCACCTCCAGTATGCGTATTTTCCGCGAAGTTGACTCTAGGGAGATTGAAGTCCCCTAGAATCAGGATATGAGTGAAACCGAGACGCGTAGAGCGGGATAGTCTTTCATACTCGATGTCGGCAGTGGGCTTCCTATATATGACTCCGACTAGGCACCTCGAAGTAGTGGACAATCTCATAGAGCACCATATAGATTCCTCAAGATTGTCAATCTCATGATTGTGAACTTGGTGTACCTCCAAGCCAGATAGTATGTATAGGGCTACTCCACCCCCAGTTCCTGCTTTTCTGTCATTGTGAAAGAGAGACATCCCAGGTATTGCTAGCTCCTGATCCGAAAACTGAGAAGATATCCAAGTTTCAGATATTCCTATCAGATGAACCTTATTAGCATTGCTAAGTTCACTTAGTTCATCCATTTTATTTGGTAGACTCGCGGCGTTCATGTATAAGCAGTTGATGCTTTCAATTTGAAACGCGTGACCTTCTTCCTGTTTGTCTGTGGGAGCCTTACGTGAGTGGACAGGCAACCCACTTATATAAGTTTTGTGGAATTGGTAGGCCCTGTCCTTTACACGTTTTTTTTAATCTTCAAGACAGTCTACAAGTGGAATGGTCAGCTCCAGCTTGCCTTTGTGCTTGACCCTGGAGTCATATGGCCTGTCCGAGTGCATGTGGATCCCAGTTGGCAACCGACGTGTTTACACGAAACGCTTCCAGAGCTGAAGCCGCCATATGGGAGGATGGAAAAGTTATTCTCATTAGTCGGGGTCTAGGATCCCCGTCCTTATTGGCTAGTCTCATCACGTGCTGAGTCAGTATGTTTTTAAGCCTCAAGGACTGTTTGATGAATTTCCATTCCCGAATATCAGAGTTTGCTTGAGTAGGGTACATGTTTTCCGGTACACCTTGCACGATGATATTTCTTCCGCGGAAAAATTTCTCTCGAGAATCTTTAGGGACGTTCCGGATGAGATTGCGCTCAGAGTACGGTATGTCAGGCAGTATTCTGACGTTCCCATCGGATTTCAGTAGATGACTAGCCAGCAGGACGTCCTCTACTTCGGTAGCATTCCTGAGTGTTACACGAAGTAGTCTCGGGTGATTTTGATGTTTATATTCCTTTCCTCGAGTGAGCCGTGTGACAGTCAAAGGCTCTATTCTAGGAAGTTCGAGCTTTTTGTTCAGTTCACCTCAGAGGATCCTGTCGTTTTTTCCTGCAAACTGAGAGGAAGGTCAGGATTGTCTATGAGGTTCATGATTATGAGAAAGTCGTCACGGACCGTTGTTGTTTTTCCAGGTTTTCCGGTGCGTTCAGACTCAGGACGTTGTTGTTTGGAGGTCAAAGCAGGTTTCTGAATCGTAGGCTTTTTGATAACCGGGCGGACGTTTTTGGGGGTAGACTGAGCGATCAAAGCACCAGTTGATGCCCGTACAACACTTGGGATGACAATTGGTCCGTTTTAGCTTTGTTGGCGTGGGTGAAGTCACCTGCAGAGTTTTTGGGAACACTGTCGCGTTTAAGGACCCTGTACTGGGGGATCCAAGCTTATTGAGGGAGTCAATTACCGTCGACGTAGTGATAGTGCTGAGTTTCAACAAGTCATCATTAGTGCTAATGCGTGTTCCATCAATGGTAGACTTATTGACATCCCTATTCTTATTTTCGTTGAGCGCCCTTGTTTGTCTACCTAGTTTATGGCTATCTGTTTCCAAGTTTACTGAAAATTTATTCCGCAGACCTGTCAGTAGAACAATGGTGTTGCTCAGCAGTACTACAGCATCCGTGCTGCACATAACACACACCCACTTACGATCTGATTTGCTGAGTCTCTTGTAAGCAGCTGCCGAAAGATCTGTGCACGTTTCGTGGAACCAACCTTCGCAGTTGTCGCACTGCATGCCAGATGTAACAGCAAAACGGCATCCAGGTCGTTTGCACGAATTTTTCATGGCTGTATTGACGTAAACTGTGTTAGAGATAGTATCAAAGCTTAAGACCGTTAAAAATACACTAAAAAGCACACTAAAAACGGGAAAAATGTATAAAAAGCGGATGAGATAAAATGAACTAGCTTATACATGAAAAACTGGAAAAAACCGAATAGTAAGCTGAGGCAAAACCACAGTTAACTATTAAATTGGGCGAAACTAAAAAAAGTAATCTACCGAACTTATAGCTCAGAATAGATTGTTTAGATAAGAAATGGTACTTTTGTTGCGTAAGAACACAGCAAAAGTTTGAGAAATGCAAACCATGTTGCGTCCAGTTGCGTCGCTGAATATCGAACAAATCATCGATCCCTGTCAAGATCAAGGACAACCAACGTGCATCAGTTAATTGTACGCCATGGACTGGACCATGCGGTGGTGGTCTTGTAGTGGCATCGGATCATAACCACACAATCCTCAAAGCTGAACACGAGACTACTCGGAAAATAGATATTCAATATTTAACGCGTAGGAATACGCAACAATGGAGAAGGCGGGAATAAAGAACTGAATAAAGGAGTTGGTCGGATGGCATGGCTCGGTTTTGCAGGCGTGGTCCCAGCTGAATGTTATCTTGTATCTTTTATTCATATCAAATATATTCTATCTCTAGCCTAAGCTTGTTCTCTATCACGTATTGGTAATTGTTACAATTCAATGATTTGGTGTAGACGATGAAGTAACTTTCACGCAAGATCTTATAGATTAGGCAGTTACATCATGATAAATCTACAATTTTAGGATTAGGTCTATTATAAGAACAGTGCTAATATCATAGTAGACCATAATTCTACAGTCTCACTATCTTCTCTGTACTCATTCTTACTAATACAATTTCATAATAACGTACTTTGTGTTATACAGTCTTCAAAGCACCCATGGTACTTTGATACGTCGAAGGAATAATCCAATGTTAGGTGCTGACCACTAGGTGTTACTTCGACGTTAGCTGGTTCGTTATACTATTCCCGTCTAATTTGAGTAGATTCCCAATCATTCGACATAGATCATGTACGTTAGTTGTCTGCGAAAATCTTAAGTCACCAGTGGAAGATTTGTTATTTCTCATCAGTGTCGTAAATTACGTAGTCTTAAATCATATCTACTGGTCGACAGTATTTTTCAATCACTCGGCGTCTGTTTAAGGTTGATCAATAAATAGCTAACGTAACGATTTATTTGTACTGCTCGTGGTTAGAAAAGGTATGTTGTGAAACCCTCTGCCGGAAACAGTGACGAGAGTCCCTCACATAGACGCTTACAAAAAGAGGTTGGATGTTGACTTTCTAACAGTTGGACATAAATAGTCAATAAATCCATCACAAAAAATAGTCTATTAGACTTAAATTTCGTACACAATGCCTGAATATGGACTGAACATACTAGTCCTTAGTTTCCGGGAAAATATCACAAAACTGTCGCCTGTCAACTCATTGCGCCAAAGCTCTCTTGCAAACGTTCGTATAGATTCTAACAGAAACTTTGCACCGAAATTCTACTGCGTGGTCTTAGTTAGTACAAGTTTCTTTTAGTGACTTTGATACTAAATCAGATATTTTCATTTTAATCCCAGGACTTTTCTGGAATTAATCGGTCCAGTTCTATCCCCATTGATTTCAGATCTATACTGAGGAAGTTGCAAAGAAGGTTCATTGTTCAACGTGACTTTTCAGATGTTCCAAACATCAAACGAGTATTTAGCAATATTAAAAGCTTCCGACAAATGAGGAGATTAAAAGCTGAGCGATGGCTCTTGAATTTGCAAAATAACGATTTTTTGACAGCTACTCTAAGGAAGAAACTTTGTATCCAATCTGATATTCCTACTGTCCAAATGGTTAATGGTGAACTCATAAGAGACCCAGCAGAACTATGTTAGCTTAAAGTGTCACTGGATCATAACCACACAATCCTCAAAGCTCAACACGAGACTACTCAGAAAATAGATATTCAATATTTAACGCGGAGGAATGCCTAAGAATGGAGAAGGAGGGGAACAATGAATTTAATTAATTGTGGTTGATCGGGTGGCATGGCTCGGTCTTGCAGGTGTGGTCTTATATAACATTATTTTTATCCATGTTAAATATACTGTTCTATCTCTAATCTAAGTGTGTTCTTCATATATTGATGATTGTTACAACGCAATGAATCAGAGTAGACAATGATGTGACTTCCATGTAAGATCTTATAGATTAGGCAGTTACATTATAACAAATCTAAGACTTTAGGATTAGGTCCATTATTAGAGCAGCATTAATATCATCTAGACCAATTAATTGTGTTGTATGCTTCGTATTCCCTTTTCATAACTATTAAGTGACCATGTTTCGTGAGTGTGTGCATGCTCGTGTGAATAATCAATTTTTAGAACTTGTGATGGACCAGAATGCATTGACACAAATATTGTTGATGTAACTTAACACGAATGCACGTTAAAACGAACTAGTAATATAAAACAATTAGTCCCTCTGATAAATTTCGATAATACAATGAGAAGACGAAGTTTATCAGGATTATGTGATGATATATTTGCGCAATACATTTCGAACAATCTGATCACACATATACTTACTTGACCACTGCCTGCCTAATTTCCAATTGCTGAGTTCCATAGCCAAACAAAAGATACGAATGCTAGAAACTTACGGTGAGTTCGAACAATGAATTTCCTGCAATTTTTGATCTCGTTTAGACTGTTCATCAGACAATGCCACTTATTTGGCTTAATTAATTTTGGGCTTATGCAAATTCAATCTAAGAATTTAGTCAACAACAAAGCCAATATTTTTATAAAGGAGATTAGAAGTTTGATATAAGGGAATTTTGTTGCCAGCAATTAGAACTATACGAGTGAAATGAAGTTGTGAAAGGTACGGATAATAATAAAAATGACTGATGAGTTAAGCCAGAGCTACAGTTCCTATATCCTAACACTTAAGAGCGATATCTGAACAGTTCAAAAGATTAGGCGCACAAAAAAGTTCCCCGAATGAATAACTGAAACACCTACTCATTCATCTGTTCATAAAGCACAAATGTGAATATTAATCATAAACTACTGGAATTATCAACAACAACACACAGTATCTGGGACTTCTCCGTATATTTTCAACAACAGAATGGATCTCCATGGCACTAAAAATAATGGAGGTTAAAGTGTGCCGTTGCGCTTCTTCTCCCTTATTCCGGAAACTAGTATAATAAGCTACGTCTTCTCAAGATTTGGGTAGTGAAGGCGGCTTTCTTGATGTTTGCGTTACCGTTACGTTTGTTTAGTTGCTTGACGCTTTTGGAGTTTTCAAAGTTATGCAGATGCCGTAGTCTTGCATTTCCGTGTCACTGTCACAAGTATTTTTCGTACAATACTAATCGTCTCGCAGTATCTTTAAGTAGGAAAAATTGTGTTTACGTCACTTCACATGTTCACAACTCTTCGTCAAGTCTTCGTACGTGCTGGAGCTGCAGCAGGTTAGTAAAAGACCTAGCTTTCTTTTGTGAATGTGGAAAAGTGCAGCCGGTTAGTCCCAATTGGTCTTATTTCGACGTTCTGGGTTATCCACATCCGGAACCTGTGATAGATGTAATCGATCTAGGAGATCGGATGCGACAAACCCAGAAATTGTTACACCCTGATAAATTTAGTGCAAAAACACAGTATGAAAAAGACCTTGCTTCGGATGCATCAGCCTATGTAAACAAAGCATACAGCTGTCTACAAAAGCCCGTTGAACGTTATGAATATCTCCTTCATCTGCACGGTGTATCAACTGATAACGTAGATTTCAAGAAATCAGATGATACAGAATTTTTATTAGAAGTAATGAACATCAGTGAAAAGGTTGAGGATGTTATTCACAATGTTTTGAATCCCAGTCGTTCTGAGAAAACACTTGGTGAATTGTCTAGTACCATTAGTGAACTTGTTAGTGAACTTCTTCAAAGGTTAAATGATGAAGAAAAGATAATAATCAATTTAATTTCCAGATCGGACTGGGCTGGTGCGCTAATATCTCTTTCAAGGTTCAAATATATTCTCAAGGTATTCGAGGAATTACGAGAGCATGAATTTGCCTGGAAACAGCTTGGTATCAATATAACGACAACGTAAAAATAGTTCATTCAAAGACTAAGATTCTGTCTCACTTGCTTTGCTTGTCTACTTTTTTATTTAGACTAACGAATAAACCGTTATTGTTTTAATAAAGCTTTAAAAAACTTACTTTCCAGAAATTCTGTCGTTCTTATTTATGCTAAGTTATGAATATTCGCAACTTGTCTTTTAATTTCGTAGAAATTTGACGAACTTTTACACGTGGTTCAACAAATACGAGTCGAACGAGTAGACAGACATTTATAGCTGTGCTTGTTTTTTTTGTATAAACTGGGAGTGTTTAGTCTAGGTAAAGCAAATTCGCAGCTAACTCTGAACATATATTTCCTCCTAATTACTTTTAAAATTTCGAATCCTCGTCTTCTTTTGCTTCCAGGTATTCTTATTTCTGTCAAGTTTCATACTTAAAATACTGTAATGTTGCCCAACCTGATTGATCATTAAGTTCATACAAATCAGTTCTGTTATAGCTACTTTAAAACTGTAGCTATTGTAATAAATATTTGTTTTAAATTGTTTATGGTTCATATTACGAACTGATCTTCGTTAGGCAACCACTGAAAACCAGTAAGCGCTGGGCAGATGTTTCGTCTTCGTTTGACGCTCCTTAGCAGTTTTCATTCACAACCCCACTAAAGATCGAACCCAGGACCTTCAGGTCACGTGGCAAGCGCTTAACCTTAAGACCGTTGGTCCGGCATCTAGTGTACATGTCTAATTTAAAATCAGTATAAACCACAAAATGCACTCAAGCTCTATCCGAAGTAGAAATGTGTTGTTGCTGGAGATTATTCAGAAAAAAAGCCAGACATCTACCTAATTCAGTAATGCGTAATCGATGAGATAATACCTAAACATTACATCGATTGTATATAAGGTTCATAAACATGTTTCTAGAGTTTATCTTGGATAGCTAAGGAACAGTAGGAGAAAAAAAGATGTCTTCCTTAGTCATTTCTCGAGACTAATTGTTCATTTGCCATTACTGATACAGAACTTTTGTACGTCGGACTACAAAATCTCCGTTAAAGTGTTGGCAATGTAAATGAAATCAATATTTGACTAGTGGTATGTGTCAATTTGAGTGAACCTTGATGAAGTTATGGCATTATTTTTGTTGCTTTACAAACTTAATTGTATTTCCCAAATAATACTACTTTTTGCATATATGTTCATTGATTATGTATTTCTTACTTTTCCTCCACAATAATATCATTTCAAACAATTGTGGTATATCCTTTTTGATAGGCTATCGCAACACAAGTAGCATGTTTATTTGTTAATCTTTCTATGAATCTCACCTAACTTTTGCAATAATGAGTTTAACAAGATGATTTAAGTAGATTGTGAATAATAGCTTTCCACCAGGTAATACTTTATTTCTCTTATCTACTGTTTCTCATAGTTTTTATCATGAACTGACTTCACTCAAATAACCACCGAAAACCATGAAACACTGAATAGCTATTTCGTTGTAGTATAAAATTCACTGAGAGTGAGCATTCACGATCCTATCCGGAATTGAATGCAGGATATTTTCAATGGTAATCTAAGGTCAGTTTATTGTGTAAACTGAAAAATGCAACAATTTACACAAATAATAACCATATGTTCACTGATGACTAATTTCTAGATATAATTTCAGGAGTCCTAGGGAAAAGCAATGATTGGTAGAGTTCAAACATGCTAGATGTAAGACAGCCACCCACTGCAGACAATGAAAGGTGACTGAGCAATATCTCTAATTGGTTGGAGTACCTAGCCTGTCGTATGCCCTGATGGTGTTCTCGTAACGTTCGAGTTGCCTGATCTGCCAAGGGCGATGGGACAGTGCATGATGCTATTGTTGTGTGCTAGGTTCAAAGAGAATTGTATGCTATATGCATGCGAATCCGCCTCGTTATTGTTCCTATTTGAGCCCCCCCAAATGCCCTGGTATGGCCGAGAGTGGGGTGGGTTCGCCCTCCCTCTCGAAATACTCTCACACGGCCACGCGTATACAGCCTCTGCCAGGGAAGTCCTACTCACTGCCTTCTCGTGGCGGGGTTGTTGTTTACGAAAATGAGAGGACGAAAAGCGAATGTCCGGCGCTTTAACCGGATCCCAAATCAATGGTGCACATGGGCTCCAGTATCCTGCGGGAACAAATGGCGTATGAACCAATCGTTGGTCACCGGCTACCATGGGACTGCATCTCCTCACGATGCTCCACTGCCTTGTGGACTAGACCTCTAGGTCTAAGGTTAGGGGTGTGGCCCCCTAAGAAAACCACCTGCTCCGGTGTGGGCACCCGGGCAGTATGCCAGCCTACGCACTAAAACATGAACTATTTACTTATGGAAAATATTCTTTTCGCTCCGATTTACACTGAAATGACTCGCATTATTATTATTATTTACTACGCCATCTATTCACTCTCTTTTATTCCCACTCTGTGTATTCTTATTTTTCGACTTATACAGCAGCTCGCCTATGGTGGAAATTCGGCTCTATCTAAACGCTCTGGAGTCACTGCCTGGTTGGAAATTGTATGTTACCACCGAATACGAGCACCGAAGCAGTTTTTCTGAAACCACGTGCACCATTCAAACTGGCTGCCTTCAACGTTCGCACACTTATGCAGGTCGGACAACAGATAGGGCTGGCTATGTCTTTGGAAAGTCTTAATATTGACGTGTGTTGTCTATCTGAGACCCGTATTCAAGACTCTGGTGAAGTACTACAAGTTCGCTCTCCATCTGTCACTTCAAAAAGTTTGTTTTACGTGCGTTTATCCGGGGACCCTGTGGCATCTTTGTCTGGTCTTGCTGGCGTTGGTGTCGCACTAAGCACTAGAGCTGAGGCAGCATTAATCGACTGGATCACAGTCGGTTATGTGCTGTTAGATTAGAAAGTTCCATCAAAGTGAGAAGAAATCGGCGTGAGAAACGATGTCTTTTCCTCATCTCCGCCTATGCCCCGACAGATTGCAGCCCGGATGCAATCAAGGATGAGTTCTACCACCAGTTAACTGTTCTTCTCCAGAAAGTGCGTTCGACAGATATTATAGTACTAGCCGGAGACTTGAATGCTTAGGTCGGGCTTCTAGGCACAGAAGAGAGTTGTCTAGGTGGCCAATGGGGACTTGCTGTTCGCAGGACAGATAACGGGGACCGTCTACTGCAACTTTGCACAGACCACAACCTGTTTCTGGCTAGCACTAACTTTCGGCACAGTCATCGCCGATGTGCCACCTGGCGTCCCCCTTCTGCATCTCAAGCCTGGACTCAGATTGATCACATCGCGATCAGCTACCGCTGGCGTGGTTGTGTACAAGACTGCCGCTCCTTTTGGAGTACCTGTCTGGAATATGATCATGCCCTCGTCTGCTCCAATCTCACCTTACTTTGCAGTGGCCAACGAAGTGACCGCCACCAAAGTATTGATGTCAGCAAGTTGGTTGCAACTTCTGTTGCTACTAAGTATCGAACCGAGCTAGCTTCTAGGCTAGCTACCATTCCACCGAAAAGTATAGATGAGCGTTGGTTGCAATTGCATGACGCCATGAAAATGGCGAGTAAAGCCGCTTTCGGCTTTGCGAAACGTCCCGCTTACAAGCACTGGGTTTCTTCTGGTTCCTTACAACTGATTGAAGCCCGTCGGTCTACTCCGGGTGATCGTGAGTTTGACCACAAACGAAGGATGTTACGTACTGAAATTGGGCAAAGCTTGCGTAAGGACCGAGAAGCCTAGTGGTCGGAGCGTGCTAATGAGCTGGAAGCAGCAGCTGCATCTGGCAATTACCGGAAGCTCTTCCAACTCACCCGAGCCACTGGCAGCAAGAAGTCTGGTGTGAGCGAAACAATCTGCGAGGATGACGGAACGCCAATCATTAACATCCATCGACGTCTTGGACGATGGGCAGAATTTTTCGAAGAGCAGTTCAACTGGCCTGCTGCTCCGGCAACATCGGTCAGACTGTCCTGCCCTCCATGGCCGGTGACGGCTGATTCACCGAGTGAGGCGGAAGTCCGCAAGAAACTCCAACTCTTTAAATGTTACAAATCACCGGGCCCAGACGACTTACCTCCGGCTCTTTTTAAAGATGGTGGTGACTTTTTGACTAAGGGACTGACGACGTTGTTTACAAAGTTCTGGGAACTAGGGAGTGAACCAACGTCATGGAATGAGTCGATAGTTGTCCCTATCTTTAAAAAGGGTTCACGTCGTTCCTGTAACAACTATCGGGGGAAAAGTCTACTTCCGATTGCGTCCAATCTATTGGTTTTCGTCATACTTCGTAGGTTGTTCAGAACCCGAGAAGGATTGACTCGCGAGGAGCAGGCTGGGTTTCGTTCTGGACGAGGATGTATTGATCATATCTTCACCCTCCGCCAAATGTTAGAACACCGCCATACTTATCAAAGGCCAACAATCGTAGTGTTTCTTGATATCAGGGCTGCCTTCGATTCGTTGGACAGGACTGTTCTCTGGGATTGTCTACTGAAGAAGGGTGTGCCTGAGAAGTTTATTAACATCCTAAAGGCTCTATATACAAACACCTCAGGCAGAGTGAGGGCATACAACCACCTTTCTCCGTTGTTCCGTTCAAGCAGTGGGGTCAGAGAGAGTTGCCCAATCTCACCATTCCTCTTCAACTTTGCCACCGATGGCATTCTGGAAACAGCTCTAGTGGATGTAAGTAATGGTGATGTGGATCTGTTGCCTGGAGAAAGACTTCTCGACCTTGAGTATGCGGATGATATTGTCTTACTGTGCGAGAATGCCCAAGCCATGCAATCCGCACTTAATCAGTTGGCAATCAATGTCCGTAGGTATGGTATGTGCTTTGCACCTTCGAAGTGCAAAGTACTTCTACAAGACTGGCAGGATTCTAATCCTGTACTCACTCTGGGTGGTGAGCAGATAGAAGTAGTCGAGAAGTTCGTGTATCTAGGTAGCTGCATAAGTGCTGGTGGTGGCGTGAGTGATGAGATCAATGCACGTATAGTGAAAGCCAGAGCAGCTTAAGCCAATCTGGGCCATCTTTGGCGCCTTCGAGATGTTAGTCTGTCTGTAAAAGGTCGGATCTACAACGCGTTGGTGAGAGCAGTTTTGCTCTATGCTTGTGAAACCTGGACTCTTCGAGTTGCGGATGTTATACGACTCTGTGTCTGATCATCGTTGTCTCCGAAGGATTGCTGATATCCAGTGGCAACACCATGTTAGTAATGCAGAGGTTCGGCATCGTGTGTTCGGGCACAGAGACGATAATGAAATTGGTGTCACCATCTTGAAACACCGACTTCGGTGGCTTGGACATGTTCTACGAATGTCGTCTCAGAGAATTCCTCGTCGTGCATTATTTGCCGACTCTGGGACTGGTTGGAAAAAGCGGAGAGGTGGTCAGTATATGACATGGTGTCGTGGTATGAAAGAAAGCTACAAAGGGCTGGCTTGTGTTGGTCCTTCACGACTCCCTGGCTGGGGTCCGAGAGACGGTGTAACACAGTGGCTAGAGACGTTATCAGATATGGCTCAGAATAAAAGCCAGTGGCGATCCTGCTGTAACCTTCTTTTACTTTCTTCGTAAAAAGCAGTTGCTTCTTCCTTAACTGAAAGATTTCTTCTGATTGTACCCCATTATTGTTCTCTCTCTTTTTTTCTCCTTTCTCTTCAAATTATCATTGTCTTGTGTGACGCATATATATTTGGTGCCCCCTTGTACCAATATTTATGTGTTCAAATAAATATAAATAAAAATGATTGGAGTTAGAATTATAAGTCATTGGGTACTGACTCGATAGTTCAAAGGCTAAATACTCGATGTGGGATCTGAATATCCTCGATGGGATTGTGATTAGATACTGTTGATGAGTCAAATATCTGGAAAAACCAGCTGTCTCGTGCTTCTTGGTTGTCTAACGAAGGTTAGTTCGTGGTGTAAATTATAAAATGTAACAATTACCAAGTAACCATTTCTTTATTACATAATAATTTTATAGAAGTCATTACTTTCTATATGATATAAATATTAATATGAATGTACAGATTTAAAAATTACATGACAAATAAGAAAATCATCTTAGCTCTTGTGACATTTTTCTATCATAGATTTTATATTCATTTTCATCCAATTATGACTTGGTCTTTATTGTTACATAAGGTAATATGTAATTTGAAAAATAGAAAGAAAGTAACAGGCAAAGAAATGAGAAAATCATTTTTAAAATCGATATGTAGTACTAAAATTACCATTGGTGATTGCTCAGCAACATATCATAAGAACAAGTGACGTGATTTCTTCAAGATATTTACTACTACTGATAATAATAATAATAAACATTAGTAATAATATAAACTGAGATCAAATATACTGTTTGATCAGGAGAAAAAGAAAGAAAACTCGACTAACATTAAAACAGTCTTGGCGAGACTATAATTTATGGACGAACTAATCACATATAAGATAACAGGTCTCGGATTTATGGCGTGAAATTCACTCATCCATTTGGATAAATAAAGTTTTGGTATTATAGCTGATGTCAGTTCATTGATGAAAACTTGAAATTTAATTCCTAAGCTTAATCATCAACTGTAAATTATGATTATAATTCCTCACACAGGGTTTATAACCCTCATTTGGTCCTGGTTATTAAGTGGATACTCTCTCAAGGTTAGTCTAGCATCGCTCAAGTGTTGTTCACCACAGTCTTTTCATTCATACATATACATTTGTACACTTGTAAGATTGTATTAGATGAAGTAAAACATATGAGGAAAAATGTTAATGAAATAATATCACATAACATTCTTTTTTTCTTGGAATGTTTATGTCAAATAAAATAATATATCTATAAAGAATGAATGCACCATGAAAAACTAGGAAAACAAAACAAAACAACAACATACAATTGAACCAATTCAAAAACGTTTAAATAAAGTATATAAAAATGGAATTATTTTAGAAATACAATAATAATAATAATAAATAATTAAGAAAAATCCCATTGAATCATTTGTGATGTTGAATTAGTGATTAAATGAAATACTAATGTAAAAATTAAAATATTACGAACAAGTTTTAAAGGGGAATTAGGAATAATGTAATTTTGTAATCGACGTGTTAAAATATGTACTTCATGACATATACATATAAAAATAAATGATGTCAAAGTTAAATTGACCAATGGAAAACCTGGTAATAGAACAAGTATACCATAAGCATCAGCTGATAACCAGATATGATATTGAGCAATAAATAACTAAGAAAGAAAAAAAGGATTGAAGCAAAATGATGGACATAGACACGATTATAATATGATATATTATATATGGAAAAGGTATTATTAAGATTAAATCAGATGAAACTGTTTAGTAAACATTCGAAGATATTGTGCATCATTTCATATTGATATAGTCAATTTAGTGGTATAAATATGACTCTCCATCCCCGAAGTATTAAATTGCTTGGGGGAAAGGGTATGGGTACAAATGTCTAAAGCGTTCCGTACTAGAATAAAGCAGATATCTAGAGTATCGAGATATATAAAAGTTAGGATATAAGATTGTAAGGTGTATCTCAAACATATACACTTACACGTATAAAGCTCACGACCAAAAAAACGAAAAGCATGTAGAGATTTGCGATTTCCTGTTGTTGATATCCAGGAATGCGATTGATCAGTCTCTGCAGTTATATTCGCATCCTGAGAGAATTAATTCAAATCTGAGTCATGTTGCAAGTTTTAGTACATTTGATATGTGGCTAGCTAATGAATGCAAGACGCGAATTTCATCTTCCTTGGGACTTACCGTTAACAGTAGATTAAAAACCACTACATATAAATTCATGCCTGTTGAGAAACTTAGTGACTATACGAACTCAGTGGATAACAATGGTGTTTGAAGCGAAAAAAACTGGGTTCGAGTCTCAGTGTGAGTATCAACCTCTGGAATGCGGATGAATTCAGTTGACTAGTCCTAAATAGGACGAAATACGCATCCTAGATTTCACTGCTAGCCAAATAGCGTATATATATTAAGAAAGTGTGGGTTGTACAAAGTAAAATGTCTGAGAGAAATATGCTTTGAACTAGTTGTTTAGTAGTTCGTCTATTAGCACACAACCTCAATTTTTTTGTGCAGGAAAAAGCAATAAAGAAAGAAGAATATGTTTGAATGAAATGAAAATAATTTGAAACTTACTTCCAATGACATATCACCAATCCAAGCAAAGAATATACTATATATTCTACGTAATGAACTGAAACCATTTCTCACCAGAATATATGATATAATCTACAGAAAGAAATTCACTTAATATAATTTAGACAGTCATAAATGCAAGATAAGTATATAGATTCTACAGTAATCTGCAGTGAAAATAAGGAACTCCCTTAGTAATTAATGTAAAGCCAGTGTGTATTTCTTCATTTACATTTATCTATATGAATGGAGTTACAAATTACATTGAAATTTAATGACGCTAAATGAAAATGAGCATCATCGTTAGAACACTACTCCTGAACTTATGTCGCCTTTAATTAGTCAGTCAGTCCGTCATACTAAACGTAACACCTGGTACATACGTGTTACTGAGAAAGACTGAACATTGAGAATATAGTTTGAAAAAACGGTCAGTCAGATGAAATGCAGAACCTGGTAGATGTGTACATAGATCTAAGTTGTCACACTCCATTAGCACAGAGAGATGAAACTGTCAGACCAAATCTCAGAGTAGTAGAGGTAGTAACAATATTAGTAGTAATAAAAAATATCAAACATTGAAGAAAAAGAGTGAACGCATATGTTGGTCTCGAAACATACGAGTAATACTTTGAAGACACCTGTGATCGCATGCAAGTAACCTACGAATATCCTCTATTCTTAATGGCCATGTTTCAGACCTTTGAAGTAGGACAGAGAACTGTTTCTCGGTAAACTCGTCCTTTTGTTGACAAACCGATATCCAGCCTACGCCACAAGTGATGCAAGATGGCAAAAGCTAATCAATCCTTCTGAATCCGTACCGAAATCTCATCAGACACCAGACCATCAGGACTGATGAGACTGCCGAGGTAATTGAAGTGGTTGGTGCGTCCAACTACTTCACCCCCTATCGTTAATTTAGGTGATGACACAAGCTAATCCCTAAGCATCATTTCGGATTTGGATGGAGAGAACCGTGTCTTGAACATGCTTGCATTGTTGCTTAAGGTGGTCAGAAGACTGCATTTTATCATTGTCTTCACCAAAAAGAACTATATCATATGCGTATTCCAAGTTTATAAGTGAATCTACTAGAAGAAAGTCGATTTCCAACAAGTTAGAAGGGAGCGTTATCTCTAAAAGAATGCCTATAATGAGGTTAAACAAAAATTTGGAAAGCGAAAAGCCTTGACGAACAATATTCGAAGTAACCAATTCCGAAGACAGTTGGTCATAAGCTCTGACGCGACCAGCAGTGTTCGAGTAGAGATTCTGTACAAGGTGTAATTATTTGGTACATCTTTTAAGAACGGATACTGCCATCGAAAATTGCCCATTTACGGAGTCAAACGCTGACTTAAAGATCGAGAAATACAACTACAGTTAGGGGTTGGTAGCTACGCCCGTTTACCGAAACACGGAGAAGGGTAAATATTTGGTCTATACATTCACGCCCAGGTTTGAAATCATCCTGTGTTCCCAGTTTGCTTTTTATGAGCACCAGTTTGACGTTGGATAATTATTGAGAATAACATTTTAGACACTGATTCCTCTGTAGTTATCATAAGAGAACTTTTGTACTTTCTTAAAGACCAGAACGACCAGCAACTGAAACTATCCAGATGGGATTACATATAATTTCCAGAATCTAGATAAAATTCCAGTCAGTCTAAAAATTAAAGCCGGATCACAATTTTTAAAGATCTCTAGAGTTAATCCATCAGCCTGAGGTTTCGTGAGTCAAATAATCAATGAAGCCAGATTAGTATTTAATTAAATAAACTAAGCAATCAGAAAATTCGATCAGTCACTTGTTTAGATGTGTTGATATGTGAAATGACGATTTAGTGGTTTACAACAGTACACGATTGACTCTTAACTACTACTGGGTTGTAAGTTCAAGCCGTATTTTGTATTTACTTCAGCTTTTTGGAAAACAAGTAGTTTTATTAGCCTTCATGCAGAGAAAAGTAATTCAAAGTCAAGTGGTGTGGATGAACCTATAATGTTGTTTACTAAGCTGAGCTGATTTCAATTTGCAGAAAAAATGACATAGTTCACTAGTAAGGTGGGGCTCCATTATATAAGCTATATTTTACTAATCAAAAATGGAAAATTCATGAATTTGTATATAGGGGATACGATCGATTCAATTAGATGGAAAAGTAATGCGGATTTGACTTCAAAGACAATTGTGTTCATTTAATAGCTATGAATTTCAATCGTATTCACAAAAGATTCAATGAATTTAATGATCATCAGAAATCATTTGCTATATCAACACCGAAATACGAGATTTCTTTCAAGAACAGGAACAACAAAAAAAATCCCTGTATTAAACTTACAGGAATGAGACACATATACGCGTGGATATGTAAACATGTTTCTCGATTCGAACAGGCAAATACATATATGCAAGAAAACTGAAAAGGAGAGAAGTTTTAAATTGAAGATTGGATAAATAGATCTAAAGGAAAACAACAAGTCGGTAAAATAGGTTCACAAACAAGGACAAAATTCAAAGATATATACAAATATATTTTGATAAGGAGACCGTCTAATGCTTCAAAATTTTCAATGGTAGTTTAACATTGATTGGTTCATGATCTTAACTAAAACGTTACAATAGGAAGTTAAACTGAGTGATGTAGATAAGTGCAAACTCGCTGGTTGAAGTCTGTAAGATTATCGTAACTAATAGTTGGAGACGGGTGAAATGGCTCAAAATCGGTTGAAGTGGGGAAGAAGGATTCACTCTTTATTTCCCTTTAGATATTCAGCTTTAAAATAACCTTGCACTTTATATTCAACCAATTTATTCTTTATATTGTACACAAAACTTCTATGAGACTAGTAAGAACCCGTGCTTGCAATAACTTTTGGCAGTGACCTGTTAAAAAAGTTGGACAGTTTGTGTATCTGAGTAGTTTTGTGAGTTTTAGTGTTGGTGTGACTGACGAGGTCAATTTACCTATTGTGAAAGCTTAACCTGCTAATGCCAATCGGGGCCTTCTTCGGTGCCGTTGAGATGATAGTCTTGTTGTAAAAGGTTGGCTTTACTAAACGTAGGTGAGAGTAGTTTTGTTTCATGCTCGTCAAATCTGGAATCTCCAAGCTGAGGATGTACGATGACTCTGTGTTCGGTTATCATAGTCCCTGAAGCATCGCTGACATTTAGTGGCAACACTGTGCTAGTAAAGATAATTCAATTAGCGTCGCTATCCTGAAACAGCGACTTCGTAGTCATTGACTTCATTTACGAATGTGGTTCCATCGGCTTCCAAATCGTGCATTATTTGCCGACACTGGGACTGGTTAGAAAAAGCAGAGAAGTGGTCAGTTTATGATATGAAATAAAGCTGTATAGGATTGGAATGTGTCAGTCCATTCCAACTCCTTGTTTTGGGTCCGAGAGATGATGTAATTCAGCAAGTTGAGACGTTATCAGACATAGTTCAGAACAAAGACCAATGATGATCCTGTTGTAGTTTTCATTCACATTTTTCATGAATGTGAGAGAAACTTCTTTAACTGAAAGAATTTCGAATTGTCTCGTTTATATTTGTTAACTGAACTATTTTTTCTAATATATACTGTTTTTGTTAACCATTTTATTTTTTCTTCATTATCTTTAAATGCATATCATGTTTCTTCCCAGTATCATTCATAATTTATGTGGAGTATTCTATCTTTGCTGGTGTTTTTGTACCAGATTTTTTGTGCTTAAAATAAACATATCAATAAATACATAGTCTATACCTGATGCTTTCTATTATAACAGATCGATTGACATTATGATCATATTAAGAAATTTACCATGTTAATTTCTGATGAAACAAAGGAAATCAGAATGAAGAAATATTAAAATTATGTGATAAATACTTTTTCCAAAAAATAAATGAAACTACTCACCATTAGACCAATTATACCTAATACGGTTAAACCTAACGGTGAGAAACATTTGTATAGAAGTATAGAAAAATAAGAAATTTCTTTATTATGTTCATTCAAATGACTCAATAATGTGGATGATGACGACGATGATAAATTGTTAGTACTATTCATTGGTTTTTGTAAATGATTTGAATATTGAACAGTTGAATCGAAAATGTTATCATAATGTTTGATATCATAAGATGTTGAATGATTTAAATATTCATAAGACTCATCATTGTAATCATTCTGACAATGGAATGTTTTATGATTAGTTTTTTGAAGTCGTTTATGATAATCAGTATCCATGTCATCATTACTAATTTTGTGATTATTGACATTACTACTATGATTACCATCATTATTATCGGTAGCGACAATAGTAGTAAGATTGTAATTCTTACTGCTTAGTGGTAATCGAGAATAACGAATTTCGTCAGACTGTTTACTGCCTTGTAGATAACCAGAGATAGCATAATTATCACCGCTATTATCATCAACAGTATCTTCTAATACTCCAATTTGTCGTAGGGATTCGCACAGGAAGGCAAATATCATACCGTAAACAGCTGAATAACGATCGATTGACCAACGAAAAAACCATATTTTTTCATCATTATTGGTAACATCTTTCTGCGCTGATGGTGTATACTCACGATGATATTGAAATATATACTTTTGTGGTCTGAAAAAGATTGTGTTCATTTGAAAATATAAGAAAAATTCAATATATTACTACAAGCTATTAACACTACTGATTATGATTACAGTACATTTACGACCTAATCAATCTCACGTATTCAAATAAAATTATCTAATAAGTTTACTCTGCGAATAATCATAAAATGGGAATTCACAATCATACTAGTAATAACAACTATATATTAGTTAAGTTTTTATTGATAAGCAAATATTGGAGTTTTAACATTGGTGGAGAGTGGAATTCGGTAGTACGCCTGAGAGCGTATATTACTGACAAAATTTATCCGACTACATTGACATTACATAACTATTTTACGTGTCTCGGACAAAGAGAATTCCTTGGCTATTTGATATGATGGGATAAAAAGGTGACATTACTTCGGTTTTTCGGTATCAATTAATTATGAAATCCGGATGACAGGTATAAACTTCGTTCATTGAGAAAAATCTATTCTTCCCACCAATTCAGGTGAGCTATATTTAGTGTAAGTGTGTGTTTTACATTAACTCTATGTATTTTTACATATGCGATATTATTTTATGTAAAATTAGTATAGAAATTATTTCATTTTGGTCCAATGACGATGTGATTCTGGAGTCAATAAATCTAGGTAAAGTATGCTTTAAACCTACAACGTGACGGTTTTTATTTAATTATAACAGTCAGTGTTATTTCTTGGTTTAAACTATCATTTGACTTAGAGTGCAAAATTATTAAAACTGTTGAACAATTAATACACGATAAGAATGACCCAATTCATAGAAACCTTACCCTGAGAAAAATAACCAATGAAAGAATCCTCTTGAACGATACAATGATTCAATAAAACATATTAAACCAATAAATTTTATTATCATGATTACGTAAGTCAATCGTATACGACTACAATGAATGAAACATATCGATTTGAAATATCGACGACATTTATTAGTAGTAGAAGTAGTAATGATAGTAGTATTAGTAGTAGAATCCGATGGATGTTTTGATTTTTGGTTCATGTTTATCATTCGCTTTTTACTCGTGGTTATTGTTGTTGTCGCGCTCAGTGTCGACGATGTTGCTGGTGATATCTTCTTTTTTAATGGTAAAACAATGCACTGAAATTTACGAATTAAATCTTCTGTTAACGGTGGACCAAGACGTCCACGTGACTTAACAACAGAGCGATGTAATCGATGTCCAACAAGTTTTTGATTAGCTTGACGAAATTGAGGATTACAAGGAACAGAACTATCAGTATCAGTAGTAGTAAGAGAATAATTTTGACAAAGATCAAATGCTGTACCAAGTGATAACGCTTTATAATGACCTTTATGTGAATTATAATTGATTGGTGCCATTAATTTACACGAAGATGAAGAAGAAGGACATGGAATATAACCAGATATTTCACCAATTATTGTATCTGTTGATGTCAGCAGGGATGATGGCGATGAGGTGGGTAACAGGAATGATTTATTCATGTTCAGGCTAGATCGTCTTGGAGCTTGATGGAAATAAACTTCCTCATCTGATTCTATATATTGATGATTAGGTGGATATTCCTCATAGTTAGTAGTAGAGTAGTGGTGATTGAAATAACGGTTACGATTGTAGTTATAGGAGTTATTAGTAGCGGTAGAAGTGGCAGTTGCGTTGGATGGGATACTTGTAGATGCAGTTGTAGAAGGAATAGTAGTAGTAGTTATGTTGGTAACATTGTTAGCATGAGTAGAAAGAGCATTATTACTATTATGATTACTAATGATATTATGATTACTGTTGTTATCATTACAATCGATATTATCCCGATTATTTTGATTTTCAGATACTTTTTGACCAGATACACGAGGGAATATAACACAAACAATTAGTGTAACAGTGAACCAAAATGATACTAATGGAATAAAATAATAAGCTAAATAACCGCGATTCATAACTAGACATAATCCAAAGACGAAGAAATTAAAACGATAAATAACCTGTAAACAATGAAACATAACATGGATATAAAATATGATTGATAGGGATGATTACTAAAACAAAACAGATGGTACAAGAAGAAAAGTAAAATCATCCAATTAGTTGGTTTCAGTAAAGTAGGAAATATTGGCCAATTATACATGATAAGATCAGTTAGGTCTTCGATGGAGAAATCAAACTGAAAAATTGGTTATAAGCCTGAATTCTGTATCACACCCTATTGTAGAATTAGACAGGAGAGAAGTTACAGACTGATCATAATGTTGCACTTACTGATGGTTTGTATCATATAGGGAAGTGTAATTTTGCTGATTACAGATACAGGGAGATAATAGAACTAACCGTAATATTACGTGGAAAACTATCTAACTGGTAAGTAATATTTTCCTACAGATGAATAACAATGAGACATTCTTTCCTTAAATTAAATATAATTATGATACAATTCAAGGTTTAGAGCCAGCGCATAAACTTTACCAATAACGTGAGATATTTTTTAAGATATACTATTGTGAAATATGATTCAGTAATTTATGAAGTTGCACTGAAAGCGTGTAGATTAACATAAAAATCAGTATCCGTAAGTGCTAAATTATGCAAACATCCAATATAACATGTGACCTGACACACAGTACATTGTCATTTTATACAATGCCCTGGTATGGCCGAGAGTGGGGTGGGTTCGCCCTCCCTCTCGAAATACTCTCACATGGCCACGCGTATACAGCCTCTGCCAGGGAAGTCCTACTCATTGCCTTCTCGTGGCGGGGTTGTTGTTTACGAAAATGAGAGGACGAAAAGCGAATGTCCGGCGCTTTAACCGGATCCCAAATCAATGGTGCACATGGGCTCCAGTATCCTGAGGGAACAAATGGCGTATGAACCAATTTCTTGGTCACCGGCTTCCATGGGACTGCATCTCCTCACGATGCTCCACTGCCTTGTGGACTAGACCTCTAGGTCTAAGGTTAGGGGTGTGGCCCCCTAAGAAAACCACCTGCTCCGGTGTGGGCACCCGGGCAGTATGCCAGCCTACGCACTAAAACATGATGAACTATTTACTTATGGAAAATATTCTTTTCGCTCCGGTTTACACTGAAATGACTCGCACCACTATTATTATTGTTATTATTATTACTATTATTGTTATTATTATTTACCACGTCATCTATTCACTCTCTTTTATTCCCACTCTGTGTATTCTTATTTTTCGACTTATACAGCAGCTCGCCTATGGTGGAAATTCGGCTCTATCTAAACGCTCTGGAGTCACTGCCTGGTTGGAAATTGTATGTTACCACCGAATACGAGCACCGAAGCAGTTTTTCTGAAACCACGTGCACCATTCAAACTGGCTGCCTTCAACGTTCGCACACTTATGCAGGTCGGACAACAGATAGGGCTGGCTATGTCTTTGGAAAGTCTTAATATTGACGTGTGTTGTCTATCTGAGACCCGTATTCAAGACTCTGGTGAAGTACTACAAGTTCGCTCTCCATCTGTCACTTCAAAAAGTTTGTTTTACGTGCGTTTATCCGGGGACCCTGTGGCATCTTTGTCTGGTCTTGCTGGCGTTGGTGTCGCACTAAGCGCTAGAGCTGAGGCAGCATTAATCGACTGGATCACAGTCGGTTATGTGCTGTTAGATTAGAAAGTTCCATCAAAGTGAGAAGAAATCGGCGTGAGAAACGATGTCTTTTCCTCATCTCCGCCTATGCCCCGACAGATTGCAGCCCGGATGCAATCAAGGATGAGTTCTACCACCAGTTAACTGTTCTTCTCCAGAAAGTGCGTTCGACAGATATTGTAGTACTAGCTGGAGACTTGAATGCTTAGGTCGGGCTTCTAGGCACAGAAGAGAGTTGTCTAGGTGGCCAATGGGGACTTGCTGTTCGCAGGACAGATAACGGGGACCGTCTACTGCAACTTTGCACAGACCACAACCTGTTTCTGGCTAGCACTAACTTTCGGCACAGTCATCGCCGATGTGCCACCTGGCGTCCCCCTTCTGCATCTCAAGCCTGGACTCAGATTGATCACATCGCGATCAGCTACCGCTGGCGTGGTTGTGTACAAGACTGCCGCTCCTTTTGGAGTACCTGTCTGGAATCTGATCATGCCCTCGTCTGCTCCAATCTCACCTTACTTTGCAGTGGCCAACGAAGTGACCGCCACCAAAGTATTGATGTCAGCAAGTTGGTTGCAACTTCTGTTGCTACTAAGTATCGAACCGAGCTAGCTTCTAGGCTAGCTACCATTCCACCGAAAAGTATAGATGAGCGTTGGTTGCAATTGCATGACGCCATGAAAATGGCGAGTAAAGCCGCTTTCGGCTTTGCGAAACGTCCCGCTTACAAGCACTGGGTTTCTTCTGGTTCCTTACAACTGATTGAAGCCCGTCGGTCTACTCCGGGTGATCGTGAGTTTGACCACAAACGAAGGATGTTACGTACTGAAATTGGGCAAAGCTTGCGTAAGGACCGAGAAGCCTAGTGGTCGGAGCGTGCTAATGAGCTGGAAGCAGCAGCTGCATCTGGCAATTACCGGAAGCTCTTCCAACTCACCCGAGCCACTGGCAGCAAGAAGTCTGGTGTGAGCGAAACAATCTGCGAGGATGACGGAACGCCAATCATTAACATCCATCGACGTCTTGGACGATGGGCAGAATTTTTCGAAGAGCAGTTCAACTGGCCTGCTGCTCCGGCAACATCGGTCAGACTGTCCTGCCCTCCATGGCCGGTGACGGCTGATTCACCGAGTGAGGCGGAAGTCCGCAAGAAACTCCAACTCTTTAAATGTTACAAATCACCGGGCCCAGACGACTTACCTCCGGCTCTTTTTAAAGATGGTGGTGACTTTTTGACTAAGGGACTGACGACGTTGTTTACAAAGTTCTGGGAACTAGGGAGTGAACCAACGTCATGGAATGAGTCGATAGTTGTCCCTATCTGTAAAAAGGGTTCACGTCGTTCCTGTAACAACTATCGGGGGAAAAGTCTACTTCCGATTGCGTCCAATCTATTGGCTTTCGTCATACTTCGTAGGTTGTTCAAAACCCGAGAAGGATTGACTCGCGAGGAGCAGGCTGGGTTTCGTTCTGGACGAGGATGTATTGATCATATCTTCACCCTCCGCCAAATGTTAGAACACCGCCATACTTATCAAAGGCCAACAATCGTAGTGTTTCTTGATATCAGGGCTGCCTTCGATTCGTTGGACAGGACTGTTCTCTGGGATTGTCTACTGAAGAAGGGTGTGCCTGAGAAGTTTATTAACATCCTAAAAGCACTATATACAAACACCTCAGGCAGAGTGAGGGTATACAACCATACAACGTTATCAGATATGGCTCAGTTTAGAAGCCAGTGGCGATTGTGCTGTAACCTTCTTTTACTTTCTTCATAAAAAGTGGTTGCTTCTTCCTTAACTGAAAGATTTCGTCTGGTTCTACCTTTCCGTTTCCTCCTTTATTATTATTATTATTCCACTACTTTAGACTAATCTGGTCGTTATTGTTCTTCATTTTTCCTTTTACGCTCCTTACCTTCTTTTTTTCTCTTCCCATTCTCATTGTTTTGTGTGGCGCATATATATTTGGTGCCCTCTTGTACCAATATATATGTGTTCAAATAAAATAAAAATAAATCCATTATTTTACTCCCCTGTGAAGTACATGCTGATGATGTCATTCAGTAGAACAATGAAGCCTTCAAAAGTAAACCGTACAAGTCAGAGACCACAACAACTACAACATCATACTGAGTTAAGAATATTTTCCATCATCCACATTATTCACGTATCACCGATTTATCGTATTCAATTATGTACTAGTACACGTTTTTAAATTTTTGTTTCAAATAAATAGATAATTTATAAAAATTAAGTGATACTTGTTTCACATAAAGTGTGCTCGAACAGACTTTAACGGTTTATTGAATGTGGATAAAGGCAAATAATGAAATCCAGAATGCGTGTTTCGTTCTGTTTGGGACTTGTCAGACGGATGTACTTGATCAATTGGAAGTCTTAACATCAACGACGGGAAAATACAAATTTTTACCAACAGACTTCGATTAATCAAAAGTGTGTCAAACTTAGTATGACTATTTGTAGGTAAATTAAATGCCAGAGTTATTTACAAAATTTAAAAACGGATGATTCTTTAACACTCTTGATGTACCTACTGAAATGCAATACATTTGAAGAACAGTTAAATGTCTACAAGGTTGGAAAATTAGCTCAAACTGTGAATTGAAAAGTAGTACTAAGTAGATTACGACCACTTAAATTATAGTGAGGCGTCTTAAAATTCACTTTTCCAAGAAAAAGAAGAGTACATACAATTAAATATCGATGTAAAATTTGCCATAATGCTTTCCATGCACTGCAGAATTCTCTGGAGCAACGACGATACTACAAAATAAAAAAAGATCGTCTGATTACTATATATGGGCGGTATAATAGGTTAGATAACGTGAATTTTAGCTGCAATAGTATAAGTTTAATTTATTCATTAAACATTATTAGATAAACTAATATTTACTACGACATTATTTAAGCCGGCGAACGGAACAAAAGTCAACAACACAACAACAGGACGGACCAAACTGTTCCACTGTGCCCCAGCCCTGTTAACTAGACTAAAAAAATACTAGATTTAGTCGAGGGAAATGTATATTCCACAAGCAGCCCACAGGCACGAACAAACAAACACACACCTTATGCGTATATGTCAGTCAGTCAGCTGCAACGTAGGACCAGGCACGTATATGCATCGGTCCAAGTTGCCATACCGCATTAGCACAACAAGATGAACACCGGATTCATAGGAGTAGTTAATTCAGTGGTGGTAATATATAGAAGAAAGATTGTGTATAAGGAGATAGTAAAGGAAGAAAGAATAAGTTCCTAGACAGATATGAAGCGATTTTAATCTCTTAATTTAGGGAAGACAGAGAGTGTATACACCGACGCCATTGTGATCGATTCTGAGCCATGTCACCAAGAGTCTCCAACCATTGGTTACGATAGTCACGCGGACCCCAACCAGGCAGTCTGAATCTCCCAACATGGCTCATGCGTATATGTACAGTTCAAAAATGTCATCGGAAAACGTTACAAGATAGTGTGCTAATACAGGAAACGAACCAATGGCATTTATGGTTCTTCCAAGTGGGAAACACAAACTAAAGTTAAAAGTGGGCGTTTTTGGCGCGAAAATGAGAAATTCAAATCTCTAAAATAAAATGTGACATTTATCAAGTGGTTCTTGGAATTCTAGCATCCTCAATATATCCAAAGTGGAACCTCTAAAGACTAGACCATTCTAGTTTATTTTAGAAGTTATTCAACGATTAATAAACTGGGCATAAACAAATAAATTAGTTTATTATTCAATTTTTTTAATAGAGATATCACGAAGAACATTTCTTAGAATATCGTATATTAGTAATAGAAATGGGATGCAGATTTCTAGTTCAAAGTCTAAAGAATAAGAATTTGTGAGACTGTAACACTTGACTTTCATTCATTTCACAATAAATTCATATTATTCACCCAAACTTATTTCTACTTATATAGCTATGTAGTAGATCTGGCAACAAGTATTTATTAAAGTGTAGTAAATTATTTAACCAAAAGATCTAAAAAACTTGATTGTGAGCGAACTACAGATCAAGGCATATACTAGTTTATGAATAATAAATGAACATCTGACATTTTCACAGGAGAGATGTCTAACTCGATTGAAACAAAACCCTGAATGCATATTAGTGGTTAGCTCTAAGAATTGCCTAAAATTCTCTTATGAACCTATAGCTAACGGGAATCATTTGATAAAGTTTAAGATAAGAGTAACAAGCAAAATACTAATAGGAAATTCACCTGTAAGAAAATACCTTTCATATGTAAAACGAAATTTCTAAATCAAATATAAGTTTGTTGTATGTACACTTGAGCGTTTATCAAAGGTTATCTTATCATGCAACTTGTAAGCAATTCGCAAACTATTTTTATTAATACGGTCAAAACGACAGGATATTTAGAGTGAAGTTTAACCATGTACATCAAAAATATGAATATAAACTATAGGGTTGTTTGCTTTTTAAATAAAAAATGATTTAGTTAAAGGTATATGCTGACACCTATCCATTTAGATAACATGTACAACACATCATACAGTATAATATCTCGGTTATGAAAATTTATTCTATAAACATAATTACTACAAAGAATGCCATTAAGTTGCTAAAACCTATTAAAGCTGTTCAGTAAAGATCAAATATATATATGTATATGTTTTTTTTTCAACGTATGCAGGCACAAATACGGACACGTAACTCGTTTCGGAGTGTTTATGTCCATATTTATAAGTTAAAAATACCTAATACTAACCCAATTCGAGTGCCCTTTTTGGTTCAGATATCGGAAATTTATATCTACAAATTAAACAGAAGTGTTGCATTTTAAAGTTTACATAATAGGATGACTCTAAATAAACAACTATTGAAAGCCAGGAAGCACCAGATAACTGCTTTGTCTTAGTATGGGAGTACATTAATAGTATTCAGATAAGTCATAAATTGATTACTGAAGCGATTTTCTTACATGTCCTGTAAAATCACAGTGATTAATATTGAGCTATGGAGATGATATCCTCTGAACACTGAATACTAAAGTCATAAAAAGCTTAGCTAGCAAGAAATTATTAGGAAGGATTAAGTATATAACTCGGTAAATTAGTTATATTTGTTGGTTATAGCAGTTTAATCTTGTGGTATTGTAAATTATGTTTATGCCTTAAGCTAATGACAAATCAGTGTCGAGTTGTAATTCGATTAATTTATTTAAAATTTGAATATTATTCAGAGTAAATAAAAAAACAACATAAAAACTAGTATGTTTAAGAATGTTATGGTTTACATCAGAAAACTGAACTTAGTTAAAAACCGTTGACAACTAGGAAGCACTGCACAGCCGTTTAGTCCCAGTGTTGGACATTTCATCATGGCGCGCCGGAAATCATATCGAGGATCGGGCCCAAGATACTCGAATATACAGTGGATCTCTTAATCATCAGAACATCCAGTGATTTACATTTCTATTTTCAAGCAACTCACTATACCGCGCACACATCTTTCAATGCCATTAGTGAGTGACCGCTTCACAACTGACACTGTTGAATTACACTAATCACTGCTTCTCCTAAAACTTGGATTATTCACCCTGATAACGAAATTTACATTTTATATTTTAAAGAGTGAAATCATTAGAATTCCAAGAATTACCTCTCATAACTAGTCATTTAGAATTACATAATATTCCTACACTCAAAATGTTAATCAGTTGAAAATTTAATAATAGTAAACATGTGACGGAAATACACAGAATTGATAACTATATAAGGAAAGCGAGAAAAATAAGCTTACATTCAATAATTTTAGCCAATTAATTTGTGGTACAGGTTTACGCCAAAAATAACAAAAATGTCCATATCCTGATAGAAACAGATAACTCGATACAACAAGACGAGCTGACATGAAAATCGGAGTTACCTTGTTTGTGTAAATAAAAACAAAAATTAAAATCTAACGTTATTATGATGGTAACAAGATGAATAAATAAATCAATATAGTGGGAGCATAGAATATTGACAAAATTCATTTTAATCAAAAAGGGAAACTTTGATTATGATAATTGTTTTTACGATTAAGATAAGATACATGTGATTCAATACATCCTCAATATTTTCATCGATGAGATACGTGTAGAAAGATCTTTTATTTGAATAGTTTAAACACTTGAGAAAATTTAAAGGTCAAGATTTAAACTGTGTTTTACAAAGGAACGGTTTTGATGTGTTACATGATTTTGAATATTCGTATATTCTTAGTTTTTGTACAGTGATCAGTCGAAAACAATAACAGATTGGTGTGCTTTAATAATGAATCTAGTAATTATGTATTGTTTAGGACAGAAATTACGAGATATAGGAATTCAGTGATTAGAAAAGTTAAATATGGTATGTATAGAACGTGATTCGACTGACCTCATGTTATATATTTATGACCGATGTACATATATTTCATAAGAACTGAATTTACTGATGTTGTGTGTTTTAAGCTAGATGATTTAACTGCCGAGTGTCCAATGTTATTCTGGATATTACCATCAGTATCTAAGTTATATTGTCTAAAAAGACAATGAACGTTTTTCAATTAAACTATTTTGATCCGAGAATGCAACACCGTCATCATTTTATAGGCACAGCATATTTGTTTAATAATACTCGATTTATCTAATTATAATGTTTTCGTTTTTTAAACTTTTGTTCTACTTTTGCATACTCCTAAAAAATGTAGACTATTTGAAACAAATTTTTCATTGATTAAATAAACTATAATAGAAAAAAGATATAAGTTAACTTACTCTATAAGAATCAGTAAAATGATAAATTAGAAGATATAATTGCATCCATCCTTTCCATTCACGTGTTATATCCAAATGATTTACTTGAGACTGTAGAAAAAGCGAAATGCTAATATGTATGTTTCATGTGGGGATCAGCTGTCTAAAATGGGTCCTTTTTACAATTAATGACGAATCACGATAAAATTTATCTGTAAAACTATATTACTCAATCTAAAATAACAATAGTCTATCCAGTAGTACTTGGTTTCAAGATGGCTTTTCTGAAGTCCTAATAAAAATATTTGATGCATGAAGTTATTTAGCTTAAGTGTGAGGTAGTTTTACAACAGTCGAAAAATACGAATTACTGGATAAGTTAGTGCTCGATGGGAGATATAAACTGTCTAGAAAAAAATTATACGGATTCGTGGGTATACACAGTGGAAAAAGCTCGTACTAGGATGAAACATTTTACCAGTCGTAAAAGTCTTTCATATATAAAATCATGGCTCTTAAATGAATAATTCGGGATGAATAACAAAATGTTGGTTCAGTTATATTTACTTGGTAAGTTGAACTTACAAATTATTAACAGTCTCATCAAATAGGTAAGAGACGTTATTCTGGTGTCCCTCTGTGTAATAAGCATTTTGTTTAACAATTGTCCGCTAGCGTTTTATCATTCTATTCTGTATTCAATAATAAGCTGTTGGTGAAATCGGATGGGTAATTTATAATATATTTACTAACTTATTTCATGTGCAAATCTTTGTTATTAACAGCCTGTTTTCTGGGTGCCAACAAGTTAATAACCGTAATCTATTCATGTACATTATCATTTCCAGCTTGAATAAAAGTTATTTCTGAGTTTCATGTGAATACACATTATGCATTAATTTAACACTTATTATGGGTGGGATAATGTAAAGTCGGAGAATGATATGGGATTCAATGCGAACAAGCTACAAATAATCCATTACAACTGTTCATATGTATTATTCTACAGAAGTGTACTGTAAGGACATGGGATGAGAATTCGAAGACACACTATTAAATTGCTTAGCAAAGTGTATCTAGCATATTTACTGTTACATTGATAAGAAAGGTGTAGCACATGAAGACATCATTGGTAAGATGTCCACAGATTTATCTTACCAAAGATATTTTATCATGTTTATTCTGTGTATAAGTATTTGATATTGTTACAAAAAAAGTCTATCCATCTGGCTAGTGAGTTTTTTTCGATTTCTAAGCATCCAAGAACTTGAGCCAATTATGCGATCACATGAGTAGCCATTACTCGGCCATATTATATCATTGGATTGATCTATCGATTAGAATTCTGCTCATCGACTTTATTAGTCGAAAACTTTGTTGTATTAATAATTTAAAACTTTATCCATAAGAGATAAACAACGATGCTTTATTAAATTGAACTGGGACTGAACTGAGCAAACATATACTATCTTTGACATGAAATTTTATAAACAGCGCTTAATTGAATTTATTTGAACATTTCACGTGTATGGAAGTACCAAGCTTAATAATGATGGAAACTATTTGATTCAGTAACTAACGAGTACCGCAAATGATAGTTGGTACAATGATAGTAATAATATAAAACAAAGCACACTAATCGAAGTAGCTATTGAGATTATATGGGTTAGAATGACATGACGATGGAGCATAAGAATTCGATGCTAAAAATATAAAACGGTAAATCAATGATGCATAATGTAAGACTTGGTACAAATGTATATTGGTCAAGTATAATAAGCGTGTAAATTAACAAAACGAAGTATAAATAAGTCAAAATAATACTAAAAACGTGTTACTATTATTATTATTATTATTATTATTATTATTATTATTATTGTTAATTTAGACTAAACATAAGAAGTGTTCGGTTATTTATTTACTTTGAAGAAATGGCTTGCATTAAGACACGAAATGTCAGAAATACAATTTTCTACTCATTGGGATATGCCAAAAATATATTTATTATAAAAAAATGTTGTTCGAAAAAAACAAATAAAAAGGTTAGAGGATGAAAAGTATAAAGTAATATCAAGATTTAGAGTTACCAACTTCATATTATTAATCAAAGTGATCAGCTATCAACTAATAGGTCACTGGTTGAAACCGTTCTTGATCTGTTTCTGTTAAGTGAGCCAGATAGTTATGAGAGCTCTTACTCAAGAAGTGTATTTCAAAGTTAAGTATACAGACGGGTTCTAATCGCTAATTATGATAATTTCTCTGACCCTAGTCAAGAAGTCTCTTCCTTCTGTCACGGTTCAGTTAGTGACTTCATGAACTGACATTATATATATTCTGGACATACTTAGAATTCTTCCGACTTCCATCTACGCTTAACAGTAGTCTGTCAATATAGGTGGCAACTGAAAGTTTTGTTGTTCATAACACCGAAGGCATCTATGGTGAAATACCAAAAGCATTCTCATGCCCTCTAACTTCAAAGACCATATTGCATGGTTATGAGGTAATAAAGAGTAAACCGTAGTACAGTATGCTCATTCTTTGACAGACAGATGGTCCACGATGACGAAAGTTGAGTGAGCACTTTAGATTAATACCGAAATTCCACCAGTCATCCACTAGGACTGATATGATCGTAGGACAAGTGAAATCTTAGGCTTACTCGACTACTTCAATACCCATAATTAAACTACTTATCGAAGCAGACCTGAGTTGAAATGATGGGATGGAAATGAATCGAAAAGGTTTTTCCATTGTAGCTTAAAGCATTCAAAAGACTGAATTTTATCAGCAAACCTACTAAACAGAAATATATTATCCTAATACTGTGAATCGCGGATGGTTTCAAGGTAACATATCTCTATAATCTTATCCTTGAAAACAAATATGTGACAAAGTTAGATGATGAAATAGCCACCACTGGAAGTATATTTAAGACAAAATTAGATGTGAGTAATGAATTTCGTAAACAGTTAGTTAAGTATTAAACGAAAAGTAACGAGAAATAATTATGTGATGAATTAATTCAAAGCTTTAAATATCAGACTAACGTTCTGATCATCTTAACAGTAAACTGAACGAATAACTAGTTATCTGCTTAAAGCAATAAAGAAGATGGGGAATTTGTAAGGGAGATTTGAAATTGCCATTTTAGTTTTTAATTTAAAATGTAATTGGATTTTAATAAACTGGGTTAAAAGAATACGATCATTAAAATAGTTCAACTTCGAAATACCTCATATATAAGAGGTAGGGATTTCTTCTCCCATGTTTATATATGGTAAGAGTGTATCCAAAGAATTGGATATGCTTTTAATATTAATGAAGCTGGCATAATCAACATTAGTGGGTATATTTTGGTCGCGACAGTAGTGGATGCTACATAGACGTGGTGGTCGGGTCAATATATTATGATGACCCAGTCATTATTTGTTGATCATTTCCAATGGTTCAATAGTGGTCGCCTGAAAAAAATATGTCATCTGGTTTTGAGAATTACATTTGTATTTACCAATTCAGCTGTTCTTGCTTTATCGGACTTAGTCAAGGTTACTTGATCAATTTGGTCAAGTAGGTATCTGATTTCTTTGTTTAAGAAAGGTTTGACCAAGTAAACACTTGAACAATAGGCAAAAGAGTAGAACTTTTATTTAGGTAATTACCTACATTAACATTTAACGAATCAGTTTTCGTTCAGTAATTGGTTCAATCCCACAGTGAATATCTCTGTATGTAAATGAAAGGCTTAATTAAAAAAAACAGTTGTCTGTGTAACTTCCTATAGTCCATCAACTAACACGTGACAAGATCAATCCGAACACCGGCTTATACCCCAGTTCACAAGTTATTTATTATCATATGTGTATAGTGAAGAAATACTTACTCGTTTAGTTGGTCCACTAAAGAATAAACCTAACACGAAGCAATAGATAATCGGTAGAAAAAAGCTCAAATTTGTATAACGTTTATTGGCCTTCATGAATAGTATTGTTCTAAAATGTTTCAAAATAGATATCAGGATATCACTTGTCAGTAAATAATGATAATAATGGGCAGAAAAGAATAATTTAATTAAGTTGATGAAATGTTTAAAAATAAAATGTCATTACCACAAATTTACGTAGATATAAATAATTAAAGGTAATTTTAAGATACGGGTTAATAGGTGCAAAAGGCGAAACTTTGAGGACTATACTCGCTCTGTATAATGTATTTATTCAATATTTGGTTTATGGTAATAACATTTGATGCAATAACTGTTAATGTCTTTTATAGCTCATAAATTACTGTTAATTAGTTTTGCACTCTTTATGAAGGTTAGTACCACAGAAGACCTAGTTATACAGAGACTGTGATTTATCATTTACGGGGTGTTGTAGTCTCGTAAAAGATGTATATTACTATTATCAACTTTTAAGTTAATATATGGAAATTAAATCAGACTCCAGTTCTCGTGTTTTGATTGACCAGGTTGTGAGCAGAGTGAATTAGTGCGAGGCAATAACCATCAGCACACTTAATAGGCACATTGGTTAATCGAAGGTCATTATTGTTTTTGACGTATTAATTTCTAATTAACTGATTCACCAATGTGTGGGCCACATTCTAAGCGTGATACAATACGGTTACCCAAAATGAAGTAGGTACAGTGGGGTTCGAACCTGGGATTTGGGGATTGAAAGTTTAACGCCTTACCTACTAAGCGTAGTGCGAACCTATCGTTAGTGGACTCAATAATTTATAGATCCGATCAGGTCACTTCAAAGAAGTTGAATTCATCATGATGTTTACTACAAACCACATAAAATAACAAAATGTATACTTTTTGTATAGAAGATTAACATCAAATCGACAACGGATGAAAAAAAATCAGTTTTTTTAAAAATTAGAATGATCATAAGAAAAAGTAGTAAGAATTGTTCGATGGGTTTCAAAACCAAATTAGACGACAGTTCAACGTTTTTTCATTTTCCATATAATCCTATTTATTGGCGAAAATTACCAGCAAATTGACCAAATCCCTACAAAGCTAAGTGTGAAAGATAAAAGAAAGGTTTTGAAATCGAAATTCCCAAAACCCTTATAGCGAACCGTGGTTTGATATACCGACTAGTTTTGGGGAAACATAGATAATGGTTGTACTTTGTATATTACCAAGTAAATGAAGTCGAAAACCTTCAATTGTTATATTATAATCCAGCTGCCATGTAATACGCTAAAAACAGAACGTTTCATTAAGGCAAAAGTGTTGAACTAACGAGAAGTTTTTAATTTTAAAATGAGTAAAATCCCCATAAACGATATCTGTGATTCTATATTATTTGCAATGGAGTTTTGTTTAAGTTATTATACATTTTTCAGTACGGTGATAAAAACCAACACATGGGTGAACAAACGAATAAACTTTATACAGGACTATGGAGTACTGTTCTTAACGAAACATTTTCAAGTTATCGAAAGGAATTACTGATAATAACTGGTTTCAAAATATGTGCTTACCGTATAAGCTAGTTGAGATAAAATAATATGTGTTTAGGAAATGTTACGGTAAATATTTCGTAATGACTGACCTGTCACATATAAAGAAATACATCATAATAGCACCAAATTTGGACAGAGCACTAGTTAATTCATAAAATTCCACAAATAATGAACTGGTTGTATCAGTATTGTTGTTATTATTATTCTCATCATTATCATTACCAGGTTCACTTTCCACTGGGATATATGGTTGCGTTTCTGCCGTTTTACGAAAAAATAAAAATATTCTACGAAAATTTATCACTTGTGTACATGGCTTACCTGGGAGGAAAAAGAATATGTACATATATTCATACATAACACACGAAGAACAAGAAAGTACATTTCCACAAAATCTTTAGATAATGCCGAAGAAATTAAATTAACACGGTAAATCAGCTGATTTTAATCATGAAGATAATAAGAGTGTGCATTTTAGCCAGATTAGTTAGAACAAGTGACTTTCAAGAGCTGTTATAATGCAGTAAAAAATGTGGTCAATAATAATACAGAACTGTTACTGTACAGTGAGCTAAACGTTCAAAACTTAACAAATCACTTAGGAGTTCAAATGGTGATTTAACTCGTGCTCACTATAAGGAATCGAGTGTAATAAAGCCTAAATATATACACTTCTACAGGTAGCTAGATAGTAGATATATTTCAATGTAGGACGTCGGATAAAGCGAAAAAGTTAAAGTCGAAAATAAAAATTAACAAAATGAGAATAAACAAAGCACATGCTTTGAGGAGAGGAAAAAATATTGATTTATTAAAACCTATGTTACATTTGAGAAGAGAGATGTAGAAACGATAGTGGGAAATTCTATGGTCATTTCTAATTCCATGGTCAAAACAATTGGAGACAATTTTCTGCACCAAATCTATACCACTTTTTAATGATAAAATTCAAGATTAAACTTTCTGGAACCGCCGTCAGTCGATCACGACCTTATATCTGACAACAGTTAACTGATCAAAATTTGTGCTAATTATTTATTAATTTCGAATGGAGACAGAAGACAACACATGGGTGTGAAATTCCTTGGGCAATATCTATTTAGTTTCTGACAAAAAACCAACGAAAACCTCCTGAAAAAAGATAACGTAAAGTCATTTTTATTAAAGCCAAACACCCACAATAAGAACACATTTTATTTACAAATAGTAGACCGATAAGCAAAGGATAATAAAAGAAAAGGTGTGCCATTAAAAGGTGCATTCAAGACATTCTTACCGGATTTTCATGTGATTTGTTTCAGTAAAAGACAAAAATTGGACTTTATTGTTAACTGAGTCAATTTTGTGCCATAACTAATAGATTTCAAGCCTGTCAGTTGTATTATGTTTAGGATATCTTTCGTATGTCGTTGAAAGTCAAGCCGTACAAGATAGAAGATTGGTCCTATTATAAAGCACCTTAACAGTAATCGAACCCTAAATATCCAAATTTCAGAGAGAGAGGATTTAATCTTCAGATAGCAACTAGGTTAGGTTTCAGTAGCCTGTAATTTTAATTTTAATCGGTTTGCGATGATTATTCAATGCTACTAATGATGACTATCTTTTCACCTCAAACATAACTGAAGTCCAGCAGTCATGATCTCCTACACGGCCTCATCTTGTAGTAAGTTAAATTAGTTTTTTAGTTTTTAAAAGGAGATGGTTTTGAAACATGCATATAGAGGGTTGTCGAAAAACAAAAAGAAACATGTAAACGGCACAAAACTACTGTTATAAAGTTAATAACAAAATGAAAACGAACAATTTGGTCAGGACTCACCGCGAGAAATAAATTGATTGTACAGAAAACACAGTAAAGTACTTAACACACTGGAGAAAACATAAGGAAAGAAATATACGATAAATAATCATATCATGTCAATGCTAAGCAATAATAAGATATTTAATGGCTTATTAGTTAACTTAAAGTATATACTTAAGGGTCGTTAAGCTAATTATTAACGTCACACACTACCGAACTGCGTAACGGTATTGAGAATTAGTACAGACTTCGAATAGATTTGATTTCATAGAACAATTCCGTAACGCTTAGTTTTTGATAATTATCCAACTCAAGTCAATTTATGATGTAAAACTATAATCTCAAAAACCTCCACAATCTCTCTATAATAGCAACTACGAAAATTATATAGATACTGCAAAAAAACTGTCGAATAATCCAGTGTAACTTTGTCTTAAATTCTTGGCGGAAAAATATATTGTAAAGTTAAGTTTAAGGACACTTTGATGGAAATATGTCTTCATTCATTTATATACTTTTCCCATGATAGAAAACGGACATTCTATGGACCAATTCACAGATAAATTAATCAATTTTCACATAGAAAATTTAATTGATATGTTCAAATTAAATTGGATTAATTTTGATAAATGATTTTCAATAAGCAATATAGTAAAAACAACTAATATTCAACGGAGACGATCAAGTCTCTAAATAGTATATTTTCTTTTAGAACAGGTAAATAAAAGAAGTGGGTAGAAGTATGTTATAGGGATAAGACAGAATCGAGGGAACGAAATTTTGTGAGAAATTCAACGAAGAGTGACTTTTGTTTTACATTATGTAAAAAAAACACTATAAGTATGATTATTTAGCTCGTAGTACATCTAGAATTACACCAGGAAATTAATATTAAACATATTAAATGCCCTACTTTTTCTATGTAGATTGTACATAACAAGTAAATCAGTCCTAAACCTAACACTGAACTTCAACTTGTAACAACTGGAATATTAATGAAAAGTTCCTTGAATCTATGTAAGGGTTTAAGAAGGTAGATGTTTTACAGCCATCTAAATAAATTTATGAGTCATTTGATTTACAGACAGATAAATCTGTGGCAGGCCTCAATAGATTCATTAACAATGCAAAATATTTATTATTTTTCTTATAAACTGTTGATTTACAATAGATGCTTACCGATCGGTTAGTGGGGTAATATTCGTAACGGTTAGTTATTTTAAGAATCGCTAGAGCTCATCCCTATGCTATACTTTTATCAAATGCACGTCAAGTATGTCTGTGAATTAAAAGATCAAGTTTAGAATGATAATAAAAATAATGAACTCAGATTATATATATATATATATATATATATATATATATATATATATATATATATATATATATATATATATATATTATTTTTATATATAAATGCTCTTAACAAGTATATGTGTGATCAGATTGTTCGAAATGTATTGCGCTAATATATCACATAATTCTGATAAACTTCGTCTTCTCATTGCATTGTCAAAATTTATCAAAGGGACTAACTGTTTTAAATTTTTGAACTCAGATTAGTCATACAAACGGAATTATAAAATGGTAACAATCCTTTTAGGAAGTAATCAGTGATTATTGAAAACAGATAACCAATCAACAATCTATGACCAAAGGATCATGACATGAAGTTCCAACCTTTCTATCGAGGAAATACTAGTTTATAACTATTGAAATCCTTTTTGGCATCTATCATTCCGAAGCGTATATGACATTGAAGCTACGTTACTTTCTTAATGTGTTTATGTTCATGTTATGCTGCTTATCACAAAATTGATATCTGTTGCAGCGTATTCTGAGATAGCAATGGAACACTTTAGAATGCTACCGTTTCCGGTTGTGTATTTCGCTTGATTTTGATCAATAAAGTCTTCACAGCAAATATTCAGTGAGAAAAATTTATACATCGCATCTTTTCAAATAATGAACCTTTAAAGAGGAAGAATGTATTTGTAAAATCTCAGCGAATGAGTTCGAAGTAAATTTAACGTTTCGCCTGGCAATCTTGTCCAAGCTTTTTCAAGGAAATGTAATCAAACATCAAAATTATCGAATATAAATAGGTACATAGTTCTCCAGTTCACTGTATACTGAATAAGTCATCCAATCAACGTTAAGAATGTCTAAAGTAGGTATTTGCTTTAGTGTGTAAGAGATTTGTGATGTGAAACGAAGTATGTATACGTAAGTGATATGAAAAAAATGTCATTGAACTATATATTGTCTTCTGTCTGTGAATATTAAGAAAACATATCACTTTATATATGATATGAATCAAAGATGTCACAGCATGCATTAAATAAAGTTAAATGAGCAAAATAAAGGAATGAATTCAAAGAAGAATGTATTTGTAAATGAATGTAAATAAATGTTTGTGTTATTTTTATTGTTCCAGTTAATTGTTTAACATATTCAAATAAGACAACTGATTAGAATCGTTGAATGTAATTGCTGTTATTCAGAAAATAAGAGATAGATAAAATGTAATAAGGAGTTTAGGTTTACTTATTAGTTGCCATAGAACAGCTAATTGTATTCCGTCTTTCTTATTAGTACTAGTTGGATATGCCATATGTGTGGGGCTTCGGCTCTTAGTCATTCTTTGTAAAGATTAAAACCTTTTTGAAGGATTCTTGTACCGTTTAAATCAATTGTATGACCCGTTGATTTGTTCTTGAGTTTTCTTACATCATCTGAAGGCTTAGGAAATTGCTTTAGGCACAGTTTGTGTTCCTTCACCTTCACATTCAGTTATTTTGATATTTCACCTACATATGTGGCATTACAGTCACTACATTTGATTTCATAAACAATTTTGTTCCTCCGCCTTGTGTATTGGATCTTTAATTCTTACTAGTTTTGATCTTAGAGTATTGGATATAATAAGATTCATTTCCGTTTCCATATCATTTCGTTCAATTACGAGTTATCAATTTCTTGGCCACTGTCACTTTGGTGAAGTGAGGATGTGCTGACTTATAATCTAGAAATTTCTCTGAATATGTTGGCTTTCAGAATATACTATTTTTTAAACAACGACAATATTTCCTTTCATGGTCTTTAAGTCATATGCTAAGGAAGTTACCAAGTTGTGATTCAGTAGTTCATATTCCCACATTCAATTACTTCATGATACAGCATGATGATCACTCTATATTAATAACTGAGCTGTCAATATTTACATTACTATCTACTGAATAATCAGAATATATGAGTGATATGTTTGTCAACTGATTTCATGAACAGCTTACGACTGTTTGTTGAAATCGATTACACAACTACTCAACATAAATCAATTATGTAACAGTGAACAATTCTAGACTAATACTCATCTAAACATTTACAGTTTATTTCACGCTTGACTTCCATAAATCCATAACAAACAGTTCATAAAACACTCAAACACTTATTGATTAGATACAATGGGAAAACAATATATTCATTCAATCAATTATCTTTTAACGTCAAAATATAGTGGACGGTGCTCACTAGGATGTTTGTCGGCAGTGTGTAGCTGAACGTGGTGTCGAAGTTGTAACAATTGTGAAGGATTTCAGTACATCGAACGCGCAGCGTTGGTAGAACACTTGGAGACTAGACGAGAAGATAGTTCATATAGCAGAAAACATTAAAAGATGAAAATGAACGGTTGAAGTCTATCTATATATGTACTATGTAAATACTTTGTAACTACACACAACAAATATTTACTCTTCCTGCTTATTACCGTGTTTTACAAAAGTCTTCGGAAAAAAAAGATGACTGAAACAATTACACGACAAGTTTGCTTACATAACATTAAAAACAATATAATACATAAAACGTTTCATCTCAAGGTTGAATTGAAGGTAAGATACAATAAGTTCAATAATACTAGTTCATTATAACCTATAGTGATAAAAATGATTAGGATTAGTAACTATTGTTAAAAAGTAACCTGAATATAAACTCTAATTGTTATGTTCTCATTTGTATATCGATTAACTACAACACGAGCAATCACACACACAAATATATATATATATATATATATATATATATATATATATGTATATAGTGACAAGGGAGCTTAGCAACCACGCATAAAGTTAGGTGATGAAAACTAAACATATAACAGTAATAATGATGACGATAATAATAATAATAATAATAATAATGGCACAATACATATCTGATGGTGATTTAGTCACTTGTTTTTCTTATTTATTTTAAAACTACTAGAGGAAAGCAAATGAATCGAATTTTCTTTTGTTTAAAGAAAATAAAGATGTTAGACAAGAGAATTTATTTATTTTTTTATACAAAGATTGAGGTTTATCCTCTGGATGACAAACGTTTGTGTTGTTTAAAAAGCAGAGTAAAGAACAAGTAAGATATATAGGCTATAGCGGGCACTTACTTTCAATACGTATACAAGAATCTATTTCAGTATAGTTTAACAAGGGTAAGATAAAAACGGTTAGGCGTTCTATTTTTGAACATTTGATCAGCATGAATCAATCCATTGATTCATACGTTAACTTGAAGTTTATTTACAGAATTCATTCAAGTTTACCAAGATTTCTTTATATTCAACTTAAAACAGTAGAAACTCATTTCACTGATGAAATGAAGCTTGAACTTTGTATTACAAAGAAATTATTTTATTATGAAAAGATGATCAGACATAAATGGTAATACTTAAGAATTTGTAGTGTCTAGTACTATGTCAAAACCACATAGGTCATTTTAGCTTTAGTACAGGCTGATTCATTCATTCTTTTCAAGTCATATTTTGACCTTGTTAATTATTAGCTTATTAACATTGACAATTTTTATATGAGCATATGTGCGTGTACTGCATATCCTACTCGTCATATGTCTGCAACCTATTTTTGTCTGACTATAAATAACGAGTCACACTTGATTAAACCGAGTTGGCTCACTCACCTTCTCCGATCCGCTTCGCTTTGTCACTTCTTATTCTGAATGTCTGTCTGGATAAAAGAATGCTTGGAATAAATTCCTCCAACGCAACCCGTATATGGCTTTCTATTACCACCGTCATATAAACGGTGTGTGTATTTGAAAACATTTATTATATTATACTATCCAATCTATTGTATTCTATACAACATGTTACTATTTACCTTATCGTAACGGTCTTTAAAGGCTTATTGGATAGTGAGTTAGTATTTAGAGAGAAGCTTATTGGAGCTGAGTCTTATGATGAACATTAAGACTGAGATGAAAGTATAAGCAACTACCGAGTTCTAAATAGAATGAAATGTGCATTTTGGATTTCACAATAGACAACTTTAATAAAAATTTATACAATCGTTAAGTCACTACTATCAAACATCAATTTAGCCCATATGCGGTGTGGGCCTAATATTTTATTGACAGCATTAAAACGATTTTTACACGTAAACATTTTTACTATTTTGAATTGAATTTCTTGTTTATTTATCTTTATGTAGTTATAGTGACAACTCGTCGCTTTGGTATGATGTAAATAGATTTAATACCTAACCATTTTTTCAAGACCTCTAACCCTCTTATCATATATTACATAATTTTTAAATTTTATTTTTAACATAAATTCAAATTAGACCTAAATATTGAATGACTACAAAAAATATTACTTCGATTGAATGATTTTGCGAACATTCATAGTTTTTTATCATAATGAGTACGATGTGTATAATAATAATAATAATTATAATAATAATAATAGTAATAATAATGTTATTTCAGGTATAACTTGCCCCCAAATGCCCTGGTACGGCCGAGAGTGGGGGGAGTCCGCCCCCCCTCTCGAAATGCTCTCATATGGCCACGCGTATACATCCCAAACCAATGGTGCACATGGGCTCCAGTATCCTGCGGGAACAAATGGCGTATGAACCAATTTCCTGGTCACCGGCTACCATGGGACTGCATCTCCTCACGATGGTCCACTGCCTTGTGGATCAGATCTTCAGGTCGAAGGCTCGGGGTGTGGCCCCCTAAGAAAACTACCTGCTTCGGTTTGGGCACCCGGGCAGTATCACAGCCCTCACACATATCAAATGAGATCTGTGTGGCGCATATGTATTTGGTGCCTTCTTGTACCGATATTTATGTGTTAAAATAAAATAATAAAATAAATAAGGTATAACTTACCAAATAGCGTAAAATATGAAACATTTTTCTTGTACAGGTGTAATTGGCTCAGAACCACGACAGCAAGTACCGTCAGAGAATTTCATTTGATTATTACAATATAAATTTAATAGAATCTGTACATTCTACAAAAAAGAGAAATATGAAAATAAGTGAATTTTGTCTAGTACAACTAATGACGAAGTGGAGGAAGTGAAGCGGGACGAGACGAAGTGACGCGTAGCGGAGAAGGCGAGTTAGCCAACTCAGTTTGATAAAGCGTGACTCAATATTTATATTCAGAAAAAAATAAGTTGCAGACACGTAATGAATAGGGCAGGCAATTAACACACGTACGATAATATAAAAGCAGTCAGTGTTAATAAACGAATAATCAATGAGGTCAAAATGTGGCCTGGAAAGAATGAACAAACTGATCTGTCTGGAAGCTAGAATAACCTATGTGGGCTTGAAACGGTACTAGACACTACAATACCACTCAGGTGCTATAATGATTGGGGAGGATCAGAACCCCCAACTCAACAATCAGAAGTCAAATTTTTAAATCACTGCTATGTAATGATTCTATTATGTGTGTAAACAAATGTATCAGTTTACGTTGTTAAACCCTGTTATCAGGACAGCGGTAAGGAAATGAAGGGAGGAGAAAAAGAGCTGAAAACAATTAATACTACCACCAGGAGAGAAGGAGAGAGGTATAAAGAAACTGTGAAATCGACAAATGGCTATACATGCAGTGACAGCTTATTTTTTTCTAGAAACTTGTCATACTGGCAAACTGAACTTCAATAATCTAAATACGATAGCCTTTTCGTTTTTATTGGAATACACCTCTTTTTGTTTTACTTTCAACGTTAGCAGAATTCTACTTATATATACATATATAAGCTAATTAACTCGGCTTGGAGTCCATCCGGGGGCTACTGCCGGTCGCAAGCCCGAATAAAGGAGGAGGGTTGGGCATGGGGTTAGAGACCCCATCCCCTAAGAAACTAACTTGCTAAAAACGCTAACTGGAAATAATTATTCAAACCATTTAAATTCTGCCCTGGGAGTCAGAAGGTTTTCATTTAGAAGAGTCATGACGCCTCATGATGAAAGCCGAGTTCCTTCGGAAGTCACGAGGTCGATGCCCGTTCTGAAAACCACAGCAACCATTTATTTAAGGACATGGAGTGCTCGTACAATGTAGGATACTGTGAAAGTCTTCCAAATTGCTGCTGCATATAAGCTAATTGATTAATGAGCATAGCAAAAATGAATAACATTACTCATAAAAACTTATTATTCATTTATCACATTATTTTGATTACTTTGTCATTATGACCTGATACTGAAGAGTTGGAGGACATCATTTTAAAATATTTCCCTATATATTCTCAACTGATCATTAATAATAGTAATGCACCCAAGTAATTGATAAGCAGTATAACCTAACAGTTGCTATGTATTTCGGATATAGTAATTGTGAATGTCGCGACGACCGCAACGGAATTACTCTTCAACATTACCGTCCCCAAAGAATTACTTAGTCTCTAACTATAAGGAAAGCAAGGTCTGACTTGATTACTACTACGTGAATAAGCAGGTGCATCCACTCTTTGTGTTCTCTCAAACTCTAATCTTCTGAATTCTCCATGTCCTTTATTTCCTTTCCAAATCTATTTCACTGGATTATACTCCTTAAATAACATCATCAAACCTTAACGTTCCCTGTCACTACTCTACCACAACGGGATTTGAATCGATAACTGAATTTCTGTGCTAATGTGCTATGGCAACTCGAACTGATGTACGTACGTACGAAGTTCCACGTTGTTTCTGTCTATCTGTCTGTCTACCATAATCATTTAAATACTTTAAATAATCATAACTCAATTTAAACTCACCTCTTTCATAGCTTTATCTGAAACATGATATCCATCTGAAAGTGTGGGCATTTCTAAGCAGACGTTATTCTTTGCCGTACCCTCTTTATAATCTAATATAGCTGTAAGAATAACATTCAATATTAAGAAAAGCAAAATATAAAATCCTCAACGTGAGTACAAACATCAACGAAGAACTGAATATGAGTGATATATATATATATATATATATATATATATATATATATATATATATACTTAGATTACTAATCTCTATGTTTGAATTCATTTGGAATAAACGTTACGTATGATTCATGAAAAAGAGCTTATAGGCTTGGGTGTAATTAAGCTGAATGCTGAAAATGGAATACGTTTGATTGAGCTTAACCACAGGAAAATATTAGCGATTCACTTACTATGGCTAAAAAACATGGAGCCTGGTTTAAAAAACCTCTTGAATACGTTTTCTGTGACTTTAGCCTTTTTTCATTATTCTCATTATCAAGTTTTGATATCATTATGATGCTGTTAAACAAGCTTGTGTAGTGTATGTTTGTTATGATCTCTCTTATTACAACCCAGCAGTTTATATTGCTTGGTATTCTTTGGACACTTCACTTGACAAGTCTCCAAATCGGAATACCGTTGAACAGAAGCGTAATTATATTCCAAATAAACAAGGTTGAACGGAGGTAGGGATCACAAGAAGAAAAATGTTAGTGTATTTATAATTTTTATACAAGCTTTTAGAGTCTTCAATTATTCACTAGCGCTGAATGGCTAAGAAACGACCAACCAAACTGAAACAACACAATCCTTCATGAAACATGATTTCATCCAATCTGTATCTCGCTAACAATGTTTCTGATCAAATAATTATCACAATATAGGCTGAGTACAAAACTGTATATTATCAGTGAATTGAGTTATTATTATCAGTAGTAGTAGCCGTAGTCTCTTCGGATATGAAGCTAAGTGCCTTACCAAAATCGGTCAATCACAATGTAGAACCTGGTACGTATGTACCTCGCTTCAAGTTATCATACTCTGTTACCACAGAGAAATGAAATTTTCAGACCAAATCCTAGAATAGTAGAGATGGTAGCAGTATTAGTGGTAATAGAAGATAAAAGGGAATGAAGATACGTTCCAAGAAAATATTAATTAGTGAAACAAAAATAAAAAAAGGTTATGAGGAATTCAGAAACTCAGAATTTCGGGAAAGACAAAGTACAAATATACCTGCACCGGTCCAAACGATTTTGAGTCATGTCATTCAAAGTCTCTAACCGCCGGTTATGATAATCATGTGAACCCCCATCAGATTGTCTACACCTGTTAACATGACTCAATCCAACTGTCAATAACTTCATGGACTAATACCATGTTTTAGTTCAGTAGCCCCTAGCTTTCTCCCAATCTACTCTTACACCAGAAAACATAGCCCGTCGAGTTAGGCGGTTGACGGACACACGTAAAACATGTCTCAACCGCCTTAGTTGAACAAATTTCGGTATATAATCAGTCATTTTACCATTCTTACCTAGTACCCTATTCCTGACCCATTGCTCACTCAGTTGTCCCGAAATACTTCGAAGACACTATGACCAAATACTAGTAATCTAAAAAATATTCTAAGGATAATCAACTTACACTTAGGCGTCAATGTATTATATTCTGCAAACAAATATTAACCATTCAAGCTGAAAGTTATTTTGTTTTATCCAATCTTCATGAAGTCATTATCACTTCATGTTTGGTAGTAGAAAGTTTGAAAAGTGTATCGAGCATTTTCAGAAATGTAATATTTATTTACAATTATTATGATGACTATCATCTTTTATTAGCTATTGGTTGAGTCAAAAATGTGACAGCTTGAAACAATGTCTTATAGTTCTACGTGTATTTTTTGTCTACAGAGTAATTGGTCATTTGGATAGTCAGATGTATATATTGATTATTCGGTGGATTAAATGGAAAACTTTATGAATTATGTGAAACAATGTTATATGGGATTTATATAGAATATTGGATAAAATGAAAATAATTCATTATATATGATCGTATTTCTGAGAGGATCAGTTTTTGCGATAATGTTAAGCGTTTAAAGTATTGACTGTTTCCTATTATATTTAATAGTGATCACGCTATTTTATGTAGATGTCGATTTCTATTCAGTTTACTTCTGTGAATTTGTTAGTTAACAAGATATTTCCAAGTACAAATACTACTTATATAAACAAACTTCATCTACTGAATATCAAGCTAACAATTATTTACTGACAGTCGAATTCCTTTAGTTTCATTGAGTGATACTTTGTAGATATGTTGTTATATTTCTTCACACTGAATAAAGTTGATAGTAAGAAATACAGTTGCATGTGTAACAAATTCCGTATTTCTTACACACATACACACACACATAAACGCACGCAACATATCTGCTTTCATTCTATTTTCTTCTTATCTTCTTTTTCACTTCATTTTATAACGATTTATCATGAAGTTTCATATTCTCATGACGACTTTTTTATCTACTACTACTCAATATATTTTATTGCTTTTTCTTTCCTCTTTTCGGACTTTTTATTTAAAAATTATTTTTAATCTTATTAGGAAGAAGCAAAGTATCTAACTCAGAAATTTAGTTACATTTATTAGTTAAACTAGTAGTAAACTATATGAACAAACTAAACGACTGGTTTGTTGAATTTTGACTAACCGCCGGTTCAATATATTCAAATTTATTGATTAAATGAATATTTTGAATGAGAATCTACATTTTCTTTATTATACATTTTGATGTTATTTTGATTAATTGAGGATTAGTTATAAAATACCTAGTGAATCTTTTTGCATCTATCCAAATCAATTTCATTTTTTCGGTTGAACAAATAACAGCTTATACTACAATCATAATGACCGTCGTATTATTATCAGTATTTACTTTTTAGTTAATTCATTGCAAACATTATGTTTAGAAATTATACTGATTCAAAACGAATGTATGAATTATAATCATTTTTCTGTGAACTATGGAAATAGAGCGGTTATTCGATGGTTAACATGTATAACTTCTAATTGTTAGGTTACAGGTTCGAGTTCCGGCCTATGGCGTAGGCGAGATATCAGTCTATCAACCAAAGGACGTGATTACTGAGCAGCAGTTCGTTCCGTCCTACTTTATGGCAGTAAAACATGGCCAGTAAGAGTAGAGGATATTCGTAGGTTACTAGTATTTGACCATAGGTGTCTTCGAAACATCGCTCGTATATTCTGGGACCACCGAGTAAGTAACTCAGTTGTTATGAAACGGGTACTAGGTAAGGATGGCAAATCAGTTGAGGAAGTAGTGAAACTTAATCAGTTGAGATGGCTGGGACATGTGTTGCGCATGCCCAACCACCGACTGCCCCGACGTGCTATGTTTTATGGTGTAGGAGTAGGTTGGGAGAAAGCTAGGGGCGGCCAGACCAAAACATGGCACAAATCCATGAAGTCACTGACAAGTGGACTGAGCCATGTTGGTAGGTGTAAACTACCTGGTTGGGGACCGCGAGATGATAGCAACCGATGGTTAGAGACCTTGAATGACATGGCTCACAATCGTTTGCAATGGCGTAGGTGCATCCACTCTTTGTGTTCTCTCAAACTCTAATCTTCTGAATTCTTCATGTCCTTTATTTTCTTTCCAAATTTATTCCACTGGATTATACTCCCTGAATAACATCATCAAACCTTAATGTCCCCTATCTCTACTTATACATTCAGTACCTTTACCACTATGGGATTTGAATCGATAACTGAATCTGTGTGCTAATGTGGTATGGCAACTCGAACTGATGTACGTACGTACAAAGTTCCACGTTGTTACTGACTGACTATGGACTTCAGATTCAGCATTTACCTAGTGTCTCATCAAATCTAATACAAAACATAGATAGCTTGGAAACGAGTAAATGGGTTACATTAGTTATGCGTTTTTTCCAATAAACATAAAGTCAAACAAATTTGAATATAACTGTACAATAAAGACAGAACATACCATCATTTTTGGTGTATTCGTTCTCAATACACTACTTATTATTAGTAATTCTATGCACACGAGGTTTATAGCTATTATGATATGTATCGCAAAAATAATGTAAGACTCCGAAATGACTAATTATTTATTTAAGCACATAAATTTTGGTACAAAGGGGCACCAATATATATGCGCCAAACAAATTATTGAGTATGCGTGTGGGCTAGGATACTGCCTAGATACCCAAACCGAAGCTGGTTTTCTTAGGGGGCTATTCCCCAAGCCTTTGACCCAGATGTCTAGTCCGCAAGGTCGTAGAGCAACGCTGAGAGTTGCGGTCCCAAGGTAACCGGTGGCCAAGAATGAGTTCGTAAGCCCTTCATTCCCTTGGGATCCTAGAATACATGTGCACCAATGATTTGGGATTAGGGTTTTTCAACTCCCCTAGAAGAATCCTCCTTACCCACAAACCCGGTTTAAGAATCGAGCATTCGCCTTTCGTACTCTCTCTCTCTTTTAAACCCCTCAAGGAACTAATTCATTTGATAAAAATTATTGTTTTCGAATCCCGATATATCTATGATCCTGAAAACTGATTAACTATGCTGTGTTATAACCTTTTATCTCACTATATATGTATCTATGAATTAGCACAATTACTAATAAATCTAACGTATATTAGCGATCTAATAAAGTATAGCAGTCAATTGGAAACACTTACATGTTGCTGATGCCATTTTATCTGAATTACTTGTAGATAACATTTGTAACTGATGACAATTCCAATTTATAGCCGGAAAACCAACTTTAAGAGCAATTAAACGATTTGAACTCCATATTTCTACACCACTAACAGATTTCCTTAGATAAGACATAAAACAGATTTATGTATATGTAAATTTTTATAAAGTAGAGTCAATTAGACTAGTTCTCATAAGAACAAAGTGTATCAGTAGAAATGATTAATTGAAGTCATAGTATAGCTAGTAATACATTTCTAATAAATAATGTTACTTCCCAAATCAACTAATGTTAAATAAAAAAATACTTATTTTAAAGATGGTTTTCAATATGGACTGATATCATTTGGAGAACTATTTTTAAAGGTAATAAGGAAGTATCGAACAGAAATGTTTTGCAATTGTGTAATTTCAAGTCATGTGTGTATTGAGCTGATAAACTAGTCAAATTCAGCTGAATTTTTGTCAACTGACTAGTTCTTTACAATCATAGGTCAGGAGCAGTCTTTCGATATACTTTACATCTAGTTTTCCACTGGCGGGTTTATTATAACTATTTATCATTTAAATACAAATATTGGTACAAGAAGGCACCGAATAATATATGCGCTACACTTCATCATTCTATTTATGTGGGGACTAGAATGCTGCCCGGGTGTCCAAACCAGAGCAGGGAGCCACTCTCGGAGCCTTGACCTACAGGTCTAATCTACAAGGCAGTGAAGCAACGTCAGGAAATGCAGTCCCGTGGTAACCAGTGACCAGCAACAGGTTGATATGTCAATTGTTCCATCAGGATCTTAGAGCCCATGTGCATCATTGGTTTGGAATCAGGGTTCTCAAACTCCCCTAGGTGAATCATGCATGTCCACCAACCCGGTTAAAGCACCGGACATTCGCCTTTCATCCTCTCAATTTGGTAAACATCTCCGCGGCGGGAAGGCAGTGAGTAGGACTTCCCTGGAAGTGGCTATATACGCGCGGTCATGTGATAGAATTTTGAGAGGGAGAGTGGGCTCTCTCCACCCTCGGCTGTACCAAGGTCGATTTGTAAAGCTAGGTTGGATTTTGTCGCATCGAGCCATCTACGGAGTAAATAAGATGCCTGTTTGAGCGAGTATACATACTACTCAGTAGTAGATTCCGAATCACTGTATGGGTGTGAAAGATAATCTACGAAGGTAAAAGACATGGGTAGGCTTCAGATTTTTGATCATGAATGTCTTTGAAGGACTGCTGGAGTATTGAGAAACGATAGAGTGAACAATTTTGAAGTACAGGGTATTAGGCAAAAGTGGCAAACCAGTTGATAAGGTAATGAATATTCATCGACTAGGGTTTTCGGAATATGTTACGTATCCTAGACTACCGAGTATCAAGATTAGCAATGTTGGGAAGTGTTGTAGGTCGGAAGAAAACTAGAAACATTGACTGTTTATCTTATTTTAAATCTACAGTTTCATTTTTATTCCACACTTTCACTTGTTTTATTTCTTCATCCAGACCCATATTCACCATAGTTGGTACTTCTTACTATCGCTGATACTACTATTATTGCAAACAATTTGGTATTCATCTTGTTATGCTAATTTGACAACTTGAACAGATGTACATAAGCGTCTATCTGAGGTTTGGAATATCAAATCAATATAATGGAATGAAATTAGCAATACGAAGAGCAAAAAAGCTGAAGTGACGGTAATATCAGTGATTACTTGGAATACCGAACACAATGAATATGGTTCGAGAAGAAGGAATCAAAGTGCATGTATAGAGGTATATTGAAACTCAAGATTTAGAAGCTAAAAAGCGATCAAATGCCTGTAGCCCACGAATGTCTTTTATTTTTCATAGGCCGTTATGTACAGTTGTAGAGTAATACACAGCGGACTGCTAGGCAGTATACATGCTCGGATTGCTATATTTTGGGTAACGATGCAAAGATGTTTGGGAAATGTTTTGTTTTAAATATTTAACCCTAGATATGATTCAAGCATCAAATAAAATTTACTGCAATCAATTACGTTTTTTCAAGTGGTTTTGAACAAACATTTTACGTATTATCAAAGTTATGGAGATTCCAGAATACAGATTTCTACGATTAAAAATAATTCGGACAACACTTACACTATGTGCTCTTTGTGTGTACTCAGGTTACTGTTCAAATGAAAGACTTTCATAATCTCAGAGAAACTAAGGTTAATGAGAATCACTTCCAAGTTAACTGATTGGAGATTCTTGTGAATGTTACTAAAATTATAAATTCACTGGATAATCTTAACGTGATTATCATCAACACCATACAAAGACAAATAAGTTTGTTACAATAAATACGCGTACTAAGTTCAGTCTTAGAAGTATTGGACAAATAATAATGTGGAGTCTCACAGCAGAGAGAAAAACAAGTCTATTTAGTAAAATGACATTTTGCTATGGCTGTCCGCAAACTATTAACGAATATCAAGATAAAATTGTAATAAAAATTATGTTGATTCCTTGATCTGACATAAATTATGTAATAAAAGAATAAACACTCACATAGCTGTTGATGCAAACTCATTATATTTATCGATCAAATCATTAGTAATTATTTTCAACTCTTTAGATAAAAGACTTTCTGCAACAGGGTCTGCGGAATAGAGAAGAAAATAAAGCTAAGTGCTAAAAACCGACCGATAGAAAACTAAAACATGATTCTATACTAGTCAGTAAAATGAATTTGATAACATACAGAAATGATCAGCAATAGACAATAATTTCTAATTGAGAAACGCCTCAAATGGAGAACACGTGTCCTGGGATGCACTGATTGACACAACTCAACCTTACTAGAGGTTGTGACTAAATGGTAATATGAAGGTGATCTGCTCTGGTTGGAGAAATGGCAACAGAAACTGGTTAATTGCTGACCTTAACAACAAAAATCGAAGAATATAAATCCTAGCCAATAAAAGCAATTGTTTATACTATTTTGATAAATAGTCTTTATTGTAAAGATCTGTTTGATTTATTTATTTGTTTGTATTTGTATTCGTCACGATTTCAAATGTACAGTCTATTGACTGAACAATGGATTAATTAATTTTGTAAAAAAAAGATAGCTGTGTACTTAATTCACTTGATACTGTTTTATTTGAATCTTCCCATTGATGTTTAGGACTGAAATTGTTCAGTCTCTTATTGGCATATGTGCATACTGTGCGTATGCCTCGATATTGCCTTAATTTACAAGCATTATAAGCAAAGATGGATAGTGGTTAGCAGCGGAATCCAGGACGCGCGTTTCATCCTATTTGGGACTCGTCAGCTGGATGTACCTGCATCTCAGAGTTCATGTTCACTACGGGACTCGAACCCAGATAGCTGTGTACTTATTAAGATTTATGAATTTGAATTGAGATCATGAAACGATCAATGTTAGACCACCATTAGAAGTTTGGAAACATTAGACGACCGTTTCGTCCTAATGTGGGACTTCTCAGAGATACGCATCCACAACCTCTCACACGGGACCTTCAGTCTTGCACGCGAATGCTTAACCCATAGACTACTGATCCGGCATCCAACGCTGTTAATATCTAACTTCAACCAATCCACGAAATTGAGCAACCATCTTCCATTGTCTTCGGTGAGTAACTGTCTCACATGGACTAGCTCCACTGGTTGCGGTTTCTCACTAGAACTTTGAGAATTACCTCTCAAAGTTAGTCACTAGTGAGCACATGATAATTATCATTATAGGGTTGGATCTGTTCATTAGTGTTAAATATATAGCATTGTCATATAGTACTTTCATAAAGGAATTTGCAAACTGATTTTAAGTGAACTTTGTAGTAAGCCCATTCAACTGCTGTATTATTTATCTGCTCACTGTAATTTAGACACTTGATCTACGATGTAATTTTCTATGTGAGTTTGATTGAGTGAAATAAAATCTTTAAGATTACTAATCCGTAGATACAGACTTATTACCTGGTTTTTTAACGGTTATCTAACTGAAATCGGTGTGTCATGTAAAACTTTTAAAAAATAAATGAATACAAAATGGCTCATTATATTACGACTTCATAGTTTAATCAATTGATAATAGATTTATTCATAAATAATATTTGATCCGAGTTTTCATCCAAAAACATTTGCTTAAATGAATGAAGAAGAAAGAGAGATATGAACAGATAATGAATTACTCGGGTCAAAATCAATAATTGAGTATAAATTGAAGCATTTCACTATAAGTTACACGTTTTGGAGTGAAGATTTAGTGTCGCCACTACTCTAATGTTCAAAAAAAGAAGGTATGCGTTGTAAGGTGATCCGAAAATTAGATATTTTAACTACAAAATCGCGATTGTGCAACAATCAAGAAAGTGTTATCTATAAAAATGGAGAAGTAAGAGGGTGGCCGTGGGAAAGAGATAGAAGGAAAAGCGAAATTACCCATTAATTTACCTTGTAGCATCCACACACATCGTGCAAATTTCAATTCTTCTAAAACACTAGTAAGACGTTTAACACCGTCTAAACGTAAAAAAGAAATAAAATAAATCTAACAGATTTAAAATGATATCATCATATTGGTTCGACTAAAATGAATACACATAATTTCTTCATCTTCTAGACACTACAACATTTATATCACGCAAATTATACCTTAAAAGTATTTGCCAATGCACTTTAAGAGTTTTAAGTCATATGAATAGTAGATTATCGTTGAAACGTTAGTTTGGTAAAATGATGATCACTGTTTTACTTTCAGGCGATAGAAAACCACAATGGTTTTGTGGCAGTGATCTTGAGTGCTGTTAAACCTATGAAGGCACTTATCACTTCCCAGTTGCCCAATTCTTGGAAGAGTGTTACCGCGGGTACCTGAAAAGGATATTGTGTTATGGATGGTATTAGTGACCCGAAAACGTGATCACAGTGCCAAAGCGACAACTACTTGAGGCCGGTCACACGCGACCTTTTTGTATTTTTCGTGTTAGCCCCGTGCTTGTTGAGACAGATATCCGTAGGATAAAGCGAGGTGTGTATTTTTAGGGTCGACCTTTTCTAACCCCACCCCTCCTTGTAGGAAGGCAGCATCGCTGTTATGCTGATTGTCTGAAGGAAACATCTTACTGCCATCACAACTCCGTACAGTCAACAATACTACTTCGCCCTCGGACCTTGGATTTGCCGCTTTTAGTCTTACCGCTCTTCAACCGAGATGTCTGGCATGGTAGGACCTGGCGGGATGATTGTTCCAGACAGTATAGCTCGGTTGCTTCATCACGATAGGCAAGCCCGACCACCGCGTCAAGGTATGAAGAGCGGTCGGGGTTTTGTGACAACTAAAACTCTTTTCGCATTGTTCATATTGATGACTGATTCCTGGCAGTCTTGGTTGGTAATTATGCATCCTTTGAGGATTAAATAGATATGGCCACTTTTCACAAGCTTTTGTGGACTTGTGTTTTGTCCCATTTAGAACTAGTCGGCTGGATATGTCTGCTTAAAATTCATTCAAAAAAATTAGCAATGGAATGCTCCAAATCCCTTCTAATAATGATAGAAATATCATACCCGTTGCACAGGTGAGTCGCTCGCTCAGTGGATAAAGAGTCCTGGAGTGGACATCAACATCGAGGTGGGACTATATCCATCTGACGAACCATAAATAAGACAAAACAGGTGTTAAACCAGTCTATTAAGAGTCGGTGAGATCTTGTTGGGAATGCTAGGTCTTCAGAAACCACTTGGTACGAGTCCTATTTCCGTAGTTTCTATTTTGGAAATTTGAATTCCTTATTTTCGCGCCAAAACACCCACTTTTACCTTCAGTTTTTATTTACCACTAGGAAGAACCTTAAATGTCAGTGGTTCGTTTCCTGTTTTGGTAAACTATTTTGTTACGTTTTTCGATGACATATTTGAAGTGCGCATATACGCATAAGTTGTGTGCTTGTCTGTTCTTGCCTGCGGGCTGCTTGTGGAGTATCCATTTACCTCGACTGAATCTGATCTTCTTAGTATAGTTAACAGGGCTGGAGCACAGTGGGATACTTTAGCTTGTCCTGTTGTTGTGTTGCTGACTTTTGTTTTGTTAGCCGGTTTAAGTAATATCGCAATCTCTTCAAACGTAGCAGATATGTAAGAGCTTTGAGCTTACCAAGCTAAATGAACCTGTTGGGATCAACCCTGTGTAGAGTCGTAGTTATATATCGTCGAGAAGTCTCACAGTAAAACAAGACATCTGCCTAGTTCTGATTGGTATTCACTTATCCTCTAGTTAACATCCCTTCATGGTGTAATTAAAAGTTATCTGAAGAGAAATTATCGATCCATATGAAAGAAAACACTTACTCATATACTCTAAAAGACCATCTTCGGATCTATTATAATGTTGTATTGTTTTCTGTCAATGAGAGCAAATAATAAACATATGTAAGGTGATGTGAATAGCCAAATGAGCAACACAATAATTTATTTCAGTGTTAGTCATTGTTAAGAAAATGCTATAACATTGATTTTATTTATATAAGAACAAATTATGTGACCAATTATATAGCATGTAAAAGTGGGGCTGTGAAGGTATACTTTATTAATTATATGATCACACTCCTAACAGCTTATTTTGATGAGAATAGATGTGTAATAATTCAGTGCGAGAAGTATAATATCATAATGTATGAACTAGTGTTTACTTCTTCGCTTACAAAATGGGATTCAACTCACCATGTGGTGAAGTAAAGTGCAAAGATAATCCAATGACCAAAAATTAGGTCATAAATCATAATCCCGCTTATTCACCTACTTTAACTTAGCCAATCAGACCATATTGTTACCGGTTACAAGCGGAAATGTACAACTCAAGACCAAGTATATAAACTAGCGAAGAACTGGTAAATCAGTTGGAAAAAACATATTGATACAAAACAGGTGAGAAAGTTGTTTATAGAAAGACTGTACTTACTGTGCCCATAGAGATTACCAAATGAGTAGGTGTAGAAATGTCACTATTTTTGTTTCGCATATTAGACTCAGTAACATTGGATAAATTTGTAGAGCCGATCCATGACTTGACTAGTTCTAGTGTATCATCTGTAATTTCATCATGGTGGAAAAATCGCTAGATAAATAAAGTTAAAAATAAAGATAATAGCAGTAATAATCAATGTAACTAAAGTGCATAGAAAAACAAAGTAATAACCTGAGTAAACATGTATCGTTTCGTTTACCAGATTGATTTAAGCCTATTATGTGAAGGTTCGAAACGATTACCATAATGGTTAAAAGTTAACAACCGATAATTACAGATTAATGGCTTTAAACAGAATGAACACTCACACTAATTGAGCATCTTACCCTACAGAAAATATGAAGTTGGAAGACACTTCCATATTGTTTCTACTATCAGCAAGTGCCACAAATGCACTGGTACGACTGAGGATGGGGAGAGTTAGCTCTCCCTCTCGAAATGCTCTCACATGGCCACGTCCATAAAACCATTGCCAGAGAAGTCTTACTTACTGCCTTCTCGGAGCAGGGGTGTTCTTAACGAAATTGAGAGGACGTGAAGCAAATGTCCGGCGCTTTAACCGGGTTGGTGTATATGGAGGATCCACCTAGGAGAGTTGGAAATCCCTGATTCCAAATCAATGGTGCACATGGTGAACATCCTGAGCGGAGTGTTTCGACGTACCTTTTAGTCGTAAGTTTAGCAATATTTGTACCTGATACAATTGTTGTGTAAACATCAACAGTAATATTTAGGTAAATACAAGTTACAAATCCCAGGCAGGACGAAATGGGCGTCACAAATTCTACTGCTAGCCACATGTCAAGTATAACAAAATTTAGTTGTTTGAATTATACGTCTTCACTCGTTTAGGCTTAATTTGAACAACAAAATCTATCCCAATGTATCGTTAAATCTGATACATTTCATAAGTGTAGTAAGAGAACATGATCAGGAGTAGTGTACTAAGCTAAGAGGAAATAAAATATATGGTAATGAGCAGGTACAAGCACAATCATGAGTGTTCAAGAATAGAATTTTAAAAGCTTTTGACAGAACCCACTAACTTCATAAAATTTAACTATGCTATTGATTCAGCATTATTCTCATTACCAGAAGGCTTTAAAACTGGGCTGAAATCTCGACAGCGAATTCGAAAGTATCACAGAGTAGTAAACAGTAGACAAAGTGAGACTGACTGTGATTAAAAGACCGGTAACAAAATAACATTTGACAGCTATACTGCTTAAATAGTCTCATATAAAAAACTTAATCTTTTTTGAGCAGTTTTGCGGCTCTTATTAATAGCAATTTATAGTAGTACAAATATATTGTATAAACGAATTAGATAAACCAATAAAAATCACTAAATCAAAGATGTGAACAAAGCATGTGAGAAAACTTGTTGAAGATCACTTACTAAGTCGACTTCTCCCGCAACATATTGAAAGTTATTTGAAATGCTTGCTTCTGATGTAGTATTTTCTCTAACAACTTCATCATTTATATGGTAAACAAAAGCATTAAATAGCTTTTTCAGTCGTGAATCTCCAACAAAATAGAGTCGAACCACATCACCCCAAGGCGCAAGTCTTTTAAAACATTTATGACTGTCTCTTATTATTGCAAAAATTATAAAGAATAAAGCACTACCTTGATGAGTAAGTATGTATCATACAACTGTAGGGTCGAAATTCTCCACTAGGCCCTGATCTTCCATCACTCAATAGAGACTTGCACAAATTACCACCTAAAATTAAAACAACTTCTACAGAAATACCAGATTTTGTCATCAAAAAGCCATGATATATTGATATCATTATCATGAGGAGGAAAGACGTCCTCTTAGCATTTTTGAAGTTGATTACTTCTTTTATAGCAGAGGCAGCTCGAGATGACGACATTAATTTTATAATTTACACATAAGGAAAGTCTGAAAATGTATTGCACAACCTAAAGCAACAGTTGTGCGACAACCTGAAAAAAAAACAAAGGTCTCAAAGTTAAAACCTTTCCAACTTAAGTAAAAGGTTATAGGGTAATTAATATGTAACTCGTTTGGAATATAATCATGGGATTCTTAAGTACTATAGTTACAGAGGTTGTACCGCATCAACCAAATAATCAGAGTTTCAATCAACCCAGCTGCACATAATTCGGTCTGGGTAACCACGTAAAGGTGCTAGCACTTACAGATGTATTAGGGCCCGGTACATGGATTTGGTTATTCTTATGAAACTTGGGTGCAGCCTTTATAAAATCATAGGGGTAATATCACGCTTTATCATCATCAGAAAATGAAGTATTGTGGGACGGAAACGCACGAACTTAACGCGTGTGCTTTTTATATAGTGGTTAAAAATAGAAGTACATTCACACAGATAACCTATTAACTGCAGAATAAGATACAATTAGTGACTAAAATAACTACTTTATGGAAGATATTGAAACATGTTTAATAAATCCCCCAGTCAATCATTTGTTTGTTTTGGTAGCACTATATACTAACGCTTCAGCAATGCAATTATGACAAATTCACGGTTAAAATTAAGACTTAGGGATGAGAATTGAGAGTTAATGTTTAAGCAATAAGAGCTTGGAATCGGGACTAAAAGGTAAGATAGGTATTATCGTTAGATCATATATCGTACTCCTACGCTCTATGTCTAATAAAACTATATCATCAACTCTAACCCTATCGAATGCTATTTGGACGCAGGAGAACACGTACGAACATTCATGAGAAGTGCATCAATGATGAGAAAATAATATGTATGTCAAAAATTAATCAACGAAGCGATATGAATTTTTCACTGATTCTTATTGTTTTTTGATAAACTGGACAGAATCTGGCGTTTCTAAGAGATATTTTGAAAGTCCTCAACGTTCGTCCTTACCTTAATTTCTCAACGAAAGATGTGAAAACACAGATTTAACACGATGAAAATCATAGTGACATCAGAAAATCTGCCCTAAATTTCATCTACCTGGTTGCATTTTCCATTTGCTAAGCAATCATTTACCTAACTCCACTATATCGCTCAGTTGACAAAACTAAACAAAATTGAGCAGATTTAATAACTTCGCTTCAGATAATTCGAATCAAAAATATAAAACTAAATAAACTTAAGAACTTTATCCTTCCATTATACTCCAGATACAACATTGGTAAACACATTACGCAGGAATCTGGAAAACGCTTATGTTAACAAAAGGACTGTCAAGGTCAGACAGGTTTCGGATTTACCAATTTGTTTACGACCTTTTGACCTGAATCTATTAATCAACTAAAAGTATACTTAACACTACATCAAATGGTGTGAATGGTTGTGGACGGAATAGAAAAAGCTTTTGCTTAACGAGCTTCCGAGTTTAGTAGCAGTGGATCATTTATACCTCCAGGTAGGAACCTAGGTGTATTGACGATAATATAAAAAAAAGAAATCGGTAAATCATTGTAAGTCACTATGATTAGACCTTAAGAACATGTCAAGTTTTCTCTCAAAGGACTCCAGAGAAGTCGCTTGAACTAGCTCATCCGACAGCAGACTCCGGCATTTGACTACTCTTAAGGAGTAGAAGTTGTGTCTACAGACCGTTCTGCTGTGTTGTGTCCTTAGCTTCTGGGTGTTACCCGTTAGGTTTGTGTTGGGGTTAAACTTAAGCAGGTGTTTTAGGGAGGGTCCAGAAATGTTAAGGGAGCTGTTAGCCATTAAAAGTCGCCTGTAATTTAATGGGCAATGGTTTATTGACTAGAGGCGCTCTTCGTAAGGCTTGTATGTGAGTCCCCGAAATGATTTCGTGGCTCGCTGTCGATACGTTCCAGAGTGTCCTAATCCTTTTGGAGTGAGGGGGGATATACTATGTTTCCATGCTTTAAATGGGGACGAATAAAACTGTTGAGGATTATGTGGAAAGTTCTTCCGTCAAAGTGGCCAAAAATGCGCTTCAATGTTACGAGTGCAAAGTTTGCTCGAAAGGCATTTTTGTCACAGTTATCGTAAAACTTCAAACCGTAGGGTGCCAGTGCTCTTAAATCTTTTTCGACTCGGGATACTACTAGAGAGGAGTTTTCTAAGTTGTAACTGTAGTCTGCAACATGTCTCATATGAACCACTTTACACTTTGAAGTGTTAAAAGTAAGTCCGTTATCATATACCCAACATTGAAATCGATTCAGCTCCTCCCGAAGTGTCAGTTTATCCTCTTGATTGCATATCTCTCCCTCTCTCTTCAAAGTTTCACATTATCAGCAAAAATTAATAAGTCAGACGATCATTTATATAAATCACGAAAGGAAGAGCTCCTAGTACTGAACCCTGTGGGACCCCACTAAAACTCTTGAGAGAAATTGAAGCTAGACTTAACCTTAAAATATTGAGTTTTTCTATGTAAAGTCAGTCAATCCATTAAAGATAATTTCATATCTAATCATTTGAGCTTATCGACAAGCCCTGTATCGTTGACTTAATCTAAAGCTTTTGAGAGGTCAAGGAGATTGACGTCAACCCTCTCCTTGCGATCAGGGACTCCATAATTTTTAAACGTATAGAGAGAAGAGTCATGGGTTGATAGCTTGAAGGTCCGCTGCATCGACTCCGATAACTAGTCAAGAAATTTGAATACACTGCAATAACTCGAAAATTGCCTGTTATTGATACCGTTATGATACAGTATTATACGCAAGTTAACAGAACTAGTAAAGTTGTTTTCCATCTCATAATGATCATTTCAAACACGAGCACTCCACTCAGTTTGGATCATCACAAAGATCACAAAGCTACAGTATTGGTGCGTTATTGCTTAAAATAAATGATTTTGTGAGCAATCGGTAACCATGCTGATCGAAATAGTTGTATTGGACGGTGACTGGCGATAGACACTTAATCATCTGTATTATCTGATTTTTTTGGACCTTATGTATCTTCTTCACGATTATCTGTTAACACCTATAAGCTGTGTAATCAATAATTCTATTGTTTAGCACCATATAAATTCAGAGGAAATGTTTAACGACGAAACTGAGCTATATTCTTTCTAAGTTTTGATATTGACTAATGGAGACTGAATGGTTAATGAGAAGTTAAAGACTAATGAAGGCTATTGAAGGAAGATTAATAGGACACGGTTCTACCATCCAATGTTGATCATCCATCACCACGGGACCTCGAACTTGGAACTTTCGACTTCGTACGCGAATGCCTAACTCCGAGACCTACAGGTTACTTCAAAGTCGCAATGAAATTCATCAATAGTTACCATAGAACTAGTCCTGACTCTGTGTTGTAATAAACGGTATGGTAAATTATTTCTATCCGAAAGCTCCTTAATTTACTTGTGGGAGTTCTCAAGGGACGGACATTTTGGATTAGCCTTAGTTGACATGAGCTGAAGGACTCCATTGATTGTACAAGAGTTGGGCTCAAAAATTGATGTTCTCAGCAGTTTGATGAAATATCAGACATTCAACTCAACTTGATTTAAGTCTCGTGCCGTGTCTAGTCTGCACTCTCTAATTTTTTGTGAGAATAATCACAGGTCAACTGAAGTCGCACGATATGGTTCATCAAATGTTCGTTCGCAGTGATTTATCACATCAAACTCTCGATATAATCTACAGAAACTGTTCAACGAGTTTAAACGTGATTCGAAACACCATGCTATAGAGGAAGACAGCATCATAGATAATAAACCACTGACCTCCTAGATTGAGTCCATTTAGAATGTAGTCTTGAGCAATCAAACAAACATGCATGATAATTTTTCCCCTATTTGATACACGACTACCATACACTAGAAAGCCGGTTTAAGGTTCTTGTCAAGACATTTGTGACTCTGGTACTTTTGAACACTGTTTGATACCATTGAATATCATCTTTTCGACAGGCAATATTTTAGCGTTACGGCTATATCTAAATCCGTACGACTAAAAAAGATACTATAAATTCTCTGCTATCTGTCTCCATTAAAACCGGCTACCTAATAACAGGAAATCATGAGTAAATGCATTAGTTTTAACTAGGAGACAGCGCCTATCTAATCTAATCTAAACGGTTACTCCTTTTCCTTAAGTGATTCAGTTTAGAAGCCACACAATGTGACTTAGCTTTTTGTGTTTCCGTATCTTCTGTAACTTCTCACGTCATGAGAACTCAAATGGTGCACAAGTTTGAGCGAACTTGGAGAGTCAGAATAATAGATAACTTCCGATCTTTTATTGGGCAACATAAACTGATTTTCAAAACTTTCTGTCCACTAACAGTAAAAACATATGAGATAAATATTTGTCGACACTTAAATGACATACAGTGCCACCAAAGTTTTAGATTGTCACAAAGTCTGTACACTTATAAGTATTGAGTACTTTTTATGTTTCTATTTTATATTGTTCCTATGCTGTCACTAAATTTACTTTTATTCTTCTACGATGTAGTCTGAGTGCCAAACAGTAGAACCTCTAATGTGATAAAACATGGACTTATGGTGTCGTAATATTTTGACATTCTGCCTTTAATATAATAGACTTCATTTTACTAGGGTTGTTATCTGATCACACAGTAATATATCTTCAGATTAAACTCTTTTCCAGTCTCACTGGAATATAATGATGAAAAAGACCTTACTTGAAACATTGAGTCACCTAGTAGGTTTTTCAGATTCACGAATTTCTCTCTGATTTAAAATGGTGAGTTTATCACCAAGGGAGAACTTGTTTTAACAGGATAATTGTGTAAACCACCTTTTTAGAACAATGAAGAGCTACAGTTTGTTAATGCAGCAGAATATGACTAATGAAGAATGTTTCCATGTGTTATATCGTCTGTGAGAAAATGCAGCGTTGAATATACAGCAAATGGAAAGGCAATACAAGTTAACCGTGTGGGTGAGGTAAAAATAATATTAGTATAGCGAATTGTTACATCCTGACATACTGCTCAGAAAATGTTTTATTACTGGTTTGATCGTGAAGCAGTATCTTATGGAATGTGTACCAGACAAAACTATATAGCCTATAAACATTTACAATTAACAGTTTGTTACACTTTGTGTGCGCTAAAGTCGCTCCACTATACTTTCTTTGTGACGACAGTTTGAAGATGCCACAGGTATTCGGAGTTTGACAACGCTTTAACCAGTAACACCTTCTAATACGAAGCGCACCCACCAAGTAAAATCAAAAGACAGAAACGAGGAGATAGAAGATATATTTGATAAGCTATCAATATATCGAGGATCGTTTGCACTAATCTGGCTAGCGATTGAGGCAGATGTTGAGCACGACGTTCCCACACGTGATCTGGTGCGAATGCTTGACCAAGCGCCTTCAGCTAGATGAGTCCACTAAAACTGTGGTCAGCATCCAATGTCGAAAACTTACAGAGCTATTTGATTTTGGGGAATTATTTACCGCTACAAGTTCTTTATTGGATGCTCTTAAGCTCAATAAAATGTCCATCTGGTACAGAAGAGTTACTTGTTACTTTTTAATGTAATATTTCTGATGTCTATTTGAAAAGGAAGTGAGAAGAAGACATGGAAGAGGCACTGTGGACAAGTAACAGCAGATAACTGCTCAGGTTAGCTTAGGAAACGGACATACAAAAAACCATGGCTTACTCTTCAATTAGGTGACCGAAATAGATCTCTATTGTTCCATAGCCCTCGGAGAAGTTGAAAAAGCTTCAGATATCATGAAGCAGGAAAGAAAATCTGGTCCTGATGGACCGACCTTACACGTCCTTATCAATAGTTGTCGAATGTTACCATTAGAATTAACTGGTCGCCTTGTCAGATTTTAGAAGCTGCGATAAACTAAGTTCGATTAATCTCGAGTGCTAACCATAGACAGAGCAAGAAGACATATATAGGAAATATACGAGTGTAAAATGCCTTGGGTAATCATATATGGATATGTGCGATATCACCAACAATCTTAAAAATAAATTTGTGAGGGTCGGATAATTGCACTCAACAGTTTGCGTCAACCTGCACACATAGATTGGTTTTATGATTGTAAGTTTGATTAACTGTTTATTGTGATTGAATGATTAAGGAGTCACTAACACCTGTGTCAATACCAAGCTTGATCATCTTGAGTAGAGTAACAGAGCGCTTTGATAATATTTTTGGCCATGAAAGTTTCACCATTTCTGATTATCGACTCTTGACGTAAACCCTATTGGCAGATGCAGACCAAATGACTCAGGTCTGATTCCCTACATATCGCGTAAGAAAAGAAACAAAGACATACGGAGTAGAATTACATTTGATAGAATAGCCAAAAAATCAAGATATAAGTTAAACAAAGTACAGCCTAGCGTCTGTAGGTTTTAAAATGTGATAGTAATCCATTAAGCTGATTATGATTATCTCTAAAATATTGAAATAATTAGGTTCATCACGAAGATGAAGTGAAAATTGTGCATTGATAGAACATCGGTTTAATGACTGTATACTGTCTTCACTTTCACCTAATGCTTCGGTTGTTAACTGCACTTCTTTCTTTCGAAATTATGAGGTAAGTCTTAAAACATGATTTCACTATGGTAAAACATTTATAATCACAGTAAAATACCAGTTACGTATGCAAGCAACAACATAAATCCAACAGCAGTATTGCCCTAAACCATAATAGGAGGGAGGATACGGGGCTTGAAATAAGAGAGCTCTCCATTAAAATGCCAGTGCACATACACTGTTTTTAGTCTGTTTTTATCTATATTACTTTTTTACCAGATCTCAGTTACCATTATAAATTTCAATAAGTATTATTCAGTTAATATTCTTAACATTTTATTTCATTTGTTTCAAGTCGGTTAAGAGACTAGTTAACTTCCATACTTCTAGTTCGTAACTTATTTTAGTCTTGCCTTTCCCTTTAACTTCTAGACCACTATGAAACCTTTTTGTGATACTTGAAGTATACTGGCGCCGTAAAAGTTATTGAGGATTTGCTTATTCATCATAATTCAAAGTATTCTACGAAAGAGAAAAACTAGATATAACCTATAGCTATAACCTTTAATCCAATCACATTATCTTCTGATAACCTAATTTATAACATGATACTGTCTTACTGTCGTCATTGAGTAGTTAACGTCGATTTCATCAGTAAATTATCAGTTTGATCATCCAAATAATCCAGTTATTGTATCAAATTGATTATCCTATTATAAGACTAACTACTATTACTTATCTCATTGTTTGAGGCCCTTGAATCTCAATCGATAGATTGTAGGTTCGAATTCTACCATTGATTTACTTAATCAGATAGTATTACTGGTCATATATGAAAAACGTGTACTTTTTAATCAGATTACATTGTTGTGATTAGTTGATAATCTGTACAATAGACTGGGTATCTATTTAAATCAACTAACTTTCACAATCAGCCGAAATCCTATTAAATTATAATTATTTGAATGAATTATATCATAAAAAGTGAAATAGGTTGCAAAAAGTGTTGTTATTTTCACTTTCTTCATATACATGTGTTTACAATCAAAAATCGAGTAATGTTTGAAACAAAAAAAAAATGCGAAATTCATACAAAAAGTTCCTCTTCTCATTTTTACATGAAGTAATAAATAATTTAAATAGAATATATTATGAGCTGTTGTTTTTACAATCTCCTATTTGAACTTTCTTTTTGGAGCCACCAAAAAATATTGTTCTCTCCCAGTTGACTATAGTTACCTCGAATTATTAATTTAAGTCTATTAAAAATTTCAATGTTTATGCTTTAAGTAGGAAAGAAAGCGAAAACAATTACAGTGGAAAGAAAAATAAAATAAAAATCATTTAAAAGATTAAATTGTGATTATATATGTCTTCTTTTAGATCTTTCTTTTGAGGCACTACGAAATAATGAAGTTGTTAAATTGATCGTTGAAAAGTGATTTGCTCTGGTAAATATTTGTGAAATTCTACTAGTTTGTGAATGCTGAATTAATTTGTCACCGATCTTCTGTACATAATGTTCATTAGTGTTCATGACTGCTTAAATGCACAAAAATAAAATCAATAACCATTTTCATTGATTATATGAATGTTTCAGGAAAAATTTACTGTAGGATATGAAACTTTCTAGGGAAAAGTTTAAATAGGAAACTAGTTACTATATTTTAATAATACAAGTTTTGCATTAGACTTCTGCTTAAAAGTGTATTATATCCACTTTTTATGAGATTTTACTAATGATAATGGTGATTTGCACACGATTAAATAACTCAACACCTTATTACAAGTGATAAGTGTAGATGGTGAGGATAACTGATGATCAGTGAAGACTGAACTACCTCAAGTTACATTTTAAAACCCTCTCCTATTATTACTTTATGTGATGAATCTATGAGAAGAGGGAAAATAATCGTCCTTAATGTTTGTGGATGATGTTAAAGTATAAAGAACTGTATATGGTGATGAAAAAATAAGGTTATAGGTAGACCTTAATCTCCCGAATAAGTATTAGAATTAACAATCACCAGAACAAGATACTAGTAAAGTATGGTTATTCACATCGGCAATCATGGCTAGATGAGCGTTTTTCCCGAAGTTCACTAATTATCAGGATCTACAAGACATTGTTAGACATGACCTTCCAATCATAGTACTTGGTTGGTGAAAACAAACAAGTTTTCTTGTTTAGTTATTTGGAGCCCATGAGATCAGACCGTAAGATAGGGAAGCATTTGTATTGATCTAGTCAGGGCACTAATTACCTCACCTGGAATATCTATCTATTACAAATGACCTTCGACTGGTCAATGACACGCCGAATGTGAGATAACAGCCGAGAGTAATACTAGATGATTACTAGTTCAAAGTGGGGGTTCTCACTCTCACTACCCCGATAACCAGAATAAAAAAGGCAAACAGCTTCTAATTGTACAGTTGAGATCTACGAATAACTCATATAATAATACAGAACTAAATTCCGACCCAAATAGGACGCAACACGCGTCCCGGGTTCTACTGCTAGCCATTATCCATCTTTGCTGATAAATTAATTGGGTTTGAACATAGTGTAATATTATTATTATCGCTAGATTGATTGAAACAATAATAAGGAGGAAAAACCAACATTCAATTTATACATGATAAAGGAAAATTAGTCATCAACAAAATAATGGGCGTATATATATTTGTGTTTAATGTATGTGTATTCATTCGTCAAGTCAATTAACAAAGAAAGAATATTCCAGATTTGTCTATCTATTACATAAATAAAGGGTATTTATGAGTCATTTATAAAAGTGAATAAATAAGGGGTTAGAGATAGCAAACTTGTTTTCTTGTTTCACTTCATATATATTACAGTAGTTATATTTAATTTAAATGATTCTTCTTATTCATTTGAAAAATGCATCCCAAAAGTCATGTTTCATGAGAATTAATATGGTATATCTTCAGAAGAATAAATCATTGAGTCACAACTCAAAAGCTGAATGTTTGTCTACAGCACATTGAGAACAAAACTGAAAATTATAGGTTCTCTTGGATGAGATGTAACTGTTTGATGTTATACTATTTTTAATAATTTCTCAGTTGATTTGAATTTTATGATAAAAACCACATTTTTCAAATTTAAAACAAACTTCTATTAAAGCAGTTGGTCCCTTTTATAAATTTCGATAGAACAATGAGATCAGATCAACTCCGTCTTCTCATTGTTCTATCGAAACTTCTATTAAGTAATGAAATAAGGAATTCAATATTAAGATTGATTGAATTCTAATGTAGTTGACTAACTGATTTGACAAGAGTTTTCATTAAATATTGAAAACTAGGAAATGACGAAACAGCTTTTTTTTCCGGTCTGTAGCTGTTTAACAATAAGAACCTAAGACCAGATTAGATCAAACTCAAGAATTCAGGTCTTGTATAGTTTAGAATAAAGTATTGTAATGAACACTTGAAGTTTCAAAAGATGGTTAGAGTGATTAAGATTTAACTTGCTAATAAGGAGACCCGTAGTGTTTAAAAAAGGTATGAGCTAGAAATCAATAAACTTAAGAAGTAAATTTTTATTTCAGTTTAGTGTTTTGTGTTGTAGCATTAAATACAGTTTATCCTTTAACCAATCTCCAACATATTTCAACTAATCAATTTATTTCTGTTCGTTACTTACAAACGTAAAACTGATCACTAATAGGTAATCATATCTATTACGCAACTATTATAAGCAGAGATGAATGATGACTAACAGTGAAATCCAGAGCGCGGCTTTTGTCCTATTTAGGACTCGTCAGCCAGATTTACCTGTATCCTTAAGCTGATTTTCACTCCGGGACTCAAACCCAGTGCCATTCACTTCAAACACCATAGAGTTACCCATTTAACTACCGAGTACAGATAACCATTTGTTTCTGAAATGGGATGAAGTCTGATTTGTTTGTATTGGTTGTTTGGGACTTCTCATTGATTTTTAAGAACTGAAATTGATCAGTTTCCATATATAATGCTTGTAACTTAAGGCAATATCTAAACAATCCGCACAGGATGTACATATGTTAATAGAAGACTGATCAATTGCATTCCGGAAAATCAATGGGGATATTCAAACAAACAATATAAAAATTCACTATATGATTAATGTTAAAACAGGTCAACTGTTTGGAATTTAATATATTACTACATCCATCCCAAAATAATTATAAATGTCATTTTGGACAGTAAATTGAATATTTAATCTTTGATTTATTGAAATAAATTTTAAGCAATATAAGAAAGGTCATTAAAATAAATTGTTTAAATTTTAGTGGCCCTGTGTCTGACTCTGGGTCGATCGTATGATTGATTGTTATTGAATGATTGCTGTCGAAATATACATCCTGACTATCCTCGTATATTATTATCAACTTAATCCGCGTTAGTGAATAACTGAATTAAATAAACCAAATACGAGAATTTGTTTTTGAACAGGCATCCAGGGAGATGAAACAAAGAGGGAAGACCAGAGCAGATTGGAGAAGCAAATAGAAGAGGGCGAAGAGAAATGACACGCAGTGGAGGAGGCGTGTGAGCCAACTCAGTTTATTCAAACGTTAATTGATATTTATAGTCACACAAAAATAAGTTACAGATATGTGATGAGTAAGATAAGAAATGCACACACATACGCTCATATAAAAGCAGTTAAGGTTGATAAGAGAATAAGTGATATGGTCAAAATGTGACTTAAGTAGAATAAATAAATTGGCTTGTCCAAAAGCTAAAATAAGTTATGTGGGTTTAATATAGCAACCGACACTGCAAAATGACATTGTAGAGATTTAAAAAAGCATTTTCATCGTGTCATAATTAACTTAATATTGTTTTATTTCTTGGGGGAAAAGAGATTGGATCAAAATCAATTATCAATAATTTTGAAACTTTTCATGATCATGAGTCAATTGAAGCTAGACCACTATAGAAAACCTGGAAGCACTGGATGACCTTTTCGTCCTATTGTGGGACTCCTCAAGGAAATACGAAGAAATACTTAAGATCATTTACCTTTTCATAAATGTTTATATCATACTTTATAAGTAGAAATTTTCATGTTTATTTATTATTATCTGGAGAATATGTGGAATGTTTTATGTGAATTATGTCTGGCATAATATAAATGAGAATCCTGTGTCAGCTTGTTCAACATAAGTTCTCGCGGGACTCGAACGCAGGACCTATCAATTTTGTGCGCGAGCACTTAACCACTAGACCACTGAGCCGGCATCTAACAGTGTTAATGTCTAACTTTAACTTATCTAACATTTTGTTTGACAGTTGAGATGTTAATTATAACGAAAATATATTTTATTTATCAAATTAAATATAACAGTTACATTCATATAGAAGTTTTTAAAAAGAGATTTTATTGTAAATGAATAATTAAATAATGGTTGATACAAGTCAACAATATAATTACTTTTCAAATATCATGTCTTGTTTACCATTAATGATATCATATTAGCTAATTAGAGACTTTGTTTATAAATGATATATTAATGAATAGTGAATAATATCATGTTTACCTAGTTCTTTTATTGTTGATCTAATTCAGTTCATTAAATTGCCGTGTAAATTCTAATGTACGTGACATAACGTTGTGTGCATATGAAACTTATCAGTAAGGTGTAGCTGTAATCTTGTAGTTCGATAAAATAGCTACTTAATATGTACTCAATAACTACTGAAGTCTTAGTTAAAATGAAGGTACTGTCTAATTAGATTTTATCTCACTAATATCAAATTCAAGTAAATCACTATTTGATAAATAAATTTTTCATGTAATCAATACTATCATGAACTAAAAAAAGAATAAATAGACTTACCTTTTGTTTTACATATATCTAAACGTGTCTTCTCTGTGTGTTTATTACATTTATTGTTATCACTATTATTATTATGATACTGGTGACGATCCATATGAGTACCATTGTCAGTATCATATTTCTCTGAAAGATTACAGTCATTGATATCTTGATTTAAGTTTGGTTGAGAAAATGAAAATAAATTTTCATGTAAACTTCCAGTTTTTAATTTTAATCTATGAATATTTAAATCATCATCAATAATTTGATGAGGAGAAATACAATATCTAGTTGAAGAATTACAGTTGTTTAGTTTATGGGATGAATTTTCAATCCGATTAACTGAATCAATTTGATAGTTATGTTGTAATGTTAAACGATGCTCTTGACCATCTAATTTAAACATAATAACATAACAACAACATAACACAATAATACAATAACAATGACATTTTATAGATACATTAAAGATACAAAATAAATGATTAAAAGATGATAAGAAAGGTAATTTTGTGAATAGTCTCAAATAATTTTAAAATGATCTTGATAGAAAGGTATAACTGTAAACCAGCCTAAGTTAAATTCGTCAGTAAGGAGCAATCACTAATTGATATCAGACCGAACTTCGGATTTTAAGGTCTTATGATGAGCACAGCCCTTCTAGATCGTTAAATCACAATCAGTGTACTATGCTTTTCAACTACAGATAATTTGTGATGTTGTGCAATGCCTAGTTGAAATGTTTTTGCTTATGATGATTATTTAACAATTACAAGTAGAGAAATCTTGATTGAAACTTATCAATAAAATTTAGTGGTTACTTAGCGTGCATATACTTTGTCTAAGGCTCGAATACAGGATTCTTACTTAGGCCTTGATCAAAAATAGTATTAGGTCAGCAGCTGTAATTAAAACCGAGAGGATTAGTTGAAATGGTAATAACTTAATATTGTATAAATTCTCGACACTGAACTGTAGGTACATTTATGCATATACGTTTCTTTTCACATTAAGGTGAGACATTATTTTTGAAAAGTCTTCATATGGATAACTTTATACCTTCTAGTCTAGTTGGAGACAAGGAAATTTTAAATTTTAAACAGCATGTTTTCAAATCTACTTTTTTTAACTAAAAGTTTTGAAAATGTTCATGGAGGTGGCACTTTTTTATTCATTTTATTGTAGAATTGAGTAGAATAATAACTAATAATTTGAACATCACTATCAGAGCAAGATATCTCTAATATCTATAAGTAACCGTTCCTAAATTTTAAAATTATGTGATGGATACAAATGAAGCACGATTGTCAGTTTTCAGTTTTATTGACTAATAAATAACTTACAAGACATATAACATAAACCTATACAGTTTGAGAAATATTCATTTCTTTCTTTTATAATTCATATTATCTGTGTCTTGTTAGGAATTATTAATTTCCAGTCAGCAGATTGTTTTGACTTATAATATCCCCTCATAGATGTGCTTCGGGGTTAATGTGTGTAACTGCCATTCAGCAGTAATTTAAGCGAATTAAGGCGATTGAGCACACATCTCCAAATACATTCAAATATTCAAAAATTACGACAGGAAGGAATGCAAATCATATAATTGTCTATCTTCACCGATTTATAGCCAGTGAGTACCATAGCTAATAGGAATATGAACTCATCCATTTTAGGTTCAAGTCAGAGAGCGAAACTCCTCTAACTTTTGAACTAGAGAATTTGGGTGGACCTATTTGTGTTTTAAACTATAAGCAATTTAACATTTAGTGAAATGGCCCTTGATTCTTGCTATTTACAACTGTCTCACTGTTGACAGAGTCGGGTTCTAAATTACTTACTTAACTACTTAGGCCTGTTACCCATCGTCGAGGAACATAGGCCGGACACCACTATTCTCAATCTAAATCTGTCCTGGACAATCTCTTCCTCTTCATGTCTGTTTTCATTTCCCGACGTAGTGTGTTCTTTGGCCTTCCTCTTTCCCGTTAGTGCTTGCTTTGTGATGCGATTCGATGATTTCCTCAATGTATGTCCTATCCATTTCCAACGTGTTTTCCTAATTTCCTCATCAGTTGGAAGCTGGTTTGTTCTCTCTCACAGTAGGTTGTTGTTGATGGCATCCGGTGAACGGACATTGAGTATCATATGTACACTATTGTTTATATATGCTTGTACCGTTTTGTGATGGTTGTGGTAGTTCAGCAAATTTCAACTCCGTACCGTAGAACTGTTTTGACGTCTATATTGGGGATTGTGACTTTGACATTAGTTGAGAGACAGTTGTTTTGAGTTGCATATGTTGTTCGATTACAGGAATGTTGTCCTTACTTTGCCGATCCTCGCTTTTACATTTGCATCGGGTGGTCTTCGTTCATCGATGATGCTGTCGATGTAGGTAAGTGAAAGATTCCATCTGTTTCAGAGCTTTTCCATTAAGTGTGATTGGGTTGGTGCATTTTGTGTTGCATTTGAGGATGTTTGTGTTTCCCTTGTGCATGTTGAAGTCTAATTCTGCAGAGCCTGCTGCTATGCTAGCTGTCTTCACTTGCATTTGTTCTTGTGTATGGAATAGAAGGACAAGGTCATCTGCGAAGTCTAAATCTTCTAATTGATTTCGAGCTTTCCATTGTATTCTGTGTTTCTGCTCAAATGTTGAGGTCTTCTTAATTCAGTCAACCACCAGAAAATAGAGAAAGAGAGTAAGCAGGGTTCTACATTAGCTATAAGTAATTATTACATCAAAGTATCTTCTGAATAATTCTCCACAACTCAACTAAATCGACTGAAACAAAATCATATTTAAAGAATATAACTTACCACTTAAAATGTTTTTTAAGTATTTTAAATGTTCTGTTGCTTTGAATAAATTATTCATTAATGATCCATTTTCTTCGCTTAAACAATACTGAAATATTATAGGAATGAAAAATAAAAAAACTGAGTATTAAAAATAGTACCAATTATTAGTCTTGGGTCTGGCATAAGTTTCAATTTTATTTATCGAAGTTCCTATAAATGTAATTTACTTCTCAATATATTGCAAAGACTCGGCTCCTAAACTATTGTGAATCCATTTGTCCAAGTTTAAATGACAGTTCTCAGAAAATTGTTATTACAGCAATTAAAAAAATGTAAGGTATTGGACAGAGAATAAATTAATTTTTGCGTGTTGTTTATTAATAACCACTAGTGACGACATTTTGGAATCAGAGAATCAGTTATTTTCAGCCTTGATGGTTGCTATGAAAACCATTAGATCACTAAATTGAAATTCAGTTGATAAAATATTTTGTTATCCAACTAAACTTATGATATTTTTATTTAACTTCGTTGATCCTACTTTACATCAGTCAGAATCCTAGGTAATTGACTTTTATGGAATAAGTCAATAATAACAATGAGTTATAAGAGTTTTAACTTTCCACTGTTAATTTTCATAAGTGAATTTAATCAGCATACAAGGAAATGCAATCTTTACAGTTAATAACAAACATCATGTTTGTTGAAAATATTCGCGGTTTATAAATCATTTGTTTTGTAGATAAGAAGTTTGTTAGATTTGAAGAACTTACGATATCACCTAAAACTAACGAACAGAATGAAAGTTAAAAACACTACAATAGGATAAGCTAAACTATTCCACCGCACCCCAGACCTGCCGACTAGATGGAGAAGATCAAATCTAGTTGATGGATATATATTTTCCACAAGCAGACAGAATGCACGAATGAACAAGCACACAACTCATATATATATATATATATATATATATATATATATATATATATATATATATATATATATATATATATATATATATATATATATATATATAGTTCAAAAATGTCATCGGTAAATGTCTCGAAATAGCGTACTAAAACAGGAAACAAACTAATGACATTTAAGGTTCTTCCAAGTAGGAAAGACAAACCGAAGGTAAAAATTGGCGATTATAGCGCGAAAATGAGATGTTTACCAAGTGATTCCCGGGGATCTAGCATCCCCAATAAAGTTAAAGCGTGAATCAATGTATATTGAATGTGAGTCTATGTGGACATGAACAATAAAATGCTGTCAAGTTCTTATTAGGGTAACTTGTCGAATTCCTTTGTGACAGACAAGCCAGAATATAAATCAGTCGTAAGTTCTGAATCATAATGCATCTTAACTGATTTAAATTGGAATTTCAACAAAAAGATTATATTAAGAAACATAGACATAGTAATAAGAGAAGTCATTGGTTGCAATGGAAAATTAGAAAGGTTGAAAACAGTTTTAATTTCACTTATATATTATTATCATCGTTATTGTTATTAATATCTGTCATTAATCTACTTCCAACATAGGCTACAATGTTTGATGATACGTTGGATAGATGTTTAATTTTACTATGTATTCTATATCTTTTTAATATTCTTAAATTTAATGTGTTTTTCATTAGTATTAATAATAATATTATTATTATTATTATTATTATTATTATTATTATTATGATCATCAATAAACTAATAACTAAACTTCAAATTTTGTATCAAATTTTAGTGAAAAAATAAATCAAATTACTTTTAAAATGAAAAAAGTGTAATTGATAAATATATATAATAGTACACAATAATAATAAATCGGTGAGACCATAATTTCTGGACGAACCAATTAGATCTAACATAAAGAGTTACGAATTTTGGACGGTAATTCATACATACATTTGGCTAAGTAGAGTTTTGGCATTATAGATGATGTCAGTTCACTAATAAAAACCCTAAATCTAATTTTTAACCTTAAACATCAAGTGTAAATGAGAATTCTAACTGCTTTATAACCCTTATTTCATCTAATCAGTAAGTGTCTACTCTCACGGTCACCTCAGCATCGCTCAATGGTCGTCCATCAATTATAATCTCACCAATAAATCTTTAAAAGTTTTGATAGGAAATGGAAATGGAAAGTTATTCGAAAAGATATAATCACATAAAATATAAATAATTTTCCTAAGAGGTACATTTGCAAATAAAGTGTTCATATCAGATATACATATATATTTATTAATTCTAGGTGAATATTATTTCAACAGTTGAGATCATGAGTGAATTGAAGCTACACCACCATGGAAAACCTGGAAGCACTGAACGGACGTTTCTTCCCATTTTAGGACTCTTCAACAGTACGCATCCACGATCCCGCTCGCAGGACCAGAACCCAGGACCTATCGGTCTCGTGCACGAACGCTTAACTACTAGACCACTGAGCCGGCCGGCATCCAATGGTGTTAATATTTAACTTCCACTAATCCACGAAATCGAACTACACATCCACCATTGTTATTATTGAGTTACTATTTCACAACAGACTAAGTTGAATTTCACTAATCACTGCTTCTCATTAGAACTCCAGGATATACATCTTGAAACCAGTCACTTGTGAACATATGTTGATTCATATCAGAAGCGGTTTTATGGAAAAACTTTAATAAAAAAAACATATTAAAATGGAAAAAAATTATTTTTTTAAAAATTTTCTACTATAAATCGAATAATAAAACTATTTTATTATCATTTCATTAATCATAATTTTATATGAATAATTCAATAGACCTTTAAAAAAATAATGACAGATAAGATTAAATAATTGATATTTTTAATATAAAACAAAAGGAGAACAGGAAATAAATCATAATCTGATATATAGGAAGCATAAAAAGTAAATAAGGTTTTCATAGTAGACCGTAAATAATTAACTTTATATTATTAAAAAAATATAATAAAAACATACCATAAATAATATTAACTATTAATGTCTCTGTTTAGTTTTGTTTTTTTTTTTTGTTTTAGGCTGATGTATCTAGACTGCAATTTGGTTATGAGAATTAAATATATACAAAATGATAATAAAGTATAATTCTACTATTTAAATTAATTATATTTATTATTGAAAACAATTAGTCTCGTTTTATTGTAAACTGAAATAATTTGATGAAAATATATAATTGATTTGAAAAATTTGGTGAATATAAATTAATTTTACAAATAGAAGATTAAGTTTTCTACTGGTATAGGCTTTTGTAAACTTATAAACAAAGTTGGTCAAGTATTACAAATTGTTTAAACTATTTATTTTATTATTGTAAAGCATGATTTTTTACTTTTTAAGTCTATTGAAGTATATGACACTAAATGATACTAAATATATTTCACCCTTCAATAATTACAATACATCTATAATATGTTTATAAATGAGTCTATACGGTGCTAGAATGGACTGAAGTTATTTATTTTATTTGTTAGTTATTAACAAATTTTTTTCTGTAATGATAACATCGAGTATAGCACTTTAAAATTTATATTTATGCATGATCATACTGTTTCCTGATTGATTTTTTTAAAACATTCCCCCCCCAATTTTCCAACGTCCCTAAGTTATGTTTTATCACTGTATATGTAACGTTGTCTGCATTCATATTTATTTGCATTGAACATTGAGTTCTTGCTATACTCCCGCTACCTTCATGAGTTTCAATATTTCTTGCTTATTATTGAAGAGTTTTGCCTATCAGTTGGTGCATTATCGAGTTTATAATCGACTGATCGTGATCATTTGTGACTAGAAACTACCGTAGGACAACCGTTTTGTTAATAAAGATTTACCAAATCTGAAATCATCCTCACCTAAATCAAGTGTTATATATATTATCTTGTAAAAAAAGGACGTCTTAATTATGCTTGGTCAAAATGTTTTTATTTCTATTGTTCTCTCTTTTTATTAGGTTATCCCAATGCAGAGGATGCTATATATAACTTAAAAAGCTAAAAAATGAACAAAATTTCTCTGAAACTTTCGAAATAGATTATATATATTTCTTTGATTGAATCATTCAATAAAAGGCTAGATCCATATAGAACCTTATTCATAAGTAATTAAAAAACGTCATTGGATTACAATCTTCAAAGTAATAATTCTGAGTCTGAATTCCCGAAAAATCAGCGATTCCAGAAGTTTGGGTTTGTAGAACTAGGTATTTATCTTAATTTTTCCATATCCGATTTTAATCGATATGAGTTAACTAAATAATATTTAAAGGCTTCGCATAATGCTCACGTTTAAAAGTAACTTATAGCTTGAATATTAAACCATATTGCCATCATTACCATACTCTTGTACTATTTAATGTTTACCGGAAAATAGAACAATAAACACCAGAATATCGATCTAGCTTCGTTATATATATATATATATATATATATATATATATATATATATATATATATATATATATGGGAAGCGAGATCTCAATAAAGGAAACACTCATGTCAGTTTTTTAATGATAACAATTTTCAAGATGGAAAAAACAATCGACGGCGTATACATAAAAAATTGTTGTTTTTAACTTCAATAATAATTGTATAGAAGAGCATATATATATATATATATATATATATATATATATATATATATATATATATATAAAGTTCCTATGCACTAATAAAATAAAAATAATTCTAAACTACAGATTTCATTTTAGGGAAATTTCTAGAGCAGTTGAATTCTGTAACTAATGAAATGAATAAATAAAGATTATTGTTATTATTTTTTAATTATTGCAATGTACTACTAATAAAATTACCAATTTTTTTCTATCTCTCACCTTGCCATAAATCAACAAGCTTTTAATTTGAAAGGATTTTAAGAGAATTTTATGTGTAATGAAGACACTGTAAACAACAACAACAACAACAGAAAACACATTTAAAATCGAATAAATCAATTTTTTAAAACTAACAACGTCTTAGAATTATTTATTTGAAATGGTATGACATGTCTATAAAAAAGTTAGTATCATTATCAAGGTTTGACTTGATAATTCCGAATAAATAAGGCAATGGATAGATTGTTATTAAATGAAAATAATATATTTGTAATATCCCAAATGAGTAGACAAAGTTAAATTTTCTGACGTTTCGTAATTTTTGTAAGTTAATTATTCAGAGAACTTGAACTTGTTCAGATCTGTTTTTTTATTGATCGCACATAGGACCAAAAGTAACCCTAGAAACGCCCCAGGCAGATTTATCTTAGTGTAGTCGTGAAAGTATATAACTTTCTAAGTTAATTAGCTGTTCTTTAAAACCAAGTTTTTGGAGCTGTCTATCGTTTCATTAAAAAATTGACGATTGTTTTACGATAACAATCATTTTCATACGCATCGTTTACCATGGTTTGATTTGATAATTTCGAATAATCGTTTAAAGATCCCCATCATATTATCAAAAAGAATATTCTTCATTCAAATATTAGTCTTTTAATTTCGAATAAATTAAGCAATGGATAGATTGTTATTAATTAAAAATAATATATTTGTAATATCCCAAATGAGTAGACAAAATTTAAACTTGAATTCAGTTTAATTTAGTTATTTTACCATTCAATCATAAAACATCATCTATAATGAAACTTACTTAACAAATAATCTCAGCGATTGAAATTTAAATAATTCCAACGTCTCGTCCAGCTAACTACTGGTTCAACACAGTATAGTTTTGATTGTTAAATCTATATATTTCTTTGATGATTTTAATTTTGATTATTGCCCTGAAGAAGTTCAGACAAGTTAGATGGACGAAACGTTAAAATTATTTAAATTTCAATCACTAAGATTATTTCAAATATAATTTTCACATTTAATGACTTCTCTATAATTGCCACTCAATTTCTATCAAACTATTCGTTCTAATCTTGACAAATATTTGTATTCATTAACAAATATATTAAGAAATTATAAAAAAAAAACACATAAAACTTACCATTTTCCTAGATACTTCACAAAATAATTCATTAATATGTTTAATACGATTAGAAAGATTATTTTTTGTTTTAATTTTATTAAATTCCCAATCGTTTGTTTTTTGTATTTTCTTTTTTTCTATTAAATTATTTTTTTCTTTTTTATTTATTATTTCATATTTTGGTAATAAATAATTATTGGTTGATTGAATATTTTTAAATTCAATTATTTTATTTGTATTAGTAGTAATTGATTCTAATGTAATATGTGATTTATATGAATCACTATCATCATTATTACTATATTGATTTTCTTCTAAATTATAATAATTTTGATTTGCTTCTAATTTTGGTAATAATGTAGGAAACATTGGTAAACGATATGAATGTATCATTGTTGTAATTTGTGATGAATTCATTGTAAAAATATGAGATTCAGGAGTGAAATTATTATGATTTTCATATAGTTGCCGATTTTTATTTCTGTTAATTGAATGTAAAAATAAAATTCAATTAGAAATGAAGATGTAAAATAATTAAATATTATCAGAAAGAATTTTTGTGGATATTATAATAGTTTTAATAATTGAGATCATGAGTGAATTAAAGCTAGACTACCATGGAAAGCCTAGAAATACCAGAAGGCTTTTTTTTCCGATTGTGGGATTCCTCAGCAATGCACATTCACGAACCCGCCTCGCGAGATTCGAAACCAGGATTTATTGATCTCGGCACGAACGCTTAAGCTCTAGATCACTGAACCAGCCGGTATTCAACGATGTTAATGTCTAACATCAAACAATCTACGAAATTGCGCGACGGTCTTTCATTGCACTGAGGTAGATACGTGTCTCGATTCAACACGGATAATAAACAATCGTAACTACACTCAAACAGATCTTTTGCAATGTAGTTTAGGGGTTTCGAAATGTTTTCTTATGATTAACAATAATATAAACATTTCTATGTTTACTTAATTTTAAAAAATGTATGAATTATCAATTATCTCTCATAAACAAGCAATAGATTATTGATTATAGATAGGTCAATAGATGGTATAACTTAATCATTCAACTAATAATGCTTAATAGTTTATATTTGTTAGTGATATTATTCAAGCATTGTAAGTATCAGAAGTTTCTTATTAATTGATTATCTATCAATCATAAAAGAGTCATAGTGTTTATATTAACATTATAAATGATTAATTATTGAATATTTGACATATATTTCTGACAAATAGATATTTTATGAATGTGCCTTAAATGAATGATTTAATCCTATGAAATGAATGAACTTAATTTTACTGAATTAGATGTATTCTAGGAATAAGTTAATGTATTCAATTAAGTAAATTTCTTTTCATAGTTGAATAACTATGTTTATAGTAAAAAGATATTTATTTATTTGTAAATTAACGGAATAAACAATATTAAATTATCTTGAAGATAAAAGATTGAAATAGATTATTATTCTATTGATCATTTGATTAAGATAGAGTTGTTCAGTATATTAATTAAAATTTGCCGTTTATGAATCCAAATGAGTCGTTTTATGTGATAGTAAACTAAATCCATCAAAAATGAGATTATGATATATAAAATGTCAGCTTATGACATCTTCTAGATATTCACTAACATCTGGATAGTACTAAATTGATTCACTCTAGTTTAAAACTCTTTAATAGTGACTGATTATGAAACCACAACTGAATAAACTCATTGGTGTTCATTACTAACCGCTGCTGAACTAAAATCCAAAAGTCTACACATTCAACTCGAAAAACCTCATTTCAGTTATTCATTTCTTATTACGTTTCTAACGTTCAAAATTATCAGAATTAACAATAACAGATAAAATTTAATGGAGATAGTCATGCTATCTTGTTTTGATTTAAATAGTTAACATCATCAGGAATGAAGATACTATGCTAATGTGAGTTTAAGTCAATAGGGTGCTTGAAGAGAATCAAGAATTAGGAAGCAGGGATGGATGGTGGATAGCACTAGAATCAGAGAAGAGCGTTTCGTCACGTTTTTGACTCGTCAGCCGGATATGTCTGCATCGAAGAGTTGATGTTCACTCTGGGACTCGAACCCAGTATCAATCGCTTTAATTTCTTGTCCACTCAGCTAGGACAAAACGCGCGTCCAGGATTCTACCGCTATTCACCAACCATCTCTGCTTATAATGCTTGTGACTTAGGGCAGTATCAAGGCAATCCATACAGGATGCACACATGTCAATAAGAGACTGATCAATTGCAGTCCGAAAGACCAATCGGGAGATTCAAACAACCAATATGAAAATGAATTAAAGAATCAAAAAATATCATTTGTCATCTATTTGTTATTCATTACATTATTTTGCCGGTGGTAAGTAATTAATATCTTAATTAAATTCCCATAATTGTATTCTATATAAATTCAAAATTGTCTTTGTGACCATAAGGGTGGTAACAAGAAATTCACACATATTTCTGATCGTTTCAAGGGGGCAATGTCAGATCTATATGTGAAACATAAAATAAAGTGTTCAAACAGTAGAATTAATTTTTACGTATTTCTATGAAAAATGTATGTGAAATTGCGGCATATGAAACATATGAGCGTAAGACTTTTACTATTCATGTGTTAGGCAGATAGAAGCACACAGTAGGTTGCCTTAAACGTATGTTTCGTATCAGCTGTCATTCATTTTGAAGATGTATCTATTATCTTGAAGAAACCAATGGTCCTTCAGAAGGTTTACCTACCGATGCATTCAGAAACTCTACTATTGAGCTTTTTACCAATCCATTTATCTAATGTGAGACTGTAGTGGCAAACATCACGTTGTATAGTCTCTGGTAGTGAACAAATCCATCGATTAAATTTAACATGGTGGATAAGTTCATGCTTACCACTAAAATTATGAACCAATCAGTGTTACACTGGATGGTCGTTTCATCCTAGTATAGGACTCCTCAGTAGGACACGTCAACGATACCACGCGTAAGACTTGAACCTACAGTCTTCGATCTAACGTGGAAACAGCCTCTAGACCACAAAACCAACCGGGATCAACAGTTTTAATGTTCACTTTTAACACATCCATGATATTGCGCGACTATCTTCCATTGCTTTCTGTGGGTAACTGCCTTATATCTGACACGGTTAAAATCCAGTGGTCACGGCTTCTCACTAGAACTCAGCAAATTACCTTTCGAAACTAGTCACTAGTGAGCAGAAATAATATAAATCACTTGCTATTCACATATGTTGAATATACTTTTTTGATCAGCCAGGAATAAAATCAACTGAAATAAATCTAATTGATTGTGAGCTTTGGCGGTTCATTCACTAAACACATTAAACAGATGTTTTTCGTTAAATTATGTATTAAAAAAATTGTTATGAAATGAAAAGATCATCCAACCATAGTTTATACTTGATTTAATCAGTTAATTAGTAACAATATGTGAATAGTCTAGAGTTTACTGACTCAACACTAAGATTACTGTTCAACATCCATTTTATACATATTCGTCTATGTATTGATCCAATTGTTTGATCAAAGTCCCTAGGTACACAATAACTAACAAAATACAATCTTCCCTATCAGTACTCTTCTTTTTGATCGGGGAAAAACTGTCGCCAGAATAACTGATATGCATTGTTTATCAGTAAGATACAAAAAATTATAATGACTATATTTTTCGTATAATATTGGTGTAAAGGAATATTTTCATTTATTATACTTTGTGCCGATGATTTTTTTAAGAGCTCAAAATTCATTTTAAAATCACAAGTTATATAGTGGGTGTACAGTACTAGTGAATCACACATTAGGACAAGGAAATTACCCACATACACTCGTTTTTTTTGACGGTTCTCTTGTTAGCATTTACTTAAGATGTTAACTATTCTCAAATGTGTTAAATCACTAATTATAATCAGAGAGGAGTTTTGTGGATTTAATGGTAATTTAATAGTTGAATTCATGAGTCACTTGAAACTAGACCACAATGGAAATCTTGGAAAAACTGGTCCTTGGTTCGACTCTCACGAGGCAGGATTGCGGATAAGCACTGCTGAAAAGTTTTATACTGGGGCGAAACAGCCGTCCATTGCTTCCAGGTTTTCCATATTGGTCTAACTTCAACTGACTCATGAATTCAAGTATTAAATCAATAATTGTTTAAAAAATTTGCATTGAACTAAAACATAAATGTATGGACACGGAATATTCATTCGTTTCCAATTATTCTCATTGATTTCGGAAAGTTAATTGTTCAAAATAATGATTCAACGGTATAATCAAGTTTAAAGTAAATGAATCTTTTAAAATTGCAATATATAAGTAGTTAGTGTTTAATTGTTTAGTACCTAATGTTAGCTTAAGATTGTTATTCTTGATTTGCATTTAAAAAATTTTTTTTACAAACTAATTATGTACACATTCGTGTTATAAGGTATTCAAAAGAGGTTATCAAAGGAAACCATATGTTTTTCTTAACTGGATCATTTCATGTAGACTTAAAAAAAAACGTATTTATGCTATTTTATTAATTACATGGAATAGTTATTTGAACACTGGTGTACTGACATACATAGAAATCATAAAAGACCTTCATCTACAGCAAAAATCAGTCAGAGATAGTCATATAATAGATTAATATATAAGCCATACGATTGGAAACTAGTTTGATCGATTAAGAAGAATGTTGTACATTAGATAAATTTTTATAAATGTCATACTAAAATATACCACAATGAACATAAATAATCATAGTTGATTGACATACATATAAGGGAATATATACGTTAGTATATAAACGCGTAAACTGAACTTAAACTTCCAAATATTGTATAAGGTGAACTTGAAATGTGCAATTACAAATTTTCAGTTAATGGAGCCTTTCGATGAGCTTTAAAATTTCTAGTGTTCATCAGCTCCTTATAGTCATTCAATAATTCATGATAATTTTAAAGATGAGGTTGTGAAGGTTGTAGAATTTGCACACTTAAAATCGCTAATTGATCTAAGTTAGACCACTAATGTAAACTTAAAAGAACTATACGACCTGTTCGTTCTAGTGTAGCACATATCAAGAGTGCATTTCTATCACTTCACCCAGATTTCTAATCAGCTTAAGTCTGACTGCATCAAGAGATACTATTATTAACATAATAGTCAGACAAATACAAATAAGCCGATTTAGACTCACTTGTATATCGATTCAGCGTTTTATACTTTACACCAATAAAATGAGGTTAAAGTACCAAGTATAATAATTCATAATTGAAAATAATTACACGAGGGCTGGTAATAATAATTACAAGGAAAATAGGTAAAGAACAATGAGATGAAATAATCTGATAAAAAGTATACAATACTACAACGTTATTATTTGCATGAAGAGCGGATGAATTAGTCTTATGGACACTGATTTTGAAGCAAATCTAGGTTAGTTATTGAGTGAAAATGAACGTAATTCTTAG